AAACAGGATATGTGTTGCATCCCTTTATAAAGCTTAATCGTGGACCTCTCATCCAGAATTAAAATTATAAATCGGGGCAGGCAACATTCTTTCTTCTGTTGAGGGCAACATTCTTGCATGGGCAATTGCTGGATGTGCGTGTTGGCAGTGACTGGGGTTGAAGGCACCTGTGTGCAGGGTCAGAGCCAACAGTGGGCAAGTCACCCCCTTTCTCTTTCTGCTACCCCTTTTTTCTCTCTCCTTTTTCCCTGCCAGGAAAGGGATAGATTGCTCTTGCCAGAGGACTGAACTGATTGTATGCAGAGGGCTTTTGAAATTAGGTTGACGGTCACATGAAATTAGACTAAGGGCCACATAAATGTTCTCTGCTCCTGGTACATACGGACTGAATGCATTTGATCCCTTTCACACATACACCCTACACCATGTGCATCTCTGTGCTCCCAGGCACTCCAGCTGTGGATGATAAGGAAGGGCTTTAGAAGAGCTCCTGGGAAATGAAAGACCTCCAACAAACATTGTGAGGGTTAATTATTTGTAGGTTTAATTGGTATTTTTGGTTCCACCATGGAAACACATTTGTATCCTAAAGGTCAAAAGTCACTCAGTGTTTATCTCAGAACTTCTGAAGGGCCATTCTGTATTTAAGTTATTTTCAGTTGTGCTGAAGTTCAGTGTTGTGAAACAGTTTGTAATACTAGGAAACAAAAACAATGTAGTCATCCTTGGAAATGAAACAGTTCAAACAAGCAGTCTGGTTCCACCTGTAAGCTCTAACCTGTGGAATTAGTAATAGCCAACAAAGACACTTCCCCAAATTCAAGTAGTTGAAATAGTCTTCCATGTAGAAATGGAAAGCTCTGATTCTCACTTTTACAAAGTGGTCATCCTTCTGCCGTGAATCCTGCTTAGCAGTTCAAAAGCTGGAAGTTTGTAGTGACGGTAAAATGATAGTCTGTAGAAGATGGAATCAGATCTTCTGTCCTGTTTCCCTTCACAAATAGGCTAGAGTTGGGCAATACAAGTACTATCTACAATGTAATCTTGCAATGTATGCTGATCTTCTAACAGGGAGTTGGTCTTGTTCAACTAGCCAGGTATGTATGTTCTCCTCCAGCAAGCTATTCCTATCTCCATTTCTTCCAGTCTTTTTTCAGAAGTGAAGCTTAGCATTCTGTGGTTTCTAAGCATCGTTGCTCTTCACTAGGTTTGTTCTAGGGCAGGTTAGGTGTTGTCACCTTAGATGGCACTCTCTTTTTTTCTCAGTAGCCCTATTTTGGCTTTCTTCCAGATGGCACTGATCACCTGAGTTCACTATTACTGATGCATTAATTTATTCTTTCTGCTTCCTGGACAGGAGATGGCATGTTGCAGAATATACAAGATAACGTTGGTCATATTAATAACATGAAGTATGCACAAAGAGAAATATCTGGAAAATGGGTCATCTTGTCTTAGGTTTCCCTTGCAAGAAACCTGGATTTTAGAATTTAAGAAAGTTTGTTGTACTTACATTTTAAGAAAATCCATAGGGATCTTAGAGCAAACAGGACACCAAATTTAGAATAAAGATATAATATACAGTAGTTCTGAATCAGGAATTCCCAATAAGTAGCCGGGACACCCAAAGCAGAGTTCATTTCAAGAACATTTGCATTCTAACATTTATCCTGGTCAACCTTTTCATCTCTTGATATTCTACATGAATACATTGTCTGCCTTTTCATTGTCTGCCCTTTTCTAGCTGTTTTTCTGTTCATGTAAGAGAAACAGGTGAGTCTATGCTCACTCTTCTGGTAATGTTAAAAACATGGATTGATCTTGCTCACATGCAACGACTAAATTAAGAAAATTTTCCAACTTGCAGGATAAAATTAGTGTAGCATGAAAGGTTGTGTGTAGGTGTGCTTTGTGCAGCTTGCTCCTGGTTGTGAGTGTTCACAGTAAGGTAATTACTTGTGCATCAACAGAAAAAGAAGTCACAGAATAGACATATGCTGATAGCTAGATAGATTAATAGATTTTCAGAAATAATAACCGTAATTTGTACAGAAGTCAAAGTACTTCACCACAGTGAGGAGATCTGTGACCAGGTCAGAGGATTGTTCTGTGTATAACAGGACACCAGGCCATCCTAGTTAGGCAAATATCTGTCCTGGGTGGTACGGGAGGGAGCAAGACTAGAAATGTGTGAAGAACTTGGTGCGATCCTAGTTAATCCTGCATTAAGTACAGTACAAGGTATAATTCTGTGAAAACAAAGCTTCAAGGGAAAGGGTATCTTATGTCCTAGAGAATGTTTGAGAAGAAAATACAAATTAAACGCATTAATTGCGAGGCAGAAAGGGAATGTGAGAAAGGGAGGAGATTTTAAATATAGTTTTGCATATATTCAATATTGTTGATAGTGCTTTTTTTCCTCTAGTAGAAAAATGTGTATATTATGATTAGAAGTTCTTGTATCTTTGAAGACGTTGCCTAATATGGCTAGGTTTGTAAAGTGGGCTCTTAACTTTGTTCTGTTTGCTTTTTAAGAGGCATATTATTTTCCCAGATAATCCCAACATACCTGAAGATGTCATGGTAGAATGAAAAAGGAACAATAATCTTTCTTGTTTCTTTTATGGATTCATCAATATACTTGATAGAATTAACAATTCCTGGCAAAATGTGAAACATGGTTTAGCGGATATTCTGAAATCAGACTTCCATCAATATATCAGTGCTGTTGCCACATGGTTCAGATAATTCAGTTGATGCCATTCCTGCAAAAGCAACCCCCCATATTCTTTTATCCCAGCTAGGTGTTTGAGAGCGGATTAACCTAGTTTGAAATTCTTTTGCTGTGCAAAATCTGAGATCTCACAGGAGGACTCTTTCAGTGGAAACCTAAAAACTCACTAACAAAGGGAAGTTCAACTTAGCTTAACCTATAAGACTTAAAAAAATGATCCAAACATTTTTGTTTATTCAGACCTTCAGTGGAAGTTGTAGCTTTTGCTTCAGCTGCCAAAAGGGTTTTACATGTGTATCTTTAGTGTTGTTCAGTGTGAGTTGCCCTGTATTTCTGTGTGGAGTTGCCCTTTGCACATTGATCTTGGTCTTGTAGAACTGAGCAGGTACATATTCATTGTTTTAAAAGTCCACATGGTTATTGAGACATATAAAATGCAAAGGTAAGTACCTTCCTAAGGACTATATATAATATATACTTGGCTCTAGCAGGATTGTGCATAGTTTAGGAAGTTTAAAGGTAAAGGTTTCCCCATGACATTAAAGTACAGTCATGTCTAACTCTTGGGGGTGGTGCTTATCTCTGTTTCCTAGCCAAAGGAGCCAGTGTTTGTCCGCAGAGAGTTTCCATGTTCATGTGGCCAGCATGACTAAACACCGAGGTGCATGGAATGCTGTTACCTTCCCACCAAAGTAGTGCCTATTTATCTACTTGCATTTGTATGCTTTCGAACTGCAGGGTTGGCAGGAGCTGGAACAAAGCAATGGGAGCTCACCCCGTTGTGAAGATTCAAATTGTCGACCAGCCCAGCAGCTCAGCAATTTAAACCACTGCGCCACCCGCATCCCCTTAGGAAGTTTAGTTTTAGGGAACACTTGACAGAAGAGATCTGGTGTTTGGATATTTGTCCAAAGCTCTTCTGCTTAATTTTATCTGACATTTATCCTCCTAGCTTATTTTTATCCAGTATTTATCATCCTAGCTCCCATTCTATACTGCAAATTACACATAAATAGTTGTAGAGTCTTATCCTAGGACAGTGTCACTAAGTGCCTGGTCAAACAATAGGCCCCAAACAAAGGAACAAAAGAAGGTTCAATGACTTTTATAGCTAAGATCCTTAGCTAAAACTTCCAGCAAATAGAATTAAAATTAATTGAGCTTTGTTATGATTTTTAAGTTAGTATGCCAAACTATTGCTTATGTTGAAAAAAGGGCAACAGACAAGCATTTATTATGTATATTTAATTGTTCTGCATAGCTTCAGGGAGTATTAAACTTTAAATTACCTCTACTTGCTGAGAGTTGAAAACCATTTTTATATCCCTGTGGTTGGAAATTTCAATCAGAACAAGATTTTTTATATGCAGCATTTTCAAAAATGACCCAAATGCAATTGACACAAATTTTTGATTGATATATGATGAGTAAAGAATGACCTAAATCGGACGATAGCTGTAAAGTTCAGAGACTATAGACTATATAGTATATAGCAAAGTTGGGCAAATGTCAAGCCTGTGTGATCTATTTCATATTTGTTTCATTTTACTAGAACCCCAAGATCCACCAAGTGGAATTTGATGCAGAAGACATGCACTTAGAAGGAAAGAATTCTGAACCCAGGAATTTGTTTTGCGTGCCAAAGTGTACCAAAGCCTTTGTACATCCCCACCCAAACTCCTGGCTGCCCCAGTTTTGCTTCATTTCAGCAGTATAATTTAAGACAGGGAGGGTGAGGGTCATTTTGTTGCTTCTACTAGAAGATAAAACAAACCCTTGTCAGTCGATGTCATCCAGAAATGTACCAGTAAATCCAGAATTACTTCTGCCTACTCCTTGCCATAAAGCATTCATTGACTGTAGGAAGAAAGGATAGTCCTTTCTTATTGCTCTTGGTAACATTTAAGAAGATATAATTTAAAAGAACTTCTTCCTAAGCTATTTAATAAAGACAGGATTCCATGCTGAGAGCCAGTGTGGTATAGTGGTTAAGAGCATGGGACTGGGACTCAGAAGATCTGGGTTCTAGTCCCCGCTCAGCCATGGAGCCAACTGCGTGACTTTGGGCCAGTCACAGACTCTCAGCCCAACCTACCTCACAGGGTTGTTGTTGTGGGGATAAGATGGAGGAGGAGATGTAAGCTGCCTTGAGCCCTTTGTAGGAAAAAGGCAGGATATAAATTGGGAAAATAAATAAATAAATAAAATGATTGGAAGATGACAAACTCTTATCTGTTTTTTCCTGGTGTTTGTTTTCCTTGCTTAGCTTGGCATCGCAGTGGGTTTTCTCCTCCCTCCAGTTCTGGTTCCCAATATTTCAGAGAAGGACAAGTTGGCCTACCATATTAGTATTATGTTTTTTATGACTGCAAGTGTAGCAACTGTACTCTTCATCCTTGTTGGCCTTGGTAAGTAAACATGAAAAGATCTAAACGGGGGTGGGAGGCTGAGTAGATGAATCAAGTTAGGTCACTGTCTGAATTCTTGAAGCATGCATTTCTCTCTTTGATACCTGTTTGCTATAGAACTGTAAGTTCTAGTGATTATCCATGGTCATGACTTTGGTATGTACCATATATTTTCTTCTTATCTTACAGATGTTTTTCACTTTCCATTTTTGTAATCTGGTATAGATACTTATGAACTAAAGGTGCACACCTAGGGGTAGCAGTAATCAAGTTCTCTCTTAAGCATTTTTGCAACCAGCCCAAAACCTGCTTAAGAAGGAAAACTAATGTTAACCATGGTGACTATCTATAGTGTATGTGTTCCCTGACCTCATCGCTGATCTGTAGTGAAGCAAGGTTAAAGCAAGGTTAATGTGGGAGGCATTCCTCTGGTTTAAACCCAAAGAACCATAAGAGGTAGTTAAGGAGCCTTAAAGTTTCCCATCAGCAGTGTGTGGTTGGGCAGCTGATTGAGCAGGCACACAAATGACCTGGTCATAGGGGTTTTTTCTTCTTCTTTTTTGCACTATTGTGAAAATCCCTGTATTTCTAGTAAAATACCATAAACTTTTCTAAATTTGCATTGATATTAACATACTCAAGTGCTCCTCTCCATCATCCTCTTTTTACACAGTTTTTAACTGTCCATCTTAGCAAATAATATCAAATCTGATATCATCCTGAAATACTAAGATAATTGCCAGTTCAGTTTCTTTGTTTTTCACATTTCACTTATGAATGTAGGACTTAATCCTATGGAAGTTAGACAGAAAAAATCCTAAAGCTTTTATAAGTTTGTGTTCTTAAATGTTAGCTTTGGGTATAATATATGAGGATACATGGCAACTCATGATTTAAAGTTTCAGGACTTGTTACCTATTTACTGCCTGATTCTCCATTATTATTCCCTAGAGTTAGGAATAGTGTCCATGCTTTGTTGCTGATTTCTGGTTGTGTGCTTTACCCCCTCAGTGTTCCGGGAAAAGCCTCCATATCCTCCAAGCCGGGCCCAGGCCTTGATCCACTCAGCAGCACCAGAAGAATATTCCTATCTGCAGTCTATTCGCCGGCTTTTTCGTAATGTCAACTTTGTGTTGCTGATAGTCACTTATGGTAAGGTCCCTCAGTGCTTGTTAGGATCATCCAGCATGACAATTGTTTTTTGATTTATTTTATGTATAGAATTGTTACTCCATCTTTATAATGTACTGTACTCTCAAGGGACAATAAGTAGTTCATCATTTCTTATTTCACAATAAATTCCACAATAAAAACATAGAAAAAATTCCAAATGAAACAAAAAAATCGAATGAATGAGAATTCTGCTTCAAACACATGCATGCACTTGGTTCACCCCACAAGAGAGCCTCTTAGCAGGGTCTGCATGACACAACAGCCCACTGTGACTGAACAGCTGTTGCGTCAGCCAAACCCAGACTGATTTCCTAAGGTTAGCTTGTTCACGGGCAACAAGCAGTATCAATGCCTCATGGGCTGTAGCAAGCTTGTGTCAAGGGAGGCAATAACTGCTTGCTGCTCCTGTCAGTGGGCTACCAGGTAAGTGGCAGTGCTGGAAGTAAGATTTTTTTTTCTTTTTGAAAACATGGATTTAAGCAGGGCAAAACAAATAGGATTGGACAGGGAAGTAAACTGATTTCATATGTGTACTTTCTCTCCAAATCCCTGGCTTTTTTTTAAAGCCCTACTTCTGACAGCCGCCAGAAGCATGTGTCAACATAAAGGGGTCAGGATGCACTTTTCCATCTTCCCAAGCATGTATGTTCTCAGAAATGGGTAGGAAAGTTGGAGGCACTTAGGGGAAGGGGGACATTCAAAACCCTGTGAATTTCTCTGCAAAGGGAGCGAAAAGGGTACCTATACTCTTCCACAAGGAACGATCACTTGTAGCTTAGCTTTCTCATGACAGCTCACCTTTTGACAACTCAGGAAAGTGGGGAAAAATCCTATTTCAAGCCTCTCTGGGTCATTGCCAAGGGTTCTGTGTTGCACTTTGACAAGATACCTCTGCAAGATATTGCCTGGGCAAGTCTTCCTATTTTGGACCCATGGAAATGTGCTCTCCACACTTATGGTGGTGCTGGTCTTCTTACTTCCACCTGTCATTTTTGGTTTCTTTTCCTTGTTCTCTCCTTCTCTATGTTTTGAGTTTCCCCATCTCATGTGTTTTTTTAAACAACTGTTTCTCTGTTGCTTTACTGACCCTATTTCTTATTTTCATTCTGAATTTGTGTCTCAACTTTTTACCACCTGAAGTCCTTTAAACTGGAAATATATGCAAAACACACACACTACCATTGAATTATGGGCATTCCCATATGTATTGACTTGGTTTGCCCATAAGAGAGCCTCTAATCCAGGGGTCTCAAACTCAACTTACATGGGAGCCGCTGGAAGTAGAGTCTGGGTGAGGCTGGACCTCATCAAGTATTCCACCACCGCGGTGGTGGTGGGCTGCTCATCCCGCGTCGTTCCTGGAGGCCGGCCCGGGGTCTGCCGGCGCTTTGAAGGCCGCAGGGCCCCTCCCCCGTGCCCCGCCCGGCCTGGCAATTGGCCCATGGGCCGCGAGTTTGAGACCCCTGCTCTAATCCTAAGCTGATCTATAAACTGCCAGTAAAACAAGAATTGTTTGTATAATGCCTTTGCAACTGTTCAGTGAATTTCATATTTGTCCATGGTCTTATTTTTGATTACTTCTTAAACCTGGTACATCAAATTCCACTTGAAGTAATGTAATTATTATTTTGCCTATATGTATAGGGTACCTTAATTTTGGTATACATTTGTAATATTTATAGTCATAAGAGTTGTATGACTTACAGTATTTTTGGTGTTTATTCTAACAGTCCTTTTTTCTGGTCTGTTACAAGTATCTTCCCTTATGTAGACTGTCTCACCTTTTGTCGATATTTTAATTTCCTTGCTCTGCTTGCTGGGACAGCAGTTACTGTGTAGAGGTGTGGGATCATCACATCCACATGAATCAGATGGGGTGAATGAGCACATTTCAACTCTAAATAAATCTTGTTTGAGTAACATCTTAACAGGGAGGAATTTTCTTGAGAGCTGTCAAAACACAGCTGGCCTGTTCAGCAGGTGTCTCGTTTGCTTGGTTTTGGCCTCCAGTGCATAAAGAATAAATTGATTGTTGAGTCCCATTTCTCTACTTTTAAAAACTATCCTATGTATTTCTGTGTGCAGAGTAGTAGGATAGAAAACACATGGATATGTTTCTTGGTCCCTGAGGCTTTTATCTAGTCTGCTATGGCAACCACCTTTTTTGAAGGAAAAGAGCATACTGTGTTGTAAACGTTTGCTCAAGATACGCCTTACAACGTTCTGAAAGATCTAGTACTAGTTGAGTCTTTTAGTCAAATAGTTTGTCCCTATGGTTTGGTTTAACAACCTGGTTGTTTTCCTTAAGGCTGGTATAGTAGAAATCGTGAGATAGAAGCCATTTTGCAGGGTGTTCCTGCTTTTCTTATCCATCCAGGTTTGATTCTGCAGCATCTTTTCTCATCTTTGTTCAGCAATCTCTGCTGCACTAAGCATCACAATTAGTTGCTAAAGACAGTCCAAGTATTGTTCAGCTTCTGAATTCTGTTGAAGTGGAGACATGTAACATTCAGACAGAACATCTTTGTGTGTATGCTTCTTTCTCCCCCCACACCCTGTGTGTGTGTGTGTGTGAGAAAGAGAGAGAGAAAAATTCAGTAAGAATGAAATTTGGAAGAAAGGAACAGGGATCAGTTGCTAATGAAAGTAATGAAAGTAAGATCCAGGATGAAAATGAATCTTCCTGAGAGAATATCTCCTCTAAGGCATTTAATGACTCTGCTACTGCCAGTGAGCGGGTTTGTTTACTCTTTTCTAGTCTCCAGTTCTTGAAAAGTCTTCTTTAAAAAATTGCTTTTCCAAGTCATCCTTGACTTTCAGTCTCTCTTCACAGATAAGGCACGTAAAACATGCAGGCAGGGATCTAAAAGTGTCAGACATTTCATATGTTTTGGATTATGTAGAAGGAAGGTTTCACATTTTTAATCAGAAAGTAAATCCCCATTTAAGAGGTCTACACAGTGCTTTTTTGTAAAAAAAAAAAGTGGCGGAACTCACGTCTTGGGGTCACATTTTTACACTAAAAAAGATTTTCAGTTCACCAACTTTTTTTGAAATAAAGAACATATTTACCTTTTGCACGTAGCCAGTCACTCTACACACACATAAACATAATGGTTGCCGCCGGCAGTAAGCACTCAGCGCGCGACCACACGACCGATCCCAAGCCGAGCAGCATCCCAGGCCGAGCAGCGCCCTCACAATCAGTGCCGACACACAAGCAGCCCGCAGGCACTATGTTAATGATTTTTGCTGCCGACCCGCTACACCCAACAGGGCGATTCACAATCACTTGGAAAAATCAGTCAAAAAAAGGTGCCGAAACGCTGTTCCGGTGCGTTCCATGCCAAAAAAGCCCTGGGTCTACAGCCAATACTACTGTGGATATATTTCATTGTTTTAAATTTCTCAGAGAGCTTGATCTATTGGGTGGTGTACAAACAAACAAATTAGGTTTAAGATATATTTCAGGAAAGAAACTTGCTTATCCTTACATTGAGATGGAGCTAAGTAAGCCTGGTGATGGTATACATTTAAGATGCACCTCTTTATGGCTCTGCTCAGAGCTGCTGCTGCAGAGGTGTGAGATTCCACCAGGGTGGATAAATTTTAAAAAAATCAGATTTTAAAAATTTAAATCAGATTTTTTTATTTAAATAGGATTTTTAAAAAATGAAATTATCTAAAGATGGTGTTCAATTTAAGATACATTATAGTTCAAAGTTATTCATCATGAAATGAGTAGTTTTTAATTATGTAGCATGGTGCTGTATATTCATGCAATGTTTAAATTTGTTGGGAAATAAATGCCATTAATCCAATGTCATGCTCTTCCAGATGTTTCCATAAGATTATTGGGCAGTTTTTCTCTCCAGAAGATATTATCATAGACGTTTGGTTTTTTAGTTCTCAAAACTGAATTTTTGTTTGCAAGGATCATATGCCTTCATGGCAAAATATTATATGTCTTCATGGCAAAATATTCTAAAATAGACCTACAGAGCTGAGAAAAAGTCCTTAATTCCATTGTTCTTGCAAATCTATGTACACAGAATCAATCCCATACCTTTTAAGTGCTAAGTTTCAAAAAATCCAATGAATAGAAGAAGTTTGTTGGGAGTGCAATAGATCTGCGCAAGAAGCTAGGTGTGAGGAGGGAGAGTCAAGCAGTAAAAATGAAATTGAAACCTTTTGAGGCAAATATTTCACAAGTCTTTGGATCTTTTTGTCTATAACCTGAGGTTTATCATACTATTCTTTCCCTGGAGGAGAAAACCTATAAAGACAGCAGCCATAAAAGAGACCCAGTTTGGGAATATTTTAATGAAGTCCCTCTGCTTATGGTAAGGCAGGCATACATTCAACACTATGATTTAAATCTAGTCTTACTGATTAGCAATTTAAATCAATTTGATTTTAATCAAATCAACCCTGAATTCTACTCCCTTGGAATAAATAATATAACTGAAAGTTGGATTGGCATGTCTGCTAATTAAGTATTCCTCTCCAAGTTCCAAGATGTGCATGACAGTGGCTGAGAAGTTTGTCTCTTGGCTGCTTCATATCATATGGGAGAATTTATGTACAGTGGTACCTCAGCTCACAAACTTAATCCGTTCTATGACTCTGGTTGTGACCCAAATTGGTTGCAAGCCAAGTCAAATTTCCCCATAAGGTTCAATGTAAATAAGGTTAATCCATTCTGACCCCTTCAAACGTGGCCGTGAGCCTATTTTGGTCACGAGCCAAGTCAACTTTCCGCATAAGGTTCAGTGTAAATAAGGTTAATCAGTTCTGTAAATGTTTTTTTAAATCACAAAAATGTGAAACTAAGTAACAAAGAACAACGAAGTAACACAGAGAACACTAACCTAGGTGGGGGGGAGGTTATTGTTTGGAGGGAGAGTCCAAACCATAATCGTGCAGTAGCAATTGTGCTGGGGGGTGGGGGAAGATGGCTGCGATCACACAGGGAAGATGGGCACAATTGCGATTGTGCTCGGGGAGGGGGAGACTGCTGCGATTGTGGTCGCACTCATGCTGGGAAGATGGCCATGATTATGTTCGTGTTTGTGCGGCAACATGGCCGTGATCGTGGTCATCACCCCATGCGGAGTTTGTGAACTGAGGCAAAATTTTTCTGAAATTTTCATTCGCGACCCGAAGCAATTTTCATTAGATTCACAGAAAGAGAGGAAAAGTGTTTTAATCCTACTTCCATCCCACCTGTTTTGGTCCTGGTATTATCAGTCTCACTGCCCTTTGGCTGATATTTGTCTTATGCACATTAAATGAAAACATGTGTTTACTGTTATGTTTAACTGGGTCCTGACTGAGACTGCTTCTGTGCTGCTTAACAAACTTCCTTTTTTGTGCTTCCAGAGAAAATTGTTTTAGCTGTTAGAAGGAATTGACCAAAAAAAAAAAAAAATTGCTGGTTTCCAACTAAGATTAGTTTCCAAATAGTTTTTCTTCAGACATAGAAAATTCTGAACATTTTGTGGGGAAGTTTATTTGGCATCTTTGGAATTTTATGTTGAATGCCCTTTGAATACATTAAAATCCACGCATATTTCCATGCATATTTAGGCAAAAATGTCTGATATGTAGACTAGAAATGCTGAAAGTTGTTGGATTTTTTCTGTCCTTAGAAACATACTTAGGATTGCATTTTAAAACAGTGAGAAATCAAGGTGACAGAACGTTCTCTATGTACCAGCTAGACTATGTGTGTGTGTGATTACTCACCCCAATCAGTTGCCAAATTTAGCATGAGGTTTTTTAGAGGATGCACATATTGGTTTGGGGATATGGTGTGTCTTTTTCAGTATTGGCAGCTGCAGTGGGTAGCTTTTGGGCACTTGCAGAAAAAGTAATGCTTGTGGCAATACTTCCTGTCTTGTGACAGGAAAGGAGGGTGCTATTTTATAAGAAATTTTTGTACAAATGATATGAAGGGGATGTCAGGGAGCTTTGTGTGTGTTCCTAACTGTTAGCCACTTCTTGTTTCGAGTGTAATTGGCCTCAAGTGTCTTTTTCAATGCATCTCCCCTTTTGCTCCTTCAATGCATCAAAATAATACAGTGCAAAGGGCAAGGAATGTTGGTCCTGTAAAGAATGCAGACAAAGGCTCCTGGAATGTACTTCATCAGCTCTCTGATTGCCTTAGCATTTCTTCAGTCACTGACTTGCTGATGGTTTTTAGGAATGCGTGAGAGCAATTGTGGTAGGCTTACTTGCTGCAGGAACCAGGAGTAGTGGAAATTCCCAGTCCTGTCATCTGGGTGTGCTGCTTTTTCTCCCTTGCTTGTAAAGCACTTTGAGTTCGTCCCACAAATCACTCTCCTGTAATCCTACATTGCCTCTTCTGTGGCTTGAAAGGCCATGTTAAATGTGCTGTGCGGTAAGGGCTGGCCCGAAACATTTTGATGCCAGAGCCAGAGACAAAATGATACCCCAAACCCATTCCACATACCCAAGCCAATGGACTGCCTGCTTTATCTTTCTTCAGTAAAGAGTGTGGGATAGCATCTTCCACCACACCAGAGGGCAATAGACTAGTTTAAGAGAGCAGGGCAAGATGCAGGGCAAGATGCAGAGTGTTGACCTTGAACCAACAGGAATACCTCTGGGGCACCGGAGGAACAGTTGAAGAAGTGCTGCTGCCACCATCCAGCACCTCTGTTGGAAGGGTTCAGTATATGCTTTTTGACCCTGATATTACCATTTGGGTGAGGCGAGTAATTTCTTTGTCACTTGTATGGCTGGAAGTTTACCCAGACTTCACAGTGAAATGTCTGAACCTGAGATCTTTGTGCTGAAGTAAAATGGTGTGTTACTGAATAAAGTCGCGGGTCTCAATGTGCATGGAGCATTAAGATGTGGCCAGTTATCAATGTCATTCAGTTTCTCATTAGAAACAATGGGAAGAAGTGGTGCAGGCTGCACGGCAACCCTGTGATTTGTGCTCTTCTTTGGAGCTTTCACTTTTGTCTTTTCCTCTTGGAAAAACTTGTTCATTTTTAATTTGATTTTTCTGTGAGAATGTGATTGAGTGACCCTTGTCCCAAGGGTCCTTTTCTCATCACTGTCCCTATTCCTGTGCTTTAATTTCAGTATTTTACTTCCATAGATAAAACCAAGCTCACAACTGCAGGAAGAAGTAGTTTGTGTGTGGATGCTTGTATGTGCATACACACAGAAAACAGCTGAAGATCAGAAGATTGTGGAGGCAAAAAAGCTGACCTATGTGTGCATCAAACTTTTGACAAGGCTTTGAATCCCAGTGCAGGTTTCAGATTGTTTGGTGGCCTGGAGCAAATACTGATTCCTAGACTGCCATTTTAAAAACATGCTTGAATTCTATAGGTGCCTGAGGGGTCTGGCTCTTCCAATAGGCATTTTACTTCATAGTTCACAGCATGGTATTAATTCACTGTCTTACCTACTTTCCAGGATTAAACACAGGCTGCTTCTATGCACTTTCAACTCTGCTAAACCGCATGGTGATAGCGCACTATCCAGTAAGTGACTCACTGTTCAGATATTTTGCTAGTGACTTTCTACTGAGATTATTAGCACTTGCTGTATGAGAGATATCAGTTGTACCTTGTTCTGGTGAATCCCGAGAATGAACAACTAAGATCAGGGTCTGGGAATATGGGGTTTAAAGTCACCATGGAGCCTCCTATACTATTTATGCAAATGATGTTTTTAAAAATGTGCAGTGCAAAATCAACAGAAGGTTAAGTATACCATTCATTTTTGTATTGCTACAGGGAGAAGAACTGAATGCTGGCAGAATTGGTGTCACCATTGTAGTGTCTGGTATGGTTGGAGCTTTGATCTGTGGCATCTGGTTGGACAGAACCAAAACGTATAAGTAAGACCTTTGTTCTACATCTTCTCTTCTTTGAAGGAGAAGTAAGCACATTCAGTGGGTAGGTGAGGGGGGAAAGTCTTAAATAACACAGAGCTATCTGGGCAACATAAACTTTTTCATCAAGGCTTTGGAACAGTCTCAAAGAAATCCTTTGTCACATATGGCCTTTATCTGTATTGTTTATGATGTGGGGCTGTACTTGTCCTAATCAGATGAATTGTGTAAGGAGGAAACAGTAAAAAATATAACAGTTTTGTAGGAGGAAAACAGAGATTCACACTTACAGAAAACTTTTGATGAGGGAGTTAGAGCATTTCCTGGCCCACAGGAAGACTGGTTTTTCATGCTGGCATTCATACATAGTGCATTACAGAGGATAGCAGCATATAAGTATTTTATGTTTTAAACATGTGTTTCTGAGGAAAGAGAGGTGGGTAGTTGGAGTAATGGAACTGAAAAATGGCAGAACTTTTCTCTTGTGGTCCAAACTATTTCTGTAAAAAATAGGGTCTCAGCACCATATTTGCTAAAATAATGGTAAATGGGAGATACTTATGGGGAGGATTGGAAGTCAGAAGGAAGTCCAACTGGACTAGGGAAATAAATTATTGGATGGGAAAATGCTTAAGCCTCCAACCATTTGGAGAGAAGATGCTTGACCCTCCAACTTCAGATTCCTCTTGTGAATTAGGGGAACCCATGTTTCCCCTGTTTATGTCCTTAGCACTGACACCTTCATTTTGTCACTGTTTCCTTCTTTTTTGTGATTTTTAATGTCTTGGTTTTAATAATAGTTTGCATTCATAAGAAAAGGATGTGCAGCCAAGAGACTCATGCAGCCCATAGCTCTTAAGTCAGGAGCTGTGCCACTCTCCAAATAACTAGTTTCTATGGGATTTGGATTGGTAGGGTCTTTGTCTAAAAAAAGCTGCAACCTGCAACCTAAAATCTATGGGTGTGTGTGAGAGTGCCCACAAAGAAAGTATTGTGAGAAAAGCAGAGAACAATGGCACTTTCCTGTAGAATTTTTCAGAATTTAAGGGGATACTTGGGTGGAATTGTAAGAGGATGGTGGAGATCTAGGAAGGGAAAATCAGAAGGCCAAGTATCTTTTTCCCCTCTTTTTTCCTTTACACGTCTGGAACAATTATAATGGTGGAACATATGAGCACATCTTTTCAATTTACCATATTATGGCTGCAATTTGCAAATCTTAACAGTGACCAAGTTCACATTACATTTTCCAACTCATCATAGGTTTTTTAACCCGCAGTGAGCCATGGTGCCCAGAGCCATCACGAAACATATCTAACACCTACGTGGGGCTGTAATGCCATGCTAGCTTAGGGAGTACGATTATGTGAGGGTTAAGCAATCCTCACATAAAACAGAGCATGGTTATTTAACTGTAAATGGTTATTTAATGCATAATCTACGTTCACCAGGTTTGCATGGACTGGAATGCAATTATCCTTCAAGGTTTTGCACTTCTTTGAATTTTGATACTGTTTGTTTAATAAAAATCCCAAACAAAACTATTTGCAGTAGGAGCAATTCCTACCTATTTTATTTATTTAAAAGGGTTATGTAATATTATGAATTTTCACGGGGTGCCTTTATGAACATTAAATAAAAATCACAAACAGAATGGGATAGAATTAATGTATGCTTCAAAAGATTTGAAAATTGCAGAAACCAAAACTGAGAGATAGTCTGTCCTTCAGAATGGGTTATATGCATGCACCTGAAAAATGAAAAACTTGAGGGAAAAATGTCAGGAAAAGAAAACTCATCTGCATGTACAACATCAATTATTGTCTTCAGCAGCATTATCTCAGAACACACAAGAGAAATTAGATAACATAAGCTTTCCTTGCTCGTGGGGGAATGTTGCTGAATCAGCAATGAGGAGAATTCAGCTTATGACTATGCTCGTTTTTCCTTACTTCTCTAATCCAGAGAACTGGTTCATTTCTGCTTTGCTTGCTTGGGGTACCATCTCTGCCTGGTTTCACACACAGCATATTGTGTAGAACTGTTACTTTTTGTCTTAATGAAAGTGGGAAAGAGAGGGGCAGAGAGAGAGATGCAAGAGAGAGGCAGAAGGACCTTGGAGCTGCTCATGCTTTTGGAACTGATAGACTATTTCTCACTAGAATCTGGATTCTGCTACTGCACAGCATGGGGTGGTCTTTTGGCTCCTGGTGGCTCGTGTCCATGCATGTGTGAAGCTCCTTCTTTTAGTCCCCCAGGCTGAAATAGATGGCTTATTCCTGACCAAGGCAGCAGTAATTTTGCAACCTTGCAAAATTTAGGGGATTGTTGTGCAGTGCAAGTTCTAGCTGTACTGTTGCATAAAAATAGTGATACCTGGCAGGAATGTATGAGGAATCTTTTTTGAGGTAGAAATACATTGAGTTTCTTCAGTTTGGCCCCATGGATTCTAGTTCGCTGCATGTGTGCTGCAGGACGAGATGCGCTAGCTTGCTGCTTTCTACTGCAAGATGGCCTGTGGTTTGTGTTTTTTGTTCTGGAACTGCCAATGGAATTGACAGAAACCAGCACCAGAAAACGTGTAGTGGGACTTGGACAAGCCATTGGATCAGAAGCAGGCAGGAAATCTGTCGAACTAAAATAAGTTGACTTCCCTGTTTGGTACATTCCTAAAATTATTTGTCACTCCTTCAGAATGAGTTTAAAATAACTTACTAGGCAAATTAATTAATGTCCATGCTCAAGTTATTGTCTTCCTTTTATTCTCCTGCTTCACTGACTTCAGTTTTTTCCACTACACACATACTGGTAAAAACCTCTACTTGCTAAGCAGGGCCTCCATCCATTTCAATAGCTTGTCTTCTTAATGTCAGTCAGTTTCGTGCACCTACAGCTTCTTACTACCATCTCTGCATATGTTGCCCTGTGTGTCAGGAGGTTATCATGGGCATGAAAAAGGTAGAGCAATGTGCTTGGGATATAGAGACATTTCCCTCTTTTTTGGGATATACAAACATTTTCCTCTTTTCTGAACAGTTCACACATGAAAGAGTCAGCCACTGGCTTTAGCATCCAAATCTAATTTTAGTTGTTTTTCACATACTGTTTATTTCCTGTGCCTCTACAGTTTCTACTATTTGGCACTGAACCTGATGTACAAAGCTGTCTTAAGCAGAGTCAGACCATTGCGCCATCGAAACCCCAGGATTGCTGACACTAAGTGGTGATGACTCTCCAAGGCTTTAGAGAGGACATTTCCCCAGTCCTACCCACAGATGAACTTCTGACCTTCAGCATGAAAAGCATATATTCTGCCATTGAGCTATGTTCTCTTCATCCCCTTGTTTGGGTTCCCCCCTCTTTGTGTGTCCAGCTTTAATAGTTTTAAGAATGATCTTGAAAACATGGCAAGAACTCAGAATCCAGATATTGCAATAGCCTTAAGATGTATTTAGCTTTCATTAAAAAACGGGCACTAGCTTCTTTATGAAGAAAGCCACCTGTGTCTCCTTGGCATATGAGTAATGAGTCCCAGTCTCTACATTCAATCATTGGGTTTAGACAACGTGATAACTCACACTCAAGAACTGAGTATAGGTCGAATGTGGATTGTTGTTGAACTGTGAATCTGGAAGCATGGCTTATTGCACTGTCTGAACCCAGCTGCACTAACAAGCCATGGCTTGTTAAGCATGACCAACCGATGAACAGAACCCATGGTTTGTTGTTGTGAACTGTGAGCTGTTAATTGCATTCTGCTTTCTCAGCTGGGTTTAGACAACATGATAACTCATAATTCAGCAACTATCCAGTTTCAACCAATATTCAATTCTTGGGTTATAGTATTTAGTTAATGGCAATAACTTAACAACAACTACTGTTTTTTTCCTATACTTCTTTAGAAGGAAGGCAGCTGCTTGAAATATTAACTTTTAACCTACTAAGAATACCATAGACATTACTTTTCTGCTCTCCTCTCATGTGGCTGCATTCTTCAAATGGAATGTAGCCAATTATTTTAGATTATCTCAACTGAATTCATTTGCTTTATTCTTCTGTGTCTTTTACCCTCTAATCCTTGTAAAAATCTCTAAATGCTTTTGAAACTTTGAAACTTGCAGTTTTAGCATGAATCAGCCATTCCTTTTGGGTCACACTTTGAATAGATTTGCAAAGTGTTTAAATCAACAGCTAGACTGTGGGCAAGTCATGCTGAAAACCTTGCTAAGCCATGCTGCTGCTGTTCATTGACTTGCTGTAGTTTGTTTCCCCTTTAGTCCTCCCACCTGTTCCCAGCACATATCCCAGGGGTCTTTATGGCACAACTCTATGCACCAGCAATGTTGAGATTCTTCCCTGAACCACAACTTTCTTGCCTTGCAAGAGATCTGTGTTGTTATGTCTGTGCTGTATCTTCACATTGAGAGGAGACATGTAATTGTTAGGATAAGATGGCCGAGGGATTTATTTCCTTTCTTTAAGACTTAAGAAAATAAATCTCCTTGGCTAAGCCTCACAATCTGTCCCTCTTCCTAAGTGCAGCTATTCCTATGTGTGTTATTAACTTACTTTTGGCTAATTGTGGCCCTCATTTGGGTTAATGGTATGGTTAAACAAAACAAAATGATATGTTCTTTTTTTACCCCCCCCCCCCGCGGGGGGGTGGTTCACTACGAAAATGGGAGGGGGGAAGTTTAAATCCCCCCTCTGAATTGCCATGGTGTGAATAGGGGTGGACACTTTCCCAGAGGGAAGTTAATGTATACATGCATAATTACGCTGCCTCTGCTCACAACGGGATCAAGCCAGTTGACCCTGAATAAAGTGCTGAGCTGGAGGAGAAGGGGCAGAGGGCGCGATGAGGAGTGGCTGGCTTTTTGCCACTCTTGCCAGGCAGCTTTGTAGCTGTTCCAACAAAACATGCTCATGTTACTCCGCTGGGTTTGGACCTCAACCTGAAAACAACCCCCCTGAGCAACCTGAGGGTGAGCCATGGGTTCTTATGGTGGCTTGCACATGCTTAAGGAAACTGTGTTGGGTTGGAACATCACAGTAAGCCAGACTGAAACAAACAAGGGTGACAAACCACTGTGGGTTGTCATGCCTTGCAAGCAAGGTGAACCATGCCTGACCAAAAATTTTTATGGAGGCTGGATATTACTACATGCTTTGCTGATGTGGCCCTGGGTTGAGTAGTCACTGAAGTTTCAAATCCCAACACACACTTAGCCATAGACTTTGATTATGGATTTTCCTGCTCTGCACTTTGTTGATTCCTGAACGCAACAGTCAGATGATGGCTATTATAACAAAATGAATAGATTAGCATATTAATGTAATGTATTTATTTTTTCCATGATGGATCCTTAATTAAAATGTTAGATATAGATGGAGCAGTGGCATCATTCTGAGAGTTCTTTCTTTCTTTCTTTCTTTCTTTCTTTCTTTCTTTCTTTCTTTCTTTCAGGCAGACAACAATTTTGGTTTATATCATGGCACTTGGGGGCATGCTTGCTTACACTTTTACTTTGGACTTAGGCCACATCTGGGTGGTCTTTGTGACTGCAGGTTTTCTGGGGTAAGTTCACTTCTCTCCCAACCGCCTAGCATTAGTTTAGCAAATTGCCCTTGAAGGCATTTTGCTGCTGACTCTGACACTGACCTGAGGATCCGTCCCCTTTCTCCAGGGGAGAGGAAGGGAATAAGCCATTATGAGCAACGGATCCATGGGCACAACGAGGATCCTCAGCTCTGTCTTGTGGCCATTCACCCTGCTGACTGGGAGCACTGTTCACTGGGGAGGGGGAAGAGTGAAATGATGAGGACAGATGGGACCCAGGAGAAGTATGGCTGGGAGTAGCACTGTTTCTGATGATCTTCCCATCTTTCCTGGCAGTTTTTTCATGACAGGGTACCTTCCACTGGGGTTTGAATTTGCAGCTGAATTAACATATCCAGAATCAGAAGGGACATCATCGGGCCTTCTTAATGTATCTGCTCAGGTGAGTGTGTGTGTCTTCAGTGAATACAACAGGGAGGCATAGGAAGCTCTAGGCCTGACCTTATCCATCTATTGTTAAATCTAACTTTCCCATAACATGCTGTCATCAAACGTATCCGTCCTAAACATGACTGCCATTGCCCTCCAAGTAAGTGTTTCAGATGTTTTTGGTATCAGTGATCATTGTGATAGCATCCTGATCTCTGACTGGGGTCACACAACATGATAAGCCATGGTGGGTTGTGAGCCTTGTTTGTTCCAGTGTGGCTTATCATGACACTTGAATCGAGTACAAATGACTCAGTGTTAATTATTAATCATGCAAAAGCTGTCCTGAGAACCCTTGATTTACTGCTGGGTTACTGAGGTAGCTTGCTTTCAGGGTGGCTTGCAGCAATGTCAGAACCTGGCTTGATGACTGGTTTCAAATGGCTACAGAATCATTTGGCAAGGGATCATAGAAACATAGAAACAGAGCAAGTCAGAAGGGACCTCCCGGGCCATCTAGTCTGACCCCCAGCTCCAGCCGGCTCCAATCACAACGTGCCCACCATGTGCATGTCCAGCCTATCTTTGAACACCCTCACTGATGGGGCCTCAACGACCTCTTGTGGAAAGAGATCATACTCTTTATGATCTTCCTAGTGCCACCTCCAGCCTCTCTCTTTGTCCCTCTCTTGATACAAAAATGGGTATGTCTGGAAAGCACTCACCACATTAAAAAAATGTTGTTTCAAAAGTATACAAATGTGTTCAATTGGTTTTTTTAAAAAATCTCTCTCCACTATTATCTTTCAAATCTACACCAGTGAGCAGATTTGCCTGTATTATTATTACTGTTTTTGTAACCTCTATACTGCCCAATAGCCAGAGTTTTCTGAGAGGCTTACAATGGTTCTTAAGCAGGACTATGATACAATAAAAACTATTAAAATTCAATAATGTAGAATTTTAAAAATAGTTTAAAGATTTAAAACAATTTAACAACTGGAATAGTATTTAATGCAAACTAGACTCATGAAAAACACCAGACATAGGTAACCCCATCAGTCATTAAGTAACCTAGAAACCTTGAAACGCCTCAGCACAAAGGGCTGTCATAACCTGGTACTGGAAGTGTGAAAGGGTAGGCACCAGGCAGGCCTCACTGCACAGTAAGGGAACAGCACTGAGAAGGTGCTCTCTTTTGTTGCCACCCTCCAAGCCTAACTTAGAGGAAGGCCTCAGATGTTGATCATAGTGCACAGATAGTTTCCAGCTGGGAGAGGCATTTCTTCAAATATTGTGGTCCCAAGCAATGTAAGACTTTATAGGTTGAAGCCAGGACCTTGAATCAGCCTTAGCAGCATATAGGTAGCCAATGAAAGCAGGGCAGAATTGCTTTAAAGTGAATTGCTTTAAAGACTAACTCCTTGCTCTTCTCTCACCCTGGTCTGGTTAATGCACAGGGACTGACTATCTCATCTGGCCTTTTATAGCGGCGTCTGGAGACTCAAGGCAGGCTTACAGGGCCTGGGAGTGAGAAGACCAGAACACAGCACGGCCATTAGCTCTCTGGGTTGTGTCCTGTTACCTGGTTAGTTCTCTCAGTGCTGTATCTCCCTCTGGCCATTAATACACTGACTGACACCCTCACCTCTGCCTCCCAATTTGGCTCCATATCCTTTTCAGACATGCACACAGGCATACACAGGCATGTATGGTAAACAGGCATATAGGCAGGAGCAAGTGAGGGGAAATGGGGGCTACCCTCAGCTTTGTGGCAACCTAACGGGACAGTCCAAGGGGACATACCTGCTGGAGAACCCTGCCAGTGGTGGCAGTGGACCTGCCTGTAAGCCTCAGGAGGCTGCTGGTTTGCCAAGAGCCTGGTGAGTCCAGTCTGTGTTGTTGGTGCCCAGACCGAGGCTGGAGAAGATAACCAGAAGGTGGCTGGGCAGCCAGTCATTGAAGTGGCAGAGCTGTCCTCTTCCCGTAAGCTTTCCAAGCTTCGGGAGTGCAGAGTCGGCAGGCCAGGGGCTTTCTCCAGTACTCTGCATTGCCTTGCCAGTCGCCTTGCAAATTCCTGGACCCCTTTGCTTCCATTGGCAGCTCTCAGAGTTCATGGTCCATGGAACTGCTGAAATGGAATAGGGAATTTGCAAGGCATCTGAAGACAGTGCATAGTGGACAGGCAGATCTGCTTCCTTAAGAAGGACCCAGAATGAAGACAGACAGACAGAAAGACAGACAGACAGACAGACAGACAGAGAACACATTTCCATATGTTTGAAACACTGAAAAAATGGTGGCAAATTCACTAACTCCTTTGAAAAGTGGTTGCTTTTTGCAGGGAGGAGCCAATAAACTTCCACTTGTCAGCTGTATCCACTCATATTATGTCCTGAACTGGCACTTGCCAATCTGCCCACCATCTCCCAGAGGCACTTTTTCCTGACACTGAATGCCAAGAGCGTAGGCTGAACAGGACGGAGTGATTAGGGAGGGGGCAGGATGGGTGGGTGTACTTTCAACAGGGGTGTTGTTCTTACTGCAAAAATTTGGCTCTGTTTAATTTAGTTTTCTATACTTTGCAAGAATAACACATCGACAACACAGTTTATTTTTACTCTAAGTACTCTCAAACTCTCACAGTGATTGTATCTGTCCCCCACTGTAATACCATTCTATTTTGCCCCTTTAAATCACAGGGTCAAAGGAGGCCTAGAACTGGAGCAGGAAACTGGCAAAGAAATGTGGCATTATAAGACTTAATACATTGTGAGGCTGAAATGAAATTCCATTAGTCAGTTGAAATTAATGTATACAGAGAGGATATTGATCTATACTGCTGAAGAAAGTAAATCACAGGCAGGTAAATTCACCCAGTTGTGCAATTGTAAACAAGAGAAAAAGCAAACACCAAGAACTATTTGCATATTTCTGAAGCTGCAAAAATAGCATAGAAGAATGAAGGATATGAATAGAAAGAAATTGTTTTGAAAGGTGCAGTGATCAGCGTGGGGCAGGAACTCGGAAAAGCTTAGCATATTTCGGATGAAGATACAAGAGGGGTTGTGCCACAGTGGTTCACGGGATATGTGCTGGGAGTGAGTGGCTGGGAGAGGGAGACAAACCGTGGCATGTACAATCATCTCTTGGAGAATCATGTGAGTGGGCTGGCAAATAACCAACCCCTTATTCTTAGCCTGGTTTATCATGGCATGTGAAACTGCCCTCTGGGTATGAAAGAACATCAACAAATGCAGCCAATCTTTTTCTTTCTAGCCATGACAAAACACCTTCATCCTTGTCCTCTATCTCCTCAATAATAAAAACAATAAAGTTTATTATAAAATCAATGCTAATGTATCTATTACCAAGTATCTATTGTGCAGCACTTTTCAGTGTACAAAGTGTTTTAAAATTCTGGCCTCATTTGAGGATAAGTAAAAGTAGTGGTTGTGGTCATTCAGGTGTCAATGTATAGCAGCTTGAATGCCCCGCTCTGCATGCAAGAATAGATTTTGTGTGTTAGAACAAATGATGCAGCCCTCATTTTTTTTTTTTAGTCAGGTCTGGTGGCTGGGAGAAGATTGTAACTCTGGACCTTAGACTACTGTTGACTACCAAATGTTTACCTTGACTATCCTAGGCATAGCCATTCCTATTAAATTGTTCATTTTAGATGATGTGACTAATTAAAGTAGAAATTTAATTTCTAATTTCTGGCCCATTCGCTGGAATGGCGTTCTATTTATCAGTGCAGAGCTGCTCAAGAAGTGGGAACACAGTATGGGATGCATGTCCCTGATGTTCTCCAAATGTGTTGTACTGCAACTTCCATCATTCCCAGCCAACATAGCTAATGGCCACGATGGACGGGAATGATTGGAGGTGTAGTCCAATGGATCTGGAGGGCTTCGGGTTGGGTAAGGCTGGTACAGGAGATAAAGGGACATAACGGATGGGTAAGAAGGGAGTTTGGATGTGTGGTTAGGAGCAGTGTTACCTTTGTTCACTTTTATATTACCGTTTTGCTTTTGTGCTAGGTTTTTGGAATCATTTTCACCATTACCCAAGGACAGATAATTGATAACTTTGGGACTCGACCAGGAAACCTCTTCCTCTGCGCGTTTCTTTTCATCGGCACTATTATGACTGGTAACTCCATCCCCCAAAGTTCTCAAACCTACCCTGGTCTGCTTTTGTACAATGCTTATCTATTGTTTCTGCTTCGGTACTCTATTTGGGGGTAGGGCTGCAGTGTATAATTGCTTGACTGGTTAGATTAACTGATTTAAGAAAACTGTTAATTGCTACAGAGATGCCCATGATTGATCAAGCAGTAAATTTTTAAAAAGAAATATATACTTTTTAATGCAAATTCTTACAAAAATTGCCAATGGGAATGTTCAAAGAGGCATTCCTCTTTCTCTCTCATGTAGGAAGAAGGACTGCCTCTTAAGAATGTTTCTTCTAAGGAATACCTCTTTTAAAAGGATGTTTGCTGTAATGTGAATGGCATCATCTAAAATGCAGGGATAAGTTGTGCTCACTGTTAGATTTCAATTCCCATCCAGCTTGGTCAGTGAACAAGGAAACATCTGGAGGGCTGTAGGTTCCCTACCCAAATTTGAAATAAAAAGTATATGGTTTATTTTTTATACATATGTGAACTTATTCAAATTAAATCAACTAAAATAACATGATTAATCAACCAAGAATTAAATAATTTAGATTGTGCCCTTCACTGGATTTGGTTTCAGAATTTTTAAGTTAAAGATGTCTTTAATTGGATGTCAGCTCTAATTTAGGGACAAGCCATTGGGGGTCAAATATGGTTCCCAAAGGCATACCATCTGGTCTTTGTCATTACCCCTAATGCAGCCTTTCCCAGTCTTTTCCAGGCTTCCGGATGTTTTGGACTACAACTTTCAGCACTGTCAATTGACTGCTGGCTGTGCTTGTAGTCCTAAACATCTGGAGGGCACCAGATTAGGAAAGGCTGTTGTAGCTGGTCCATAATGTAGTGGCCAGAGCGGATTCTGGTGTCTGAGGTTTGGAATACATTTACCAGTACTGTTTCATTTGCATGGGCTTCCAACACATGTCTGGGTACAATTTCAAGTGTGTGTTGTTATGTATAAGGCTCTGCATGGCTTGGAAGTAGACTGTTTGAAGGGCTGCCTCCTTCTGCACGAACCTTCTTGTATGCTGCATTCAGCATATGAAGCTGTGCTTTGGGTTCTGCCTCTTTCAGAGGGGTGCTTGTTGAGGACATAAAGAGTGGCCTTTTTAGTGGTGGTACCCAGGTTGCAGACCATCTCCTGAAAGAGATTTGGCTATTCCCCTCAGTTTGATATAAAGGCACTTGTATTAAACTGCTTTTAATTAGTGTTAACCTTCCGCACTGGCAATGTATTTGTAGATTAGCCCAGTTTTATACCTCATGCTGTAGTTGTAATGTGTTTTTAATCTGGAAGCCTCCTGGGTGTGTGTGTGGGGGGGGGGGGCTTCTTTGGAGGCCAAAAGGTGGAGTAGAGATATTCCACATAACATGTTATTTATTTTTGTTATGATGAAGATGAGGTCCTATTCCCTACTTTGGTTGGCCTTCCTGAACCTTCAGCATTATTCCATACATTGCCTGAGTTCTGTGTTGTTCTTTGACCCTGGTGTGTGGCATTTCAGCTTTCTTACCTCAATTTCTCTTTGCTTTGTGCCTCAGCTTTCATCAAACCTGATCTCCGGAGACAACAGGCCAATTTGGAAAATGAACAGAGTGTGAGTAAACCATATGCTTCTGTTGGTAGCTTATGGCCACTGTCCTCACCTGTGAGCCATGACATGGTTTGTCTTGATGAATAATTGTGCCAGCCCAAGGAAGTGTTGCTGTTATCTCAGCTGTGCCAGGTATGGTTTATTAACAGTCAAGTGCTGCTAGATTCTTCTCTAGGAATCAACAGAGCATAACTAGTGGCTTGTTTCCCTTGTGCTCAAGAGCATCTACGAGAACTGAGAGACATAAAGAGAATCTCAATGTGATAGCATGCATGTATGCACAATATGGGATGTTGCCTATCCCCTCATTTGCATATCTCCTTAGCTTTGCGAAGATTAGGAAATGACAATTAAGAGAAGGGAAGTAAGATCATGAGCTGCTTTCCATGGCAAGGATGAATGCCAGACCAGTGATCACTGCTGAATGCCATGTTGGTGAATGGCAAAGCAAAAGTTATCCAGGTCTTGGTTCTGGATGAGGTGCTGACCTAGCCTGTATCAGAGAGACCTGGTTGAATGCGAGTGGAGAAGTTAACTTCTCCCAGCTTTGTCCACCTAGGTTCTTCACATGGCCGCAAGTAAGGCCTGGGGGACACAGAAGCATAGCTTCAGTGGTGTGTTGGGATTCCTTTGCTCATGTTGGGGTTCTATCCTCCTGGTTACATGCCCCCTCTCACACTCTTCTAGCTTCAGATGTGTGTATCTCAAGGAGGGTGGTTGGGACACTAAGGATTCTGTTTCCCCTGCTGAGCTAGCAAAGCTGGTCTTGGGTTACGTGCAAGTACACAGATTCTGGAGGTATGGATTCTGAAAGGGTTCATCGCATCCCTATTTCTGTGAATCCTCTCCTATGGAATGGAGCCATTCAAGCCTCCTTGTTTTTCAGGGTTCCCAAGAGATGAAACAAAGGGGTTATTAACTAGAGTGATATTGGCAGAAAACTCAGAATGGACAAATCCATGGCAATGAGCGTGATGGAAAAAGTGTACTCACCACCATTGCATCTGCTCAGAGTCACTCAGAGGAACTTTTTGGGGTGCTCAGAGGCTGTTACACTCTAGCCCTCAAATAAGGAGAAGTAGATCACTTGATAGCCTGCTGTGACCAATTTGTGTGACACTTTCCAGGTAAAATCAATCATATCCATTCTGACTTGGATGTCATCCTGAATACAGGTCCAGTGGCTGTAACTTTGGCTCCTGTTTGTCCATTTATAATGGATACTTTTCCATTTCTACAGTTGAAATTGAAAGGATTCTTAGAGAGGTGAGACCTACCACTGCTATGCGGAAGTGGTAGACCTATCACTTCCTGTGTTATAACAGCATCCAGGGAGGATCTGCTGAGTGAGTCAGGATGTCAGTGAATACCTTCTTGCAGCAAAGTATGATTCCATCTCTCCTAAAGGAGGAGATGGCAAGACAATTATTTAAAAAACAAACCAACAAACCAGAACCTTTCCCTGAACCCAACTGTAATGGATTATTTCTGGCCAACCTCCATTATCCCATTCTTGGCCAAGATGCTGGAGTGTGTGGTGGCATCTCAGCTACAGGGATTTCTGGATGAGACAGATTATCCAGATCCATTTCAATCTTGTTTCAGGGCTGGTTATGGGACAGAGACTGCTTTGGTCTTCTTGGTGGATGATCTATGCTGGGAACCAGGCAGAGGGAATGTGTTCCTGTTAGTTCTGCAGGACCATTTAGTGGCTTTCTATGCCATCACCCATCATATCCTTCCATATGAGATAGGATTGAGAGGCAATGTCATATAGTAGCTCCAGGCATTCTCAGAGGGGCAATCACAAAAGGTCGCGTGGGGGAGGGGTGTTGTTTGATGCTGTGGCCATGGGTCTCTGCTGTCCCACAGGGTACTATATCTCCCCCCATGATTAACAGATATTTAACAGATACATGAAACCACTGGGAGAGATTGTCAGGACTTTTGAGGTTCAGGGCCACTAGTATACAGACGACACCAACTCTGTCTCTCCATTTCATCTCTAAATCCAAGGAAGTTGTTCTGCTTCTAAATTGGCACCTGATATTGGTAGTGGAATGGGTGAGGGCAAACACAAAGTAACTCAATCTAGTGCTTTTGCTCAGTTGAAAGGCAGATCAGGGAAAAGGGCTGCACCGGTGCTGGATGGGGTTAAACATTCCCTGAGGACTCCGGCTAACAGTCTGGGCATGCTCTTGGATTTGGCCCTCAGCCCTGATGCCTGGATTTTGGCAGTGGCCAGGAGAATGTTTGTACAGCACATGCTGCACCATTTCTAGAGGTGTCTCATCCGACCAGAGTCAGAAATGCCTTAGTTGGACACTGTAATGTGCTTTATGTGGGGCTGTCTTTTTATAGTTCTAACCAATTCTAATTGTTTTTGTAAGCTACCTTGAGTGCCACTTTTTGTTAGAAATGTGGGACACTAAATAATAAATAAGGCAACCAAAAGCAGAATTCTATATATATTCGGCTTGGAAAAAAACCCCTATAGCTCTGAGCATCCCTCAGCCAGTAAGACTTTTTTCTGACTGAAGGATGCTCAGAGCTATAGGGTTGCAAAGATGCATAGGATTGCAGCCTAAGAGGTTTTAGTTTAGGCAAAGCATAGATTCTGGCTTCCCTCCTGAATGTTCACTCACTTTATCAAAAATGGACACCAAGCTCCTGTTAACAATGGTAGAAACCAATACAGACTGGAATAAAGGTAACTTATTGTCGCAAGCCCTGTGATTATCCTTCCCTTTCCTTCTCTTCCTCCTTCCCTCCCTCCTGGCTTTGGCATGCACCTGCCTGTGATGACATATGTGGTTGCTAGAAGTCTGCAATGACGATACTGACTTCACAGCACGATATGATGAACCATTTGGCTGGGAAGAAGAAGACATGAAGTGTGGGATTTAAATGGTCTTGGGAGAGATAGGGAGAAACTGGAGAGGCAGGTTCTAGAGGTCTGGAGGCAAAGAGAAGAGGGACGGATACAGTTCAGATGAGTCATTACCAGATTTGAAGCAGAGAGCAGGAATGGGAGATAGGCTTTGAACTTGGGCAATGAAGTTTGCAGGGAAAAACTCTCCACCCCCAGGAACAGAAGAGGGTAGCTGGTTGATCCCTGCAAGTACTCTAACCAGGAGGGAGGAATTTATGACCAGCTCAGATTTCTCCTAGCTACAATATCCCTGTTTCTGGCTCAGACCATACAGTCCTATGACCTACTAACTCTAGGGAATCAGGGCTGACCTCATCAGGATGCTATGCTACCCCATTGGCAGAGGTGGCACCCTGGGTGAGTTAGGCCCTGGGCAATGACAGTCGTGTGATTTCCCAGGAAAAGCACAAAGAGGAATCAACTGAGAAGAAACTGAGGCTTTGTTTTGAATGGATGTGGTCCATCAGAGGCATCCTGAAGCCACCCAGTAATGTAACTAAAGGAGCTAATAAAAACTTTCCTTCTGAAGGTATTTGTCAAGATCTGCTGCTTGGATGGGTGATGTAAAGTAGGGTTTTTTTTCTATATGGTCCCTTACCAGGGGAGCCTGTGATGCTCAAAATGGAATGGAGGTAGCCATTTTGGTGTGCTCTAGCTCCTCAAGTGTCAGTTTTGTCCTCCTTATGACAAGAAAACTCCTAATGGGAAAAGGAGAAAATGCTAGCTATGTTTGCAGTTGTTTTCCTTCACTGGTTCTGGGGTCTTTCAGGGTGTTGGCATGTACTCTGGGTGCAGCTCAGTATATCAAAAGCTGTCAGACACAGAGGGAGTTGTTGGAGTGACTGGGCTAAAGCTGTTTCTGGCTCAACTTAAGCGGATTATTCTCTCCCAGCTAATCTCTCTCTGCTCCACACTGCAAAGAGCGGTGGCTACCAGAGATCAGCTGTGTTCCTATCTCTCTTTCAAGAAGGGGCCTCTTTGGCACGTATGTAATTGCCAATCTACAGCCAGGCCTTGGAGCAGGCACACAAGGAGATCTGTCCCTGGCCTTGTTTTAGACAGACTGTCACGAACCTTCTTGGAGGAGCAGCGTCTGGAACTTAGCAGCCTGTTTCATCTGAACTGGGAAGGATTATTTAGACTCTGGGCACCAGAATACCTCTCCCCCACCTTGGTGCAGACTGTGCAGTGGATTGCATAGGGTGACTTGTGCTGGGATGGCCCGTCTTTGGGCAAGTGGGATTGATCCTTTTCCAGTGCATGTCCACTGAATATCAGATGTAGAATCTAAACAGGTGGTTCTTCTTTAGCCACAGATGAAACTTAATGTCCTCCAAAACTCTTGCTAATGTTGTTGCCTTTGTTCTGACAGTGTTTGATATTGATAAGTGCTGACATGCTGGTGAATTTACTAAGTGATTTGTGAACAGTGTTTCACTAATAATTGTATTGCTAACAAAAAAATAAAATCTGAATTTTGAAAATTTCAGTTTTGAGATTTCAGTTAAAAAATGTAATTGTACTCTTACCTCTGTCTTGCCCCTTTCTTTAGTTCTCTTAATAATGAAATAGCCCTCTTTTATAATGTGCATTTAATAAGAATTGAAGAATAGTGAAACTCACAAAGCTGAAAATCTGAGATTGCTTTGAGATTTCAGTGAACCCTTCATGTTGGAATGGGTAACTTTCCTCCAGGCATTAATGTTTTCTAATCCACCTTTTTTTGTTTAAGCCTTTTCTGGAATAGTGATATGTGGCTGTCATTTCAGAAACTCTACTGCAGTAACAATCAGATAATGAATTATGGAATTTGTACCTTAACCCCATCATTTCCCACTCCTGCTCAATAACTCACAAACAAAGGTAGGAGAATCACTTTAGGCTGCTAAACCAAGTGTTTGAGTGAGGCTGCACTAGCACTGAACCAATGCCACATTAAGATGGAGTGAAGTACTGTGTATGGAGCTGCTAAAAAGCATTGTGTATTTTTAAAAACCATATTTATTAATTTACATTTACCTTTAAAATACATTTGTATTTATTACCACTTTATGCTGAAGGTACTTAGCCACTACATCTTCCTCCCTAGCATATTTGTGCTCCAAAAATTTATTTTCAGCATTAGCTTAGGGAAATATTTGTAGAAGACTGCAGAGAAAATGTAGTTATTGAATCTTTTGGCAGCATAAATGCAACCTTAACAGGTACAGACTTGAGCACAATAGGTGTTTTTTAGTCTTAGAAATCTTTCCTGGAGAAGATAGCATTTCTGCCTTAGTATAATATGACTGGGAACAGGTAGTGGGAATGGGATTGAAACACGTCATGTGGCCCTTAGCCACTTAATTCACAGTTGCCTTTTTGTCCTAATTTGCCTAGGAGAAAATGCTGCCTCCACCCATTCAGTATTTAGTATATTCTCAAATTTGTAGAGAATGGGGCAACTGCGGGGTGTGCCTTCCAGTGTAGAGTTTTGTTTCCTACCTCCCTAAAGTCTATGTTCACTTCAGCTAAATCAGCCATCAAATTGGAGCCTTTTGGCATTTGACTGACTAGTGCAACTCACAAAGCACTTTGCTTTGCAACGGTAATTCACCCTTCCTTTCCTGCATAATACTTTGCAGTATTCACATTTTCATCACATGGTTCATCTGATTATCTTTCCTTATCATTCACCTTTATTTTACCCTTGTTCAACATGCCTGTTCATACATTATTGTCTGTGCTCACTGTTTTCAAATGAACAATCTTATTGGGCAAAGGCAATGACTCAAACATAGAAATAACTTTCTAATGTTGAGCTAAATCTTGAAGTAGTTAAATAAGAATGAGCACAAAACCTGGGAGCTAGTTGTAGGAAAGTCATGCTAGAGCTAGTATTATTATTTATAGTTTGTAACTTCTCTTTCGGTTGGTGAGCAGTCAATAAGTGAACACAGTGCATCTTGCATGGTCAATTTTCTTTTGTTGCAAGAACGAGCAGCAAAAGTCCTGATCATATGCTGTATGTCCACTTCTTTTAGCACTGCTACCTGCAAATTATAGGACGTGAACACTGGCTAAATAGTTTTTGCTTTCAAGAGGGAATTGTTATTTGTGTAAAAGCCTTTCAGGACCCCACTCCACATACACAGGGTTTTGCTGGATCTTTTTGTTTTTGTTTTTCTTTAATGTACAAGATAAATATTTTTCTGCAAACATGGGGGATCCCATGCAGAAACCATTGTACTTACTTCGTAGTACAGTGGGGGAAAGTTTAAAGGGAGGGAGAGAATAAAAAAGCATCTATCACCTACCTTCCTGAGACTTGAACAAGCTGGTTGGAGTGTTGAATGGGATAGTTATGTTCACTTGTTTCTAGGAACATTGAAGTGTTTTTAAAGTCATGATTACTGCCCGGGTCATAAGTCATGTGCCACTAACCATTAAGGTTTTCATTCTGCACATGAACCTGGAGCTGTCCAGATGCTTTGGATGCCTTCATGAGCTGGCTTCTCCCTTTTCTCCTTCCAAGCAGATCAAGACAGAAAGTTTCTGGGATGCAAAAGGAGTATTGCAGAGGTTATTAGCAGAGACACCCATTGTTAGAGAGCCAGCTGATTAGGGAAATAGCTCTCATGCTAAGAGATTTCAGACTGAATCCCTTCCCTTCTCAACGAAATGGAGTTAGCGCCACACTCCAGGATATTCTCACTGTTTGTGGGCTGGACACAACTCAGTTGTCTGGCTCTTCTGAAGACTCACTAAGTTAGCTCCTTCCCCTTCTGGCCCTGCCTGTTCAACAGTGTCTCCCCTTGAATCAGAGATGGTCTGGTTCTCACCAACCACTTGGCTTATCTCAGGGCCTGCTAGCCTTGTCATTTCAGCTAAAAATTCAAACCCTGCCTTTTCTTCCAGTTCAGATTGAGAATCTGAGGTAAACACCTTTGAATGCTGCATTTTAATAGAAGGGACCCAGTCCCTACAGGTGAAAGCCCCAGCATCCCTGGCAATTGATCATGCTGGTTGAGGATAATGGGAGTCGTCCAAAACATCTGGAGGACACCAGGTTGAGGAAAACTGTTATACATTCTCTCTCAAGTGAGCTTCATTGAACGTACACTTCTTTGGGTTAATCTGTTTGCAATTGGACTCCACAGATTTTAGCAAACTCATGCTTTTCCTTCTGTTTTGTTCAGTGAATGAACACCATCTTCTTTGTCACAAAAGATATAGACACTTAAAAAAATTATGTTTCATAGTACTATGAAAAAGCACCAAACTGTTTTTTAAGTTCCTGCCATGTAAATCTTAGGAAATCATGATGTGTGCAAGCCTTAGGGAATATGATAGAAAATATTAAATTAGGGTAGAAAATATTGAAAAACCATGTTAAACTGTTGAGGCTGAATACCTAATAATTGTGGTTCCTTTTATCTGCCGATGGCCTTCTATTTGCTAACTTTTTTTAAAAGTTCCATAAGTACAGCTGCCAAATTCCATCAACATGTGATGAAGGAATGTTAGACAAGAAGAGATTTTTGTTTTACTTTTGCTCAGTTAAGCATGGTGTGTGCTAAGCTCTGTAATAGTAGACTTCACACATCATTTTGTATCTTTTATTTTTGGAGGCCAGAGAGAGCAGCATGAAGAAAGCTTAATAGCTAAATACTGCACTCCTGTGCACCTTTACTGGTGAGTAGATTTACTGAGCAGAGTAGCTTTACTTCTGAGTAAGCATGCATAATTTTGTTAGCTTGTTTTGTGATGCATGGCCAAACCCTAAGGCTTGTTGGGCAAGAGGAGAAAAGCAGCCTTGGCTCTAGGAACATTTAAAAAAACAGTCAGCAGCAACCTACCACACATGGTAGGTCAGTCTTCCTTTATTATCCTCTGCTTCTCTAAACAACTGTGAAAATTCAGCTGTCATGGAGGGATGTACAGGCTTGTTGTGTTTCAAAAGACATGATGTCAGTAGGATATAGAAGTGTCTCTGTGTGGGACAAACGCATGTGTTATCTGTTTCCTGAAGATCAGCACTGGAAGGATGGATAGATTATCATAGCAATACTGCTTTGGCTTTGCACTTTGCCTGACAAATGCTGCCTTCAGTGGACTGAGGTCAAGAGTAATCTATTTATGATCCTCCATAGTTAGCTGACAGCTCTCATGACCCATAGTCAATAATGTGGGATCCTAGGAGTGGTAGGCCAGAACATCTGGAGGACCGCAAGTTTCCCACCCTTAACTTGAGCTGTTTTTCCCCTAGAGGCCCAAACTGGTTTACTAGGCTTTCCCTCTTCCCAGGCAATTCTAGAATTGTATTCTTGGTGGGGAGAGCTCTTTAACAGAAAATACTTAGCACTCTGATCCAACTAGAATTCCCAGGATTCCTTGGTGGAAGCTATGACAGTTAATGGGGATAAAATGGATACTTGCTTGTAGTGTGCATGTAGACACAAAATATTTAAGCTCCATCCAGCTGTAAGGCATTTTGCTCCCTCAAGAGAAGCAAATGGCATCCTGAGCCTCTGTTGCCATCAGGCTGGTTGTTATTGGTGCAAAAAATCCCAGAAACGTCTGTCCCTCTCTGTGGCCATAAAAATACCAAAACGATAGACTGAATAACTTGGCAGTTCTTTCACGCTATCTAAAATTAACTGCCTGATGCAACCACCTTCCTCTGCTTAACAGTAGGGCTGGCCATGAATGGATAGTATTTAATCACACATTGGCGGGCTCCCTCATGTGAATGTGAAAGTTCCTTTATGATGCAGGGATTTGAGGAGGGACATGTCATGGGATGCACAAATAGGAGAAGGGCTTCAAGCTGTACATTTCACACAGTATTTGCGTTTTGCTCCTTACAGTTCTAGCTTGGATTTGTCATATGAATAACCCTGTATTGCCCCCTAGTGGTGTCCTGTGGAACAGGAACTGTAATTCTCTGGGTGAACACTACACTTGGCTTGCAACTGCAGTGTGGATTTGGCAGGCTGGAAGCAGCTCGGACCAGAAGGGTGGTCCTAGCTCAGATGTAGATTTGATATGCCACAAGGGATGAATGGCATCAGCAGCCCTGAGACTTCCTGTATTGAAAGTTGTGCAGTTTTGGACAAGTCAAGGAATATTTTGTGTCCCCCAAATGTGCTGGACTAAAATTCCCATTATGCCCAGACAGCAGGATATGATGACTGGCAATGATGGGAGCTGTAGTTTAATATATCCGAAAGGTGTCAGGTTGAGCAAGGCTGGGGTATATAGCATGGCATTTTGTAAAGCTGAAAGCTGATTTCTAGAACTGATGCTGTCGTTGCCTCTAATGAGATGGAAAGCAAGTGTGTGTGGTGCTTTAGTGTTTTTCTTTTCTACATCTTCTGAAGCTGCAATCTCTCTTCCTAACTTTGCTTTAGAATGCCTCCTGAGCAATATAGCTAGAGAAAATGAATGTATTTAACTGTTCTACCTTGGCATATCACTATTTCTTTTGTCATCTGTGAACTCAAAGAGGCCCATCTGCCTTTCACTGGAGCATATTCCACTGAGTGCCTTACTGTCTCTTTGGTCCCTCTGACTGTGAACCTTCTCTCTTTGACTTTCAGAATACAGTTGGAGAAATGGATCAAACAGTGCTCTAACAGGAATCAAACCTCTAAAGGGTGTGACTGCGGAGGAAATGCTGATGCTGGTACCACCATCTTCTGTTCTTACCACCTGAACATCCCTTTACATTTGGTGTGGCCCAGCAACCAAGGGCAATCCAGGAAGCTGCTTACTTTGCCAACGAACAAAATGCACACCATTGGAGTCACCCTCATCTAAGCCAGCTTCTTAGCCCAGGTGTTGCAGAAGAGGGCTGAAGGCAGCAGTTGATTTGTAATTGCAGCTGAATCACTGAATCCAGCAATTCTTCCATCATGTTCAGTATGGACTGAGAACTCCCATCTGTTATCTTTTTACATGCCCAGGAGACCTGCAAGATGGGATATACAGTGGATCTTGAGGAAGATCCTTTTTCCTTATGGAGAACCAGAAAGCACTTGCTCTGTGAGCAGCTCTAACCGAAGCACAACCCTTGATTTGCAAGTGGAGAATTTGCCCTATTACTAATAACAGGGATGAAGGTGGCTGAGGCACCTTCTTGGTAATTTTTCTAAAAAATCCCAGTCCAAATGGACAATAGTTTTGAAATGGGAATGCTCTAGTTTTACCCACATTGGGGTGGATATCCTAGAAATGTCTGGTGATAACTGATTTTTAATGACTTGTTTGAAAAGCACATGCTGTCATTATTTGCTTCCCACACCACAGCTGTTCAGCACTATGATGGCATTGATCTTCCACAGTCAGCTGAACGCAGAAATACAATAGAACTTCCATATGGCACTAAGCAGAAACTTGGAATGTTCTTCCCCAGGGCCACAAACCTTCTATAACATTTGCTTTCAAGTAGCTACTGCTATGTAACGCTTCTCTGCAATGTTAATTAAAAGTTACTTCTGGCAAAATCATATGTATGTTAAGGCAGAAAAAAGGCCCACAATTCCCAGTATGTCCCAGCTGTGCAAGCTGGCCAGGGCATGCTGGGAGTTGTAGGATTTGCTCCATCTAACAAAGCAAAAGATTGTGCCTTATCTCAGCTTCTGTTGCTGTGATTGTGATGAACTTTTGGTTAGTCATTTCTTCCTATTCTTTTCTGTAATGAAATGACAATATTGCATCTATTGAAAAGAAAAAAAATAATGCAAGGAAAACAGTTACTAGCATTCTCCCCCAACAGAAGTGGACTGATTAGGAGGCAGCTTATCAGCAAATCCTACTTGCTCTGCTGAACAGGATTAAACTACCAGTATTTTTGCTGGACTACCCTGGACAGGGGAGCACTGCAAGTTGCATTTTACTGCAAGGAGTGCACTATGTCAGATTTGAAAAAACACTGGAGGCCATTGGAATGCAACAATTTGGCAATATTCAGTTCCTTTGTACTAAGCAAATAATTAAGGATGATTCTTGAGAAAAGCAACCCAGTGAAAAAGCAAGTCAGTCATTCAGTGCTTGATTAGGAGGGTGAAAATGCAAATTAATACTATGGACAAATATGAACCTTATATTTGAAGAAGGCTGCATGAATCAAATTAATGCAGTCATATTCACCTACACAACACGATTATCTTTGAGTAATGCCCTGTCCTAGAAGTGTTTTTCCCAATCAGAGTAAGAATTATTGTTCAGTCCACCCAGTGTGAAGGTGGACAGAGTTCATTAGCATAGCCATAGAACTCTCCCTTATGCCATTGAGTTTGTTCAGAGACCCTGCTGAATACTATTTGTACTCTACTATGTTGCCAATGTGCTGGAAATGTGAAATGTATTTATGATCTATTTGGGATTGCATGTGTAGCACTTTATTTGGAAAGTTGCAAGATGCATTTTTGCTGAAACTTTCCACCCAGCAGCACATCAGAGGTATTTTCAAGCAATGTTTCTTGTCCTGGAACAAATACATGAATCATCCATGTTAGTTTTATAACGCACTGTGCAGTCATTCGTAGTCACAAAAGACCTCTGACATTCTCCCATTGCTGTGTGTTGAACAGAAGCAGTGGACAGTATGTCAGATTTGGAATGGAAAGCTCCAGGTTCAAATCTTGTCAGCCTGCATGGCCTAGCCATTTTCTCAACCTAATCTACTTCACAAGTTTGTTGTGAGACTAAAATGGGAAGAACAGTAAATATGGTTAAAAAAAAAAAAGAGGTAAAATTGGTTCTTCTCTGTGCCCCCTGCTTTTCTAGATCTCAGGGGCTGTCCAGAATAGAGTGCTTCCTTCTCCTATTGAAAAGTACTACATTTGCAGCTTGAAATTGGCAAGCTGATTCCAGTAACTTTTCATCAGGCTATCTCTTATCCAGCAATAAATCACCATCCTTCCTAGAAACTCAGGGGCTTCCTCACTGCAGATAAGGAGCCACAGCCCTGACGACTTTGGGCTTGGCTGCTCCCTTCTCAGATGGGCTGGCTCCATTTCAGTGCCAGAACTCTATCTGAGCTTACGTATCACACGAAGAATAGTGATTTCCACTGTGCCAAATAAAGCCCTTGATGCAATGAGTACTTCCCCACTTCCTGCAAACATTATGTCAGTTTATCTTTTTATGCAGTCCTTATCTTTACTGTTGGTCATCAAGAAAGAGTAAGTCACTTGCTTTGTTATTACCTTATTGTTTTCCTTTCAATCTTTTGTCAGGCTTGGTGAAAAATTCTGGAAAATGTTGTTTCATTTCTATACTGCCCCCATGCTGCTCTCTGGGAAGTTCACAAAATTAATGCAAAGTTACCAAGGAACCTGTTTTATATAATCCCATATGCCCCAAATTATATATGATGTGCTTTCATTGTATTTGGTTCTGAGCTGCTTTTAAACAATTATCAAATTCTTCATATTAAAGTTTGCATTTTGTTGATTTTGTCACAAAGCATAAACTGTTTAAATGTGATATTTCACCTCAACTGTGTGGTCTAATGTTGAGCAACGGATGTAAACTATGCAATGGATTTAAACTACACTGCAGAGAGATGGTGCAAATGGAATATTAATTACTTTTCTAGTTATTAATGACTTTCTGTAATTCTTTTCTTAAAGGAATAGATAGTGGCAGAGCTGTGTACGGGACTGGAGGATATTAGTTCATACCGCAGTGCATGGGGCCTGTGCAGTGCCCTACCACACAACATGTTAATAGCAATCATATTAATAACCCCCCTCCCCACAACCACAGCACTTCAAGTGACATTTTAGCATTGAAAGGTGTGTTCCAACCTTTGATTGCTTGAGCTGTGCAATTTCAACAAATATTGAAGAAACACAGCACCTTTTCTATATTTAAATGTAATTTAAATAATCCACATGCTGGTCAGTAACCAAGGGCTGGCCCACGGTTTTTCACTCTCATGGATGAACTTAAATCTAACGTCCTATTTTATTGTATGCTGAACCCCTTAAAATGGTATATTAAATGATTAAGAATTGATCAGCATAGTTATCTTATTTTTATTTTCAGTTTCAATAACTTAGGATACCATTTATAGTACACATTAATTTAGTGGCACTAAATGCTGGGCACCATCACCATTATAATAGAATCCACACTTCATAAGCATGCATGGAAAAGAAGAAAAAATCAAGCCTTTGTCATTCCTTAACCATCTTGCTTAGAAAGATCTGTTGTGCACCAACATCAAAATGAGCAAGCTCAGTCTTGGATTAAAGAGATGCAGCGGGGTGGAGGGGATGGTGAAAATGCTGAGACATTTAGAATGTCAGGAATATCACTCAGCCCACAACAATTTAACTTGCTTCTTTGCTGCTCCTTCAAAAGCGTTTCTCTGCAACATTTACATTGCTGAGGCAGAGAATCCTGAAATTGCGGTACCCCAGGTTGTTGCCTGGTTTGTCTTTATGGTTTGGCTGATGCTGCATTAACTGATAAACAAGGGATTTTTAAGGGATCTACTGACCCTTCAACAATGGATTCCTGGATGGTACACATAAAAATAAGCAATGCAGTATTAAAACTACAATTTAAAAAAACATAGTCATAATCATTAAGACATAGCTGAAAGGCATACAAAAAATAATTCAACTAGTTAAAAGGAATGAGATCAGCTTAAAAGGTCTTGGCAAAGAGAAACGTTTTAACTTGGTAGCAAAAAGAATGCATTGTCTATGTCAGTTGTACCTTTTTTAGGAGCTCTTTCCAGAACTGGGACACTACCACTAAAAAGATCCTGTCCTTTGTGGATGTGTCACACACCTCTTGGCAAGGAACCTTTGAGAAGGGCCTCATCCAATGATCTTAATATATGGGAACTTGGGTACGTGAAGAGGTGCTCCATCAGATATTTGGGTCCCAAACTTTAAAAGCAAGCAGCAGCTCCTTAATGTGGGCTTGGTAATACATAGACAGGCAATGTAGTTCCTTTAGAATTGGTGAAATGTGGCTTCAGTCAGATAACCTGTCAGAATTCTAGCAGTTGATTTTAGTACTAGTTGAAGCTAATCCACTTATGTGTGGTATTCTGGTAAAGAGAGGTAGATGAATTATCATCTGCGTGATTACAGCAGTGGCAGTAATTATGACAAACAGTAAGACAGTATTTAAGAGGGTAGCCTGGTTTCTTTCTGCCAAATCAATCTTTCTTTTGGGCCCTTCATTCCTTTTCTACATGTCTTCTAGAATTACCCTAAAGCAACATAACAGAAATTTAACAAAGGTAGCATGGTACACACACATCTTTCCCAGGCTGGGTTTGGGCCAGCTTACATATGCATTTGGGAATAGCCCTATATAAGAAATCTCCAGTTTCCACTTGGATTTGGCAAGCTAAAGGGAGACTGGTGGAATAAATCTGCTACCTTGGTAAGAAGAGGGAGGAAAATCTGAGAAGTTAATCCAAATGTGCAGTGTTTTCCATTAATGGAAAAAGCACCAATGCTGTTTCACGGGAACTTCTTCGTTGAAGAACTCAAAAGGTCACTGTACCTTGTGCTAAGATCTGCAGGGAGACAATCCAACATCTCTCCCTAACAGATAAAAAGTGGCAGCTTCTCCTGCTTATTAAAAACCACGTGTATGGACAAAGATACAGGCTGCTACAAATGCCACTAAGACATTTGCCTGACTCACTGTCCCAGTAACCAATGACTCCTGGGCAACACTATATTTCTTCTCTGTTGGATGCCCGACAAAAGTCAGAGGGTGAGAATCTAGTCTCTTTACTTGACACAACTTGCATCAGGCCCCCTAATTCCCACCACTGGAACTGAGGATGCTTCGAGACAGTGCCCTCCATCAGCGAAAGTCACAGCCAGCTTGGAACAGCTGTGTAGGGCTGTGTTCTTGCCATTGATCACAGATCAAGTGTTGCCTGTTCAGATCAATAGCAACTGGGTACAAAAAGATGATAGAGATGTCCAGATATGTTCTGGCTGCTTGTAGGGTAAAAGGCGAGGAAGGAAATGTCAGGGAGGTAATGTGGTGGTACACACTGGCAGATGGCTAGCAGGCAGATCGAATGGATACAGGAGCTGTAACTTCAGTTCCGTTTCTTGTTCTGTGATGTTATTTCTACTTCCAGATACTGCAGTCCAATCAACATCCCCAGGATGGAGAAACCTAAGATGATTGGAAATGAAAGGGGCACAGAACATTACTCTTAATATGACGACATTTGCCAGCTCATCTCAATTTGTAAGAAAAGTCTGTTCCTTTATAGGGGCAATTTGTTTCCTTCCAATGTTTTTGGCCTACAACTCCCTTGCCAGCATAACCAATGGTGAAGGACCATGGGAGTTGTAAGCCAAAAACCTGGAGGACTACAAGTTGTCCTCCTCTGCTTTAGGAGACCGGAAATACCCATTTGGTTCCCTGTTAGTTATGAAGCTTACTCAGTGCCCTTGGGCAAGTCACAATTACCTAGGCTTAACTAATTTCACAGGGCTGTGGCGAGACTAAAAATGCTGCTGTGAAAAACTTGGGAGAATGCTGAGCAAAACGTGTAAATAAACGAAACAGCAAGCAGGCACTAAAGAATAAGGAGCACACGCTCTACTTACTTGCCACCATTAGGGGGGCCAGGACACCAATTGTTGCGGCTGCTGTGCCATAAACAAACACTTCAGAGAGAAAATGGCCCAGTGCAATGAAGAAGGTCAAAAGCGTGATGTTGTAGAGGCTGCCAGAGAGTATAGAAAAAAAGGGTTAACACATGCCACAGAGAGGATACAGAGAAATCAGAGGGAAGAAAACTGAAAAGGGCCTGGAAGCTAATGAGTATTGCCTGTGTACTCTACAGTAAAGGTACATCCTAGATTGGCTTTTCCAGCTCTTGGGAACGATGCGGCTTCATTTGTTGCACAAAGGACTCTTACAATATGTCGGATCTGGGCTCTTGCAATCCTATACACAGCAGCACATCTCATTAAAGTTAATGAGATGATGTTCTGAGCAGACATGAATAAGATTTCACTGTACGGCTTTTAACATTGTTAAGGCATAATGCTATGGAAGCAGAAAAAAGCCTACACTCTCAGCATATGGGGGAGATGCCTAGACTTGCATCAGATTACACCTTTAATCTCTTCATTGAGTCCATTACACTCTATCAAAACACAATGGGTTAAAGACTTCTTTCTATCTAAAGAGTACAATGGGAAAACTTCAAAAAATCTGTTGAAGTCAACCATGATTATGGGACAATGAATTCTTACCGTACCTGTGGAATTCACAGGCAGCTGGTTGGCCACTGCGTGAACAGAATGCTGGATGAGATGAACCCCTTATATGATACAGTATGGCTCTTATGTTCTAGTGTAGTGTTTTAAATTTATTTTAACTGGGTACAGAGTCAGGTTCTGATTCGGCAAGCAATAGGATCCATTCTGTGCCTCTTAAAGTATCTAAAGATACTGGACAATGAACATACATTTTTTAAAACATTGCAAGACCCTGCATACAGGCTTATGATCTAACCCCCTGCTGCATTTTTATGGATTTACAGAATATGCTAGGGCTCTAAATTATTTCTCACTGTAGAGCTCCAAGGAAACAAGCAAATCGTTTTGAGTGTTGATTCTCCTTTAAAGCACAGCTCACCTTTAAAGAATAACAGTACAAATGACTCCTCAGCAAGCAGTTCTTTACTACTTTGGGCTTTGGAGTTGAAGTTGATGACTTCTATGATAAAAATAGGCTTTTGTGGTTTTTCACACATTATTTCAGTTAAGCCAGCAGAGCTGGGCTGATGTGTCTGGAATAGAATCCTTAGTTAAGCTCCAGTCAGCTGTGCCTGCCCAAATACATAGAAGATAATGGAGACAGCACAGAATTCTGAAGCAGTGCAAGTATTATTAGTGAGTAAGGATGGTAGCTTTTACTTAAGCAAGCACTGGCTACTAATAGCTTCCCCCTGCAATTGCCCTCATTTTTTCCACTGTAAATGGCATTTAAAATAACATTTTAAATGTATGTTCTCAAAACTGACCATTTTAAATACAGAAGCAAGCAAACAAGGGCTGAGATGTTTGTTTTTGTACCCATCTGCGTCCCAGTTTAGCTCAGGAACACCTAAATGATGCAACCCCAATAAAACTGCACAATCTTTACATTTATGCTGTTTGCGTAACTGTTGGTTGCAAAATGTTGAATGTTTTTCAGAATTTGGAATGTTTTATCATAGACTGTGGTGATGGAGGGTGACAAAAGGTAGGGAAAGTATACAGACAAGGAGCCCCAGGAATGATTTGGGGAGTTGTGTGCTGTACCAAAAATATTGGGTTTCCTCCAGAGGTGGAAGCACTCATGGTGGAAGCGCTCATGGAAGCAGCAGGTTTATTTGGGGAAAGAAATGTATTAAAGGACATCAAAAACAGGGGAGACAGTCTACAAATTCCACTGGAGAAGACAAAAAGCCCTGGCAGCTGTAATAAGAGAAGTGTACTTCCTTGTGGTTGCCTCAAGTGCCTGAGTTCTTTTTATGCATGGCTCCAAGCAACCATCCAACCAGATCACAAACACACTTGTTTACCATTATCAGCTTTGCAGACTCCTGTTTCTTCATCTACTTTCAGCTTCTAGCTTGCTGGAAGGCTGCTAGTCATAGTTCACCATAGAAATAGTACATTGTCTCTTCTTCACCTGCCTGCAGAAGTTCTCCAGACCTCACTCTCCAGAACTAATTATGTGCCTTAGGATGCAATCCTATACTTGTTTAAGCAGAAATAGATCCTGCAATTCCCAGCATCCCCCAGCTAGCAGGCAGGGAACTACAGAAATTATTTCTGTCTAAACATACAAGGATTGCACCTGAAGGACAGGAGAGGGCAAGTTTTAGACTTACAGGAGCTACTTCATTTTCACTAGAATCCTGCGGTCTGCCAGCAGGAGCAGGGTGTATAATAGGGGCTTGGGAAGTGATCCTGAACAAAGTGCCATTTGTTTTCAGGACTGAAGGTCATACTCATATTGTTTCACCCACAAATCTACTCTTTTTTCATAGCAATGTAGGATAATGCCCTATATCAAGTCAAACCTCTGGTCCATCTAGCCAAGTATTGTTTAGTTCAGAATTGCAGGTGGAGATTTTTCCAGTTCTACATATTGAGAGAGGACCTCTTGTGTACAAAGCAAGTGCTTTGCCACTGAACCACTGCCTCTCCCCACAGGTATTCTTGATTCCAGTAGTTTAGGGTACAATCATAAGCTAATAGTCCAGCATGGCTGGCTAGGGGGATGCTAGGAGTTGTAGGACCTTTTCTGTCTAAATATGTAGAGGACTGCACCCTTCATTTAGGAAGAACATCATTGGGAGTTAGAAGCCTTTGCTGATCTTCTGGATATCTGCCAGTGGATCTTAACTTAGTTTCTGTCCAGCTCTGCAATACACGACACCAAACCTCTAATCCTCTATTGCTGCAGCCAAGAGGTTTCATGAAAACCACCACTACAGGGTTGATCCAGACAAGGCTTTTATGGCACTGTGAAGCTGCCTCATCCACAGAATAAATAGCCCTCCTTTTCTGGATTCTTTCATCTTTTCCCTTATTATGAAATATGTATTAAGAAAGAAAAGATGGAACACCTGCAAAACAACTAGGGGTAGGCCCCTGCTGACTGAAGGAACCGCAGTACAAAACTTATCAATGGAATTGATACGCCATACACAACTGTCAACAGAAAACAAATACCTAACCTCTTAGCTATCCAGACGCCTCCAATTCTGATTCCAGACATTTAATATGATGCAAAAATATATTTACTTACCTTTTTCTTCTCACATCAGTATCAGCCTTCCCAAATGGTTGTCCTCCAACTATGCTGGACCACAGCTACCATCATTGCCAACCACAATGCCGATGGGTGACCTGGACGGAGATGATGGGAGCTGTAGCCCAACATACCTGAAGGTGAACAGGTCATTGAAGGCTGTAAACAATCCCATCTTCATGTCTATTCTCACATTCTGTGCAAATGAAGGGTTCCAGGAAAAGAGCTACTAGATAATAGTTCTTCAGTTGCACAAGCTACTTGATAAGAATGTTTAAAAAAGTAAGATCAACTACATTATATCTACAAGAAACTATAACTGTTTACATTATTGGAGGTGGGGCTGTAAGACACTATTTTGTTTAGCATTTATTTTACATACGTCTTGTTGCGAATATCAATAGCGCAGTAGCAGCGAATCACAGAAGAGAGCAAGGTCCAGATGCCAAAGGTTCGGGCTTGGAGGCCATTTACTGTGCAGAGAAAAACACAAAATTAGCATTTCCTGTTTTGATATCCTTCTACTCCAGGCAAAGTTATGCCCTTAGGCATGCACAGGATAGGAAACTTATAAGACCAATGGCTCTGAAAAACATCTTAGGGGATAATGATCTTTCCAAATGAAGGAATAATGCAAATAGCAGTCAACAGTATTCTTGTGCTAAGCTACAGCCGAAGACCCTTTTTCTACAGATAAGGTTGTATATGGAAATGGCAGAGAGAAGAATAGTCCTTTGAAATGTATAGGAAATAAACACTTAAGAATTAGACAGGGATATGAACATAGGAAGACCCTCACTGCACTAGACCAAAAGCTCATACAGTTCAACATTCAGTTCACACAGTGGCCAAGCAGATGCCTACAGGAAGTCAGTAAGTGGGACATGAGTGCAGTAGCACCTGCCCAGTTGTCTTCCCCAGCAACTGCTGTATAAAAGCATACTGCCTCTGATTGGACAGGTGGCCTACAGCAGGAAGGACTAGTGGCTGCTGGTAGTCTTATCCTCCATGAATTGCCTCTTTTACAACCATTGAAACTGGAGGCCATCACTACATCTTGTGGAAGTAAATTCCATTGTTTAGTTATGCACCATGTGAAGAAACACTTCCTTTTATCCATTCTGACGTTTCCACCAGTCAACTTCATGTGACGATCCCAATTGAGTTCTATGCTGAGAAAGTCTCCCTGTCCATGCAGTTGTGTATACCTGTATCATGTCCCACATTATTTGTCCCCTTTTCTATGCTGAAAAGCCCCAAGCATTGTACTTTTCTCATAGGGGAGTTACTCAAGCTTGGTTGTCCTTTTTTGCACCGTCTCCAGCTCTACAAATGTATAGCTTGTGATAAGGCAAAAAAATACTGGTTTAAAATACATAAATGGCTTGAGAGAATGCTACAAAAACCTCTAATATTTAAAGTTTTCTTATTAGGCATTGTACCTGATGATGTTGATAATCAAGCAATGTATTTGATTCTACATGTAATTACTGCGGCGAGGATTGCATTTGCCCAACATTGGAGGAGTGAAGAACCACCTACTAACGAACTGATTTTAAAAAAGATCTTGGACTGTGCCAAAATGGACAGATTGTCTCCGAAGGAGAAAGAGGCTACATACTTCTATCAAACTTGGAATTCTTTTTATTATTGGCTAGAGAAATGGGACTATGCATAGACTTAAATATGTTTATGGATTACCATAAAAAAAAAGTATGGAGGGGTGACCCAGTAGGTCTGATGTTCCTGATGATTGATAATTTTTAGTTTCTTTTTGCTAGTTAGTAGAAAAAATAATAAAACTTACTTTAAAAAAATGTATAGCTTTTGATGAAAACAAAAATCAGGGAATGCTGGAGGAATCAAAATGGTGAGGAAGAAAGTTGTATGTAGCAATAATGTCAAAGAGACTTGCCCAAAGTCGCTTATGCTGCTGTTGCCATAATAATGAAAGACACCTGCACAGTGTTTCTTGCTAGGGCAAGAATCATATTTTACCTGCATTCCTAGTTAGGAGCTTAAAAAAGTAATTCCCTGTGATGAAGCTTTAGTTGGGATGATGTCACCTTAGTGGCTGAGTGCTGGATGCACAGTCCCTTCAATTAATAAGCCATAATACTAAATCCTGAAACTACCCTGAGATGCAGCTCCTAGCACAAGAGATCTTGCTGGACTCTTCTTACTTAACATAATCATGCCACAGTGTCTAATGTTAGATTACTGACATAAGGAAAAATAGCTGATTAGCTGCTTGTGGAACTCATGCATCCATTGTAAAGAAGAGAAGCCATGCAAAGGAGCAGGGTTAGCTCCAGTGCTGCAGAAAATGCCCTGAGAACACTCTGGCATGGATTCTGAGCTATGCCACTTCTGTCTTACCATTTAGTGCCATCACACATTTGCAATGTTCTTAAGGGCTTCTTAACACACTATAAATATGAGGTAGATACATGTGGTTTTAGTACCAAATGTTGAAAAAAACACAGGCTTCTATCTTACACCTCAGTGAAGAATATTACAGGTATACATGGTGTTCTAGCTATACTATAACATAAACAGCAGTCTCTATTAAAAGAAAAATAGCAACAGCTGCCTCCAGGTGCTTCATATAGTAGATGGCAGGTATTTAGACATTTAAAAAACTGACAGTTACACTCAGAGATTGGAGAAAAACATTTTTGGAGTTCAGGCAAGATATGGAACCTGGGGTCAAGGCCTGGTTACCAATGCTGTCTAAGGGCAAAAATAACAACCTCTATGTCTTACCAAGGTTTGGTTTTCCTGTGTATAGTTTCTCAGAGAGAAAGCTGTGATCTCTGAAGCTTTGCACTGTGTTCCCCATTGCAATGATGGACACCATAACTAGCCAGCTACGGAGTACATTCAGGAAACGGCTCATCTTGAAGTGGTCCTACACAACCTGCTCATGGGAACAGAGTTTAGAGTTTATGATACACTCACCCATCATAAGTCATACCCCCTCTGGGCTTTGTAGATTTCTTCCGAAATCAGTGTACTATATAGTGTTTCACAAAAAAACAAATGGCTTGCTTTAGGGTTCACCTTAGAAGAGTAGAAACTTCACACCCACCATTCACAAATATACTAGCATAAACCCTGTCTCTTCCAGAGAGAATGGTACTTGACTGTAATAGAGTTCAGTTCCAATCCTGCACACAATTTGGGAATATTCCTCAGTTGAGTCACTGGAAGTGATTTCCAAGTATATAAAAGTGGGAGTGACTTCCAAGGATATAAATATAGAGTTCACGAGGCATCAACCTTGGCAAATCATTTTTCATCTCCCCCTTCATTCCAATCTTTAGCCGAGACAGAGGATTATCCTAGGAGGCGTTTCTGCAGGCGTTTTCTTTTACCCCTGTCGGTTGTGCAGTCTACTAACCTATTAACCTGCTTAATTACTGAGCCAGTCTAGAGGCTTACAACCACTCCGCATGCATATTTATCAACGGTGGATTCGAAAACCCGTTCACTTCTACTTGATCCTAAAGGAAAGACATTAACCTTTCAGGAGCTTCTTCACACAGACCAACAACGTTAATCATTTTTAGCATTACTCTCCAAATAGCACCTCCCCCTATTCAGGCACCTGCCCTCTGACCCCAACCCTCCCTGTCCAAGTCGTGCTCCTCCACTATCCCCTCAGATGCAACCCCACCCATTCATTGACACCCAACAACCCTCCACAGCCTTACCTAATCCAAGGAAGCAGCAACAGTCACCTGCTACCCTACCTCTGGCCTGTGGAACTGCAGCCTTGACTCGAAACAGTCCGCATGCAATGATTGGTTCGCTGTCGGACTACACCTTCCTCTGGTTGGCCCCTCCATCCATCTCTAGACCTTTCTCCCGCGCGGCACGTGGATGGGTAGGCGAATCTGCCTATCAAATGCTTCGAACCCTTCTGAGGCGTTGTGACGTAGACTAAGGCGAGGCTCTTTCGGCGACGGCGGTCTCTTTCGGTGTGTGAAAGAAAGGCAGAAGCGTTGGTGACGCCATATTAGAAGAGGCATTAAGGCATCCGAACAGGGAGTACGCAGTGTTGCGCACGCGCACGGGGAACGGACACGCGCGGGAGCCGAGAACCGGCGCTTGCGCAGATGTGTTTTCGGTGAGGGAGGGGACGGTTGCATGTTGGTTGTTGTAGTAACAGGAGAAGCGCCGGCAGGGAGGAGCCGCGGCTATCGGGCCCTAAGGGAGATGAAGCAGCAGGTATGGGTTCTAGGGGATTTTGGAGTAAGGTAGTTGCTGGCAATACAAAGTCTGTTTAGCACCGAGGAGGCTGTACTTCACGAGCGGAGGAGGAGGCAGTAGCATCCTTCCTCAAAGATAGTATCCCGGGGAGCAGTCCTGAAAGAGAGGGGAAGAATAGAAGGAAAAGGAGGTCCTTTCCCTAGATAAAAGGCCAGGCCTGGGCAAAGCGACTGAGCTGCAAAGTCCGCGTAGTTCATTTGATGGTTTCCAAGTCCCACGTGCGGAAAGAGAGACAAATATATATTGACGGACGCTTTCTGCTCTCCCTCCCCTTTCCACGGGCATGGAGTTACGCTTCCAAGTATGGGAAAACTGGGTTCCCTGGGAGAAACTTGAACCTCTCGAAGCAGAGTGATCTTGTCACCCTTCCCCCTTAACCCGCTTCACTTATCCCTCAGGATCTAGGCCAACCTTCCTCAACCTGTGCTCTCCAGATGTGTTGAACTGCAAACCCCAGGATCCCCCTCCCAGCCAGCATGACCCGTCTTCTGCAGTCCTATTCGTTTTAACAGTATTTGCACAAGTTGGGGAAAGCTGTGCATTTTCTCTCTCCTTCCGTTTCAGTAAACATGGAAGTAGGTTCTGATACATAGGAGACCAGTCGCCCAGGGAAGGATTTATGCTTCTTGGAGGAGAAGGACATTGTCACCCTTCTCTACTCCACTTCTTCCCTAGTGTCTCAGTGACTGGCCTAAGGTTAAAAGTCAAGGTTAAAAGTTTGTAAAAATCACACTGCATAGCTTAATCATGTTACTATAGTGACTTTTTGTGAATGGCAATTATTGCCTTTACTGACCATAGTTCTTGCATGCTGTCTTTAACTTTATATTTTCTCCGTTCCCATTTCATGTGACCTACCCTCTCCCCAGTTTCTCATTATTTAGTCTGAGGTTGTATGGTAAATAAGTATTTAAAAGTCTCATTGCACAAACATCTCAGATGGATTTTGGTTGTTGGACAACTTGTCAGAGTATGATGAGGTGGGTTAAACCCCATGAATAAAGAATTTAGCTGACCATCAAAAAAGCCTTCAAATCCCCAGTATGTGATATTAGAACCAGCTGAAAAGTTATAATGAAGAAACAGTACTGAATGTAACTGAGTCAGTCTGTTGACATCCAGTAAGTTTTAGGCATGCTCAATGCACGGTAGAATTGCCCAAGTTAGATAACTATTTTTAATCCTTTTTCAGCTCTAAAGATCTAATAAACTTTATCATGAGTGTTCTTGATCCTGTTTAGATCTTTAATATTTCATGTTAACTAACATGCAGTGACTGGATGTACTGAATTAGTGGAAGTTACATGTGTATATGGTGTTATTATGTAATGCTTCTTTGATAGGGACATGCTTGACTGACAGGTTGTGGCTACTTAGATATTTTAATTTAATATGATGGTGGCAGACCTGCATTCTAGAACATACCAAGTAGATTCAAAGTGGGAATGTGGGTATACCTGTGCAACGAAAAGAAAAGGGATGTTACACCTTTTTCCTGCCTTTTCTTCTACTTGTTCTCCATCCTCTGACTCCCAACTTCCCCTCTGCTGCTCTTCTGCCAGCTAAGAATGTGACTATATCTCATCAGGCAAAAAATAGCTGTGGGGAGGTATGAGCAGGAAAAGGAGACTCAGTGCCTCACCTGGGCACTACTCCTGTTTGGTATGATCTTTGTGTTAATTGCAAGACTATGATTTTTAAAAATCTGATGACGTTAAAGTCCAATTTCTGAAAAGTATGTGCTGTAGTTGTGCCCAGCCTGGGTTGGTTCTTCTGGCAGTCTCTATGGAAGGCAGTGGGGTTGCAAACTCACTTGAAAAAGAGGTTGTACTGTACTGCCTTCTGCCAGTTGCATAGGGTACTGCTTTTGTTCTGCATGAAGCTCCTGTGCTGAGAGACCTAGGAGAACAGTATTAAAAGTGGTCTTATTCACATTTACATCCTTTCTCTGGGAAGTATATCTCACTTTATCCTCCAAACAACCTTGTGAGATAGCAGTGTGATCCAGTAAACATAGCTGTTGAATGTGGATTTTCACCTGAACTCTCTACCTAAACCCTTTCTACCTCTCTAGGCAGGACTTTGTACAAGCTTTCTCATGGCCTGGTTGCCGATATCCCCAGCTTGCTATGATAACTAGGTTTTTCTCCTCACACCCTGTTTTCTTCATAGGAAACAGCACTGTCTAAATTTACTGATTCTACAGCAAAGAGTTTGAAAGGCCACCATTTCTGGGCTGTATGAAAACGTCTACAGGAAATGCCAGTTAGAATGGCTCGGGACTTGGAAGAAACAGACTCGTCCTCAGAAGAAGAGGAAGAGGTGGATGGACCAGAGTAAGTTAAACATATGGTGCCCATATACAGCATTAGAACTGTACAGCTTGTTTCTTCATATGTAAGCTTGGAAGATTAGGTTTAGATTTTTTTTTTTAAAGGAGGTGGTTGGGTTATAGGGTATGAAAAACCAGCTTACATGTTCTTGCCTGGAAGTGGTAGGCTGGGATGCAGGGGAACATAATCACGGTCTTGGTTAAATATATGAAAGCTGCCTTTTATTAGGTTAGATTACTTGTTTTTTCAGCCCAACATTCTCTACTCTGACTGGCAGCTGATCTCCAGAGTCTCTGATAAAAGCCTTTCCTGTCACCTGCTGCCTCATCCTTTAATTGGAGATGCCAGGGGTTGAATCTGGGATCTTTTGGATCCAAAATATATGCTGTGCTCATGAAGAATGGTTACTTTTTGTCATCAACAACTTTTCTTGCCATTGATCCTTCATATGCTATGAATCTACTGCTTGTAGTTCCATCCTGGTTAATGGGTGATATAGAATTCAAATCAACAAAGGAGGGACAGGGAGCCAGGGTCAATAAATACTGCCTTGTTTTACTAGCCTTTGTACTCGCTCAAGTCTTTTGGCATGCACAGAGAAATTAGGGAAAGGCAGGTCATCTCACACTTCTGCTATGTTTTGTTGAAGTTATGAAACAGTGAAAGAAATGTTTTCTGTTTCTTATCCAAACTGCAGTGCCACTTAAATAAAACCTGACTTTTTCCTAAGTCCTCTGTGCTTGAAGGAGAAATGGAAACAAGTATTGCCACAACACTCAGTGTTCCATATTTCCTTCAAACTGCCATGCAAGTAGGAACTCTAGAGAGGGGATGTTTGTTCTGGGCCTCCTTCTCACACATAAACTTGCAGTTACTGGATAATGTGATTCCTGCATGAATTAGTACTGAAAGAGAAGATATTTTAGCTAATATTGGCACATTCTACTTCATAATAGTGTAATACTTGAAAATATCATGTTTGCAGAATTTGGGGGTCTTCTGAAAAAAGCTGTTACCAGCCTTGAGCTATAGAGTGAGAGGGTAAGATGGAGAAAAATGTATTAGGAGCCACTGTGTTTGCAGTTGATTTGTTTTTCAGCTACTTGGCAATAATATTTGTTAATGAGTAATCTTTGTGGAACTTCCATTCCAGCTGGTCACTATAAGATCATTTATGTAACTCTCTAGAATTGATACCTGTATTTGCTTGCTTTTCCCTTCCTTCCTCATTCCTTTTTTCATTATATCTGTAGACATGTACAATATAGATGTTAAGCCTGCAGTCAAGGACTGTGCTATGATTTAATGTCAATACAATGCACAATAAATTATAGGTGCTTCAGAAGTGACAAATAATAATTTGAATCGATCATTAAAGAGGCTCTCTCCTTTAGCAGTCCTTTATTTTACCACTAACATTCATTGTGAAGCCTCTTGGCTTTACTAAAGAGCAATTCTAGTTCATTTAGATTAGTTAATTTTGTCATTGATTTAATATGCTTCCAGTCAGAGGGTTCCTAACACTAACAGTCAGAAGGCATTGTGTGGCTGTTCCATTAGGGAAAATAAATGGGTTTCTTCTGGTAAGGAAAAAGAGGGAAGAATAAGTAGGAAAGCGTGGGGTGGGGTTAGAGGTGTTACAGGAGGAAAAAACCATCTGGAAACCCCATAGTGTTTTGTGTATAAGGTAAGGCAATGGCTCAACAAAGGTCTAGTCTGGAAGCACCCTTCATGGGATGTGAATGTAGACTACATCTCAAATCTGACAGGTTTCTTGGTAACATTTTCTTGGGAGCATGTTTGTGTGTGTATGTGTCCCTTGGACTCTCTGTATTTATTGACAGCAAAATCTTCCTTCAGGATTGCAGTGAGATCTTCTTTGATGCATTCATTTTTTTCTGAAATGCTACCCCCTAGAACAACATGGAATCAATGCCACAGTGACATGATTTTCTAAATTATATATCCAGGCAGCTTTCCCTTCGCATTTCAAGCAATATTGAGCTTGTTGCAATGCTCGGTGACTGAATTAATCTCTCGGCACTGCCTACTACACATCACGTCAGCCATTATGCCAGGTAGCCAAGGGTCATGAAGAGGATGAGTATTGAAATCACTTTGAAGCATGTCTGAGCCCTGGTGTTCTTACTGTAAATCCTGAAGACAGGGCTTAACTTAAAGCCCCTTTGTGCAGTATCGGCTCTGTTCCCACTTACATAAGGTGTTAGGATGGACACCATAAAATCTGCTTTGATTTAAAAGTGCTGCCCTAGCTCAGGGTGAATTATTTTGGGGAGGGAATGAAAGAGGATGCAAAGTTGTGCTTTATACTGATATGGGGATATGAAGTTTTAAGAATAAAAAGTTCCTGTGTAAAGAGATAGGAAACACTTTATTGTGGTATTGCCTGCAATGATTCTGACACTTTATGCAAATATCAGTAGAATTCTCTTAGCCTTAAAGCATGTGTGATCAAATGAAGACAGATATTGCTGCTACTTTGAAGGGGCTGTGGTAACTTAATCAGTAGGGTAGGCCTTATTGAAAATTCCATAAGCTTGAGAGCTCCACCTAATTGGGCCATTATATAGATGGGTTTGGCAAATGTTAGCTACTGGTGGTCATTTTGCATAGACGTATATATTACTTTTATTAGTCTTAAATATAGAAGACTTTCTGAATCAAGAGGCTAATGGATCCAGGTAGTTTCCAGAGGGCCCTTGGTGGTCTTCCAGCTGACATGGCAGTTGCTGTTGTTGAATCTTTTATTCCTTTCTTGAACACAGTGATGACTTGGGCATTTAACATGATTACTTCTGAGTGCCCTCTCTGTAGTAGAGCTCATATGGTTCCATAGTGTACCACGAAGGTGAGACTGATGAAACAATAGAAGAGAAGACTTATGTTGAAATGCAGAAAAACTCCCAGTGGTTGCACTTCAATCTTTATGAGCATGTAGTTGGGTATATTTAGGGGCAGTTGAGCTTGGCAAACACCATTTCACTACCTCTGTTAAATCTTCCCTCTTCTGCCCCAGTGGAACTTTTTTAGGTCATTTGAGGCCTATTACAATGGCTTTCCGCAAGGGTATTGTAGGTAGATCTGTGACCCTCTGTCATCTAGGTACTTTCAGGACAAGCACTGCTGCATCTGTTGGAACTTGGATCCTAGTGTTAAAAGCAGTAGAATCAGGAGAGGTTCTCAGAGTTCAGCCAGATAAAGTTTTCTTGGATGAATCATAGAATAGTAGAGTTAGAAGGGGCGATGAAGGCCATTGGGTCCAACTGTCTGCTGTTGCAGGACACTAGTTTACACCATCCCACTCAGATAGCTGTCCAGTTTCTTTTTAAATGTCTCTCGTGTAGGAGATCCCACCAACCTCTCTAGGTAACTGGTTCCACTGTTGTATTGCTATGACAGTGAGAATAACCTCTCCCATTTCGCCCACCCAAGTTTCAATGATACAAGCCAGATCATGAATGAGAGAGATCTTATTTTGGGCTGACCTGGCATTAGACAGCAGCACCACCAAGCCAAAGGGTAGCTGGTATGGCTGTCAGAAATCATCTAGTTGGGGTGGGGGGAATCAGAAGAGGGGACAGACGTAAAATATCTGACCCCTTCTTAGCTAATCCCCCAAGACCATATTTCCCACTACCCATAACTACACTAATAAGGCTACTCCCTTGCTTCCCAAAGTTTCCCAGGAACATCTAAAACAGTAAAAATGTTAAAAACTGACCGGTTGCTATACTTGTGGCTGTGGGGTTGCCTTTTGTCTGACTCAAAAGTCCTGGCACCAAACAGACTTTGAAGGAGTGCAGATATGTACCAAACTGGCAATGATGTCCCTTGCCACTGCCCTTCAGCAGCTACCCAAGGCCACTGCCCTGGGCACAGGCCCCCTGAAGAAGGCTTGCACTAATTGAATGCCCTGCCTCTGGAGCCTGTGGAGTTCAGCCGCAATAGTTCCTCCCTCCCTCCCTGGACACTCTTACCAACCAGGCGAGGAACAAATGGTCCAGTGACTGGGCTGCGGCAGAGGCAAAGGCTGAAGAGTAGCGGGCTTTGTCTTGTCCTGTCTTCCTGGCCATAGTGGACCAGACTGGCAGGCAGGCACTTGCGATATTCCCCAGCATGGGGATTTCCATGGGTCAGCTTTGTTCCCCTTCATGTTCAGCATCTACATTAAACCTCTGAATGGGGTCATCTGGATTTTTGGAGTGCATTGCTATCACTATGCTGGTGACTTTCCTTTTCGTCTCCATCAGGCAAGGCTGTGAATGTGCTAAATCAATGTTTGACTGCAACAGTTGACTGAATGAGGGCTAATACAGTGAAGCTCAATACAGGCAAGACTGAGATGCTGTTAGGGGGCGGTTCCTCAGACTTGATGGAAGATACTCAAAATGTGCTGGACAGGTCTGCAAATCCACAGTTTGGGAGTCCTCCTGGAGCCATCTTTGTCATTCAACATCCCTTTGTCAGCTACTTCCCTGTCTGGACTATACTTTGGCAATCTCTAAATTAGATTACCCAATGCATTCTAAGTGGGGCTGCCCTGTGGACTATTTAGAAGCTGTAATTTGTGCAAAATTGGGGTAGCCAGACTAATGACTTGGACCAGAAGGGCCAAGTGTATAACATCAATGCTGGTCCACTTGTATTGACTGCCCATATGTTTCAAAGCTAGATTGAAGGTGGTGGTTTTAACATATAAATAAAGCACTATATGATTTGGGATTGCAATACCTGTTGGGGCACCTTTCCTAACCTAAATCTACCTGTATGCTATATTCAACATCAGAGGTCTTCCTTTAAAGGAGGCTGGGTTGGTGGCAACAAGGAAGATGACTTTCTCAGTGGTGGCACTTCCATTATCATCCCATTGAGGATTTCCATGCACCAAATCAGTTAGTTTTTGGCTGCTAGTATAAGACTCCTTTCTATTCTGAGGCATTAATGGTTGCTAATGGCACATGGCCAGGATACGGGGTTTCCATTAGCTATTTTTAATCAGTCAAGTTGTATTAACTTGTTTAGTTTTAAAAAATTGGTTAAATTAATTTTAATTTTTTGCACTGAAATTTTATGATGTTTTACAATTTTATTGCATGTACACTGTCTATAAATGTTTGTACACCATCCAGTTATGGAGTGGTATAGAGATGAAACAAGTAATAGTGATGATGATGTTATTTTCCCCTCTGGATTTTTTGACTGACTGTCACGTTGTACTCTTATCTTCATGACTTATTTCTACTCTGTCCCTGTTTTCATCCACCTTCCTTAGGAGTGGTACAACCTGAAGTGGAAGTTCTCCAGCTCCTGTCACATCAGGGTAGCAGTGGAAATTAGTTGAATGAATGCAAGTTGTGCATTATTACAAACTTGTTTTCAAGAGAGGTTTTATTCTTAGTGCTGTTTTCAACTGCATGAGAATTCAGCACAGCCCAGTCCCCAGTGCATGAACACTTCCCAGAATTTTTCTAATGGAAATAATAAAAAGATTAAAGTTCATATTCCCAGCTGCACAAAAACATAGTTCCACCCGCACATTTTTACAACTGTAGAAAATGTGTCCAGCTGCACATTATAGTAAATGTCAGTGGTCTATAGTTGAATTAATCTGATGAAAATCTGAAGAAGCATTTTTTCATATGAGGCCCTGTCAAAATGATATGTGTTAATTTCCTTGTATGTTGCCCAACTCTTTGCCCTGGCTTTTGTTGTTCCGACTTTATTTTTATTTCTCTGCTTTATTCCCCATCATTACCCATACTGAATTAAGTTGGTTTGTTGTATGGTGACCATGCAGATACCAGCTTCTCAGCATTTGGGCTGAGGCTTAACAGTAACACAGCAACTTGTTGTCACTTGTTTGCTGAGGCGTTGCCGTAGTGCAGGTTGCCACAGTACATGGTCAGTTTGTATCTTGAGGCACAAAGACCTGCCCTAGGAAAATGTAAGGCTCTTTCTTCTAAGAGTGCTTTGTGCATTCTAGATGTTACTTAGAATATCAGAAACATTTGCTTTTCCCAGGCAACATTCTTAATGTGTTTGTGCTAAATGTTGGATGAAGTAAAAACAAAACAAAAACCTTGTATTCACTTAATAGAGATTTTAGAGGAATAGACATAAGTAAGAATCATGCTTGAAGGATAGGAACTAACCAGAGCAGCATTAAATGAGACTGCTCCTGTATACTCTAAATAATTTATACAGCTATGGATATTTATTTTGCTGTGTGAATGGGTGTTTTGAGTTTATGAACGCTGATAGCTATATTTGCTGTTAGGTACTTTCATTCTGTATATGGGGCCACTGCATGCTGTAGGTGTTTAATCTGGCCTTCTTTATTATTAGCAATAGCTTGTATATAATTCATACACATTTGTTGTTGTTTTAGGGAGCACCCATGTATCATGTGGACAGGTGGATTCAGAAGGATCCCAATCCTGGTATTTCATGCAGAAGCTATTCTAACCAAGGACAGTTATATCCGTTTGATTGGGGGTAAATATAGCTTTATATAGTTATCTCATGAAGAATATATTAAATACAATGACTGAAGAAAGATTTATCTGTAACTTTGATTCTTGTTTTGTAAAATAAAGAAGAGATGCTTTTAGTACTAATCTAGAGTCAGAAGCTGGATTTGAATACAAATATTTTATTAAATTGAAATAGTAAAGCCTAAGTTAAGCTGTACTAAATTTTTAAGGACTTAAAAGCTCATAGATTCATGTTTTAAGAGATATTTAGGATTTTCATTCCCAATACTGCAATATTTATGCTATATTTAAATTTTTGTTCTATTAATTTCTTAACAAAAAATATCGTCAGAAACATTGGAATTCCAATTGTATGAGCAGTCTCAGATATTGAGAGCTTTAAAACTACTCCTCCTGGCGGTATCTTCCTTCTGGCAGTATCTTCTGATTGGGATGCAGTTACTAATTTATGGTATTCTATTCACAGAGCGCTATCGCTTGTCTTTTAAAATTGTGAGAACAGATAGTCGCCTGGTGCGCAGCATTTTGTCAGCTCATGGATTCCGTGAGGTATATTCATCAAATTTCTTGAATGTAAAGAGGCCAATGCCCAATGTAATGCTTTGCCGCCAAGAGATAGCCTGGGGGGACAAATCAAAGCCTGGGGGTTAAGTTATATCCAATCAGACAACAAACACTATAAACCTCTTTCTTCCTGCATTTGAATATGTTGCTCTGAGTCTAAAACAATTTTATCATGTATGTTCTTCCAGTTTATTATTGTTTTGCTTTAAGTTCTTTGATAACATTCCTGGAGAAACTTGGTTTATAGGGATGACTATGTGGACAGTCAGTGTGGCATAGTGGTTAGAGTGTTCAACTGGAGCATGAGATGTTCATGTTCTAGTCCTCACTTGGTTATGAAGCTCACTGATTGACTTTAGGGCAGATACTGACTGTCAGTCTAACCTACCTCACAAGGCTAGAATGATGACAGAGAAGAAGAGAGGGAGGATCATGTAAGCTTCCACAGATTCCTTGCAGGCACATGAAGGGATATAAAGATAATAAATAAAAAATGTTGTTCTGGAAAGCATATTTGGAGTGAGATGTAGGCAATGTATAAATGGCATGTAGCAAAATGTATAGTAAGAAAAAGAGTTCCTTTGAATGTCATCAGCCTGTAGGTGAGGGGTTTGCCTTGTTTTTCTGGACTGGGAAACATAAAGGCATTAGCTTTGCAAACTTATTTCCATCAATGTAATGTATCGATTTGAGGTAATGTAGCTTTATTCAACTGACTGTGTTACCAAAGATTTATAAGCATGTGTTTTCCACAGGTGCACCCAAGCAGCAATGAATATAATCTTATGTGGACAGGGTCCCATCTGAAGCCCTACATTCTACGAACCCTCACAGATATTCAAAAGGTCAATCACTTTCCCAGGTAAGAAGAGACTATATGGTGAATAAAAGCACTATGTAGTGGATTACATAGTTATGTGACTGGTTGATTCCTTTACAGCACTAGTAGATGTTGGTCATAATTGAATTCTGCTTTATGTTTTTCTTCAGTATCTCTCATATGTGGAAAGCTGGAACAAATTAGATGGGTTATTTTATTTATTTTTATTTATTAAAAGCTTTTGTATGCCATCCTATTATACAAGAACTCAGGATGGTTAGGGTATTTTAGATGTATGAGTTGCTATCTCCAAAGTGTTAAGGTTCAATAACTCATGGATACTAATATGAGAAATAAACAGTTGCAAAAACAGGTTGCTAAAACCAGAAACTCATTTGAAAATGTTTGCCCACTGATTTTTTAAAGAAATGTTTGGTACTGGTGAACCTCTAAGGAAATGGAATCCTAAAACTGAGGAAGCACTACCAAAAGTTCTTTCTACAAGGTTGGCTAACTCATTCCAGCCGTTAGAGCAGTTGTGAGTAACCTGCAGCTCCTGCTCTGCATGTGCACCTTAGTTTTCTTTTATACAGCCCTCATCATCTTTTGTACCTCCCTGTACCAGCTACCATAAGGAAAACAAAAGAGAGACTGGCACGTTACATGTGTGAAGTCAGAGGCTCAACCCAAAGCATGAGGTGTAGTGTCTTTCAGAAGGAAATTCTAGATATTGCTCTCCATGGTAAGCTGTCATATGTGCACCTGCTGGCTTTTTTTCTTCCGTCTTATTGTGGAAGCGTCAGAGTGTGTATGGAGTGGCTCTGGCCATTCCACTGTTAAGAGGGCAGCCCTGGAGAGATTCCTCTGAGGGAGTTCAGCCTTTGATGGAGAAAAGGTTCTTTTCTCCTGCTTCAGTGTGCTTTCAAGTAGAAGGAGAGGGAGTGATCAGTAAGGGACTTCAGAGCTGTATGTTGTGGCCAAGGTGACAATAGCAAGAGAGCAAGCTAGTTAAATCGCACTGTCTGATCTGTGCAAATTATTCAAGTGTAGCATCAACATAGCCTTGAGGGTCAGAAAGGGGGGTTTGCTGTGACTGACATTCTATCTTTCTCTCTAGGCTTCCCAGACAGTTAGTGCCAGTTTTGACTATTTGTGTTTTCTATTGAACACCAGAACAGATTAGGGATTCTGCTGATGTACCTTCTGCCCAGCTCCTCCTCATTTATTTTGGGACAGTGATGGTAGCAAAACTTCTTTTCTAATAGCATTGCATCTTCCTGGTATCATCCAGTGAAGTGTTTTTTAGTGCTGCTGTCTGGGCCAAGGAGGGATATGATGGAACTTTGATAACATGCCAACATCCTTTTCCTGGGCCAGATGCTTGACTGGGTTGCTTGCTAATCAACAATGAAATAATTTTGGAATGGAAATTACCTTAGTCTCCCTGTGGAATGACCTTTGCTGAGAGAAGTACATGGGGAATGTGTTCTTGTTGATTCTTTTGGATCTCTCAACAGCTTTTGATATTATTGACAGTCATATCCTTCTGGATAGGTCATTGTGTGTGGGAGGTACTGCATTGTAGTAGTTCTAGTCTTACCTGTATGGCCAGTTCTAGAAGCTGAAGCTGGGAGATTTTTCCTCTGTACTTTGGCAGTTACACCATGAGGTATAACTGCCACAGAGCTCTGTTTTATTCCCCAAGCTATTTAACATCTGCATGAATGGAACTGTTGGAGGAATAATGCAGAGATGGGGCAAAGGTGTCACCAGTATGCAGTTTACACTTAAGTTCGTTCTCTCTCCCTCTCTCTCTCTCTCTCTCTCTCTCTCTCTCTCTCTCTCTCTCTCTCCTTTTCATCAAATCCTGGTAAAGCAGTGGGCGTTTTGAATCAGTGCTGCTCGTTGTAAAGGACTGGATGGGGGCCAATAAATAGAAACTCAGTTCAGATAAGATGGTGGTGCTTTTAGTGAGAAGTTTATCCTGCTTTAGTGGTGTTTAACGAGTTCTGAATGGGTTTGTGCTTCTGTAAAGGATCCATTTTTAGTTTGCAGGTATGTTTGGATTTAGTATTATCCCTGGAAGCGCAGATGACCATAGTGTCACAAATGCAGCTTTTATCACTTTAGCCTGATACAGCAACTGTGACCCTACCTGGACAGAGATAACTACATTTATCCATAGTTTATGAACCCCATGTTTGGATTACTGCAATCAATTGGGTCTGGGGCAGCCTTTAAAAATGGTCCAGAAACTTCAGCTGGTGCAAATAGGGATTGAGCTCATTAATGGAGACTGGTTGGTATGATTATATTACACCTGTTCTCTGATGTGTGCCAGTTTCCAGGCTGTTTCCAGGTATTATATTGAATACCCTTTAAAGTTTTTCACATTTCCTGAATGATCATCTTCTCTCATGTATACCTCTCAAGACTCCAAGGTCATATTCAGAAGTTATCTTCCTGGTGCCTTAACCAAATAAAGTGAGGTGTATGCTACTGAGAATAAGGCTTTTCAGTGGCAGGGGTTGCTACCCAGGCACTTTGGGGGTGGCTGACAATGACATTCACTTGTTAACTGCTTGGCAAGAGCTGCAATGATTTCTTGTTGCTCTTGCCAAGTCTCTCACTTGCAGTAGGGCTTGACCTACAATGGGTCATGTCATCTATGTTTAGATGACATCACAGCAAGTCAGCATTAGTCAAACAACCCCTACTGCCAACCATGGATGTCAGGTTAGGTGTTAAGCCTAAAATAAGTCATCCTGGCAAGCGTGCTCCAGATTTGCAAGACACAACAGCCTACTGCAGGTTGTTATACATAAGCCAAAGTGGGTTGCATGCCATGCAAACCTAGGTCAAGCTTGTAAGCCACGGTGGTTTGTTATACTGTGCAAGTCCAGAATTTATAATCCAGGCAGATTGTCATGTTATGTGAATCCTCTCTGTGAGTATTAGGGTACCAATGAATTTTTGAACATCCCCATAAAGAGATGACACCAGAAAACTCTATATACATGGTTTCAGATCATATGAATTAACTCGAAAGGACAGGTTGTACAAGAACATCAATCGAATGCAACAAGCCTATGGATTCAAGACTTTCCATGTTCTGCCTCAGACCTTCATCCTTCCAGCTGAATACCAAGAGTTTTGCAGTAAGTGTCTGACAGGGAATGACCGGTTCTTCAGTAATGCTGGAGAGTGGAATGTGGGGCTTTCATTCCATGATCCTTCTGTGCTTTAGCACACTAAAAACTGTGTGTGAGCCATTGAAATAGAAAAGGAAGGATATAAGGAAGAAATTAATTTTAACTCTTTGATTTCTTCATTCCTATTCAGTGATATGGCATGAAACCTTTTCCAAAACAGAACATTTTCTGATGCTACACTATTCCATGGTAGATTTTTTCACACCATATGTGTCTGTATTTATCCATAGTCACCTGGTTTGCTGTACTGCAGTCATTCATGATAGATGAGATAAATACAGGGTATTAACTTTTTAGAGTTATTCTTCAAAGGCAAGGATTGACAGTGTGTTCAGTTGCACATACAGGAACTGAAAAATAAGGTATGACATCCCCTTTCTGTGCAGTTGGCTCCTGGTTAGGCTTGGACCAGACTTGTACATGGTGTATTTGCCCTCTGTTGCTAACATTCTTCAATAGCAAACTGAAGGAAAACTTGTAACTGTGTTTATTTCAGTTAAGAACTCAAGAAGAGCCATTTTGGATCAGACCAAAGTTTCATCTAGTCTAGCATTCTCTTCCTACTGTGGCCAACCAGTTGCCATGGAATACCACAAGGAGGACATGAGTACAACAGCACCCTCATGCCCAAGTTCCCCAGTCTGTGCCCTTTAGTAAGATAGACTGCAGCTAGTTTTAATGTATTTTGTATTTGATGTTGTAAGCCGCCCCGAGGCCTTGGCAAGGGGCGGCATAGAAATGTTTTAATAAATAAATAAAAATAAATAGTTGTTCTGAATCACATTTGTCTCAACTTGAAGTGGAGCCAATAAACATTTCAGAGAGAGAATAAAGCTGAAGGTGCTGTAGTTCTCTCAACAAAAGAAATAATATAATACAATGTCTTTGAGTATATATTCTAAAAATAGTGTGTTTACTGAGGTGTAGTCATGTTTTGATAAATATAAACAAACATTACAAGGAAGAATATACTATTGTCTTTACAGTTTTACAATATTACAGTAAATTTGCAATAATTTTCACCTAAAGCTTTGAATATGACATCTGAACTATACTGTATAGTTAATTTAACTTCCCATGAAGCAGATGTTTCAGTACAACTATTTAGTAGCTATATTTTGGGAAAATATTTGATATAATTATACTGCACATAAAATTAACATGAATTGCATTGTTCTGTTTATTTATGTTTATTAAATATAGTATATGTACTTATTGAGGGAGAGTGAGGCATGGAGAATAAAACATGCTAAATCAGATAATATTATTTAGAGCACTGGGATATTTCCCAGAAAATTTTATACTTTTTCCTTCCTGGAAAATCCATATTACTGGTCCTGCCATGTGGAAAAAAAAAAGAAAACCTATGTATCTATGGTTCGAATTTTTCTTTGGGAAAAACTCAGCAATAAGTATCCCATGTCAAAGCATTTGGATTAGAACCCTAATGCTTAATGTCTACAAGCATGAGCTCCTTGACTTATAACGAGAAAGGTAGGCATTCTAGAGTTCTGTGTTTATACTGAATAACTCCAAATTCCTTAATAATTGCAGTATGTTACTATCTATGCCTAGAATGTGAACTGTATAGAATAAGAACATCCCATTGCCTTTTTTAGCCTTTAGAATGTATGACTGAAAGACACCTGTAAGAACTGCTAAAATTTTTCTTCAGGCATTGCTGGAAGTTATCAGTAACTGAGTTCACATGAACAGCAAACCACTGTGGTGGCTTATAAGCCATAGCTGGTTGTCATTTTGTGTGTGAACCTCGGATTGGTTTGTCACCATGGATTATTTTAGGTTTATAAGCCATGGCTCACAGTAGAATTTTTTGACCCACAATAACCCCTCCCTACCTGGATAACATGACCCATCATGGGTTAAGTGAGCCACTTGGCAAGATTCTCAATAAAACCTTGCTGTTCTTGCTTAATGACCATCACTGTCCCCAAAATACCAAAGTAGTACTTGGGGACAGCTGTCAAAAAACATGGTGGCACGCCCTTTCAGTTCATCGCGGCAGTACAATGGAGACTGGTGCCACTGACATGTGGAAGAGTAATCAATAGCATCAATCGCCTTGCACTGTGATGGTGAGCCCTTTCAACTGTTGGTGCCAGGCTGAAAGGGCTGCAGTGGCTATGCAGGGTGGGAGTGGACCAACTGGGACATTGAATATGCATCTCCCACTGCCCACTGTGGTGACAGGTTCTTTTGCTTAAGTCATGGTGGTCAGCCAAGATCAGTGATATGAATTTGTGAGTCAGCAGCAGCAAGCCCACCTCCCTCTTCCCCTACTTCTGGTGGTGAGGGGGGTGGGGGTGAATCTTGGTAATCCTTCTGGGTTCCCAGGGATACCTGCAGAGGACTAAGAGGGTAAAAGAGAGAGGAAGGACCCTACCTATGACATGCCCAATCTTTTCAGGGGCATCTTGGGTAAAGTGGCTTCTTGTGTCATGTGTATTCTCCTGGAGTTTGGTAATTTTTTGCTGAGCATTTGATACTGTTGTATTTGTCTTTTCTATTAATGCTCAACTAGATTCCTATTCAAAGGACAGGGGTCCCTGGATAGTGAAACCTGTGGCATCTTCTAGGGGGCGAGGTGTCTATTTGATCAACAATGTAAGTACTTGAAAGTATACCATCATTGATGTTTCACTGGTAACTATGAGCAAGTTCATAATAACATTTTTCCCTTTACAAAGGTGTTCAGACTATTAGTGGTGGAGCGCAGGGTGTGGTACTGTCTTGCTCTGTGTCAAGCAAATTATTTGATAGATATTGCTGCCTTAGCTTAAGTCAAGTGCAGTTACATAGTCTTAACATAGCTGTCTGCTAGCTGTCTCCCCATTCTCATTGTTTTTCTTGGGTGAAGTTGAATAGTATTATTGTGTTTTATTGGCTGTATTTTGCTTTGGGATATTTGTATAATGAAAAGCAGATAATACATTTTATAAACGAACAGTAAATGGAATGGTCACTGCCATCTTGATTCTTACTGCACCTGCATGGTGTATCTGGTTCTTGGGAACAATTAGAACTGAGAACTTGGAATTGGCATATGAATGTTTTTAATCCATGGGTGAAATTATATTATCTGGGAGATTAAAGCAATATATGAGCAGGGAGTATTCAGTAAAGTATCCTTTGGAAGCCATAGAAACAATTATGTGCCGATGGTTACTACTTTAATTTGTGAAGCCTATCTTCTTTTTGTGCAACCTCACCTTCTGAACTGTCATCAGATATGCTGGCTAATGACCCTTAGATGGTCACACATATATCCTTGCAAGTGACACATGGAGATGTCTTGAGATTCATACTACAAATGTTTGTACAGTTGCTGTGGTATGGAAGGTAAGAATGAATAGAAGTGATTGTTTAGCCAGAGATAATAGGGCTTGTGTTGAACATACAGTTGGAAATACAAGGTGAGCTGATTGTTTTTAGGTTGAGGAGAATTTTCCCACATGTTTGACCTGATCAGAAATCTGAGAAGTGAGGATGTGGTGAGATTCTTGTTATGGGTGATCAACTCTCTTGATTTATATAGTTGTGGGTTAGATGAATATTCAGTAGATAGACTCAATTATGATAAAGTCGTTTTGTAGCATCATTGTTGGCTGCTTCAGGAACCATGCCTATTACTATGAATCCAACTCAGATCTAATGCACAACTAAAGTGCAGGATGGTGTGTGTGTCCCTGTCATAAAGTTGATAGAATAAATATTCTTGGCATGGTGTAGTATAAAACTGGACAATGAGTCACTATTTTCACTCATATCTTTTCCCCCATATTGAAGGGGCCAGCTTGCCTCATCTGCTCTCAGCCTGGCTTCTTTCCCATGGAATAAGAGTGTGGCTAGCCAAGTGCATGAAGCAACACTTTCCAGAGCTACACAAGGTCTTACTCTCTGCTTCAAGGAAAGGCATACGTGAACAAAGGGTCAGAACCTGGAAAAGACACTCTAAACCCATTTCCCGTCATATCTGGCTTTTTCAGCATTGCTAAACCCATAAACCTGTCAAATGTGCTACATCTAGGGAGCACTGTCTAGAATTTCATTCTTCCAAGAAGAACCTGGTCTTAGTTCTGAATCTAGTTTTGACATGAGAGGCATGTGTTACTATTAAAAAAAAAAAACTAGCAATAATCTCTTTGCTCAGTTTGTACCCCTCTCTGTATGAAGCACTTGCATTTCATGAACATGGAAATCTCTACAGTTATTACCTTAAGTATGCAAGTGCTGAATTTGGGCCTTTGTGTGTGTGTGTGTGTGTGTGTGTGTGTGTAAATGAAAGAAAGGTAAGGTTGCATCCAGTACTTTTGGTCTGCCAGCACCATTGCAGCAATGCTATGTGCCTTCAAGTCTTCTCTGGAGTGTTGGGGGAACTTTCTGGCATTGATTTGGGGTATACGCAGGGGTTCCAGGGCAGTACTAAATAGGGCATAAAAGGAGGGACCCAGAAAAGAAAGTTATCTGGAAAAAGGGTGAGTGAGAAGAAAGCAGCCTGTCTTCATGTCTTTCATGATCTACAGAAAGATTGCAACTGGCTGGCTGACTGACAGGATTTGGTTTCCTCGTGTATTCTAGCTTCTGTATTTTGATATACTGTATGAAGACCTCACCTCTTGTGTTTTGCTCTTTTTGTTCTCTGGCTCTTGCCTGTGATTTATACTTATTGTTTCTTTGTCCATAAATAAAACTGATGACTAATGTCTGCACTGATTTAGAGCATGCGCAAACTTAAACCACAGTAATCAGTGGCTGAATCCTTCTCAGGACTGTCCTTGTCCTGTGTGCAGGAGTCTTCCTGTTCTTTAAGATCATTGCATTACACAGTACTTTGATAAGTAAAGTATTAGCTTTCATCATAGGGCTTGATTAGCCTAGTAATCAAACAGACATTCATTGGCACGTGGCAGTTGTGGAAGAAAATTAGTGATGTCAGCATTCAGGCCTTTATTTCAATGTGTTGTCTGTCTCATTCTGTAGCCAAATCAGATTTCCCTTGAAGAGAACATCCTGGTCTCTCGTTATATCAACAACCCTCTCCTCATAGATGGTGAGTTTATATCAGAGTTTGCTATCCTTTAGTACTCCCAGAGACTTAAGAGTTTTATTAAGCTATTGGACTGGTTCCTACAAGCCACTATAGAAGCAAAACTTCAATAACTCATGGGCTGTTGTACGGTTATTTGAGATTGCTCCCCACTCCAACAAGCCACACCACTGAGTTCTGACACATTGCAAGCAATTCCCAGGTGGTGATTATTCAAATCACACCTTGCACACACAATGATTCAAATAAGCAATAATAATGATTCAATAATGATTCAGATAATGCTAGTTTGATTGTGCAAGCCAGGTGATAGGATTATAATATAGAAATTCTGTTTGTTTCTATTGTATGTTTAATGTGGTACATAGCATACAATTGTGTCATTCTGAACCAGGCCTTGGAAACATTGTACTGTACTTCTGCTGAACAATTTGTGCCCATTGAACACCATTGCTCCTTTTTCAGACTTCAAATTTGATGTGCGGCTTTATGTTTTGGTGACATCCTATGACCCACTTATTATCTACCTCTATGAGGAAGGTCTGGCCAGGTAGGTGCTGGTTCTATGTTGCATGCTGTATAAGCCAATTTCCTTGCCCCACAAGGCAACAAAGTTAATAACTTCCCGCATGACTGAGCCAGAGATAAGGGGACAATGTATTTGTTTCATTAGAGTTTACTGAACTATTTGAGTTTGAGAATTATGAATGAATGCTTCTAAAATATATGGGTAAATATTTTCTCTTACTTTAGTAACTCTCTGATCCTTGTTTTTCTTCCATTGATCTCTAAATCAGAGTATTTAGCAGCTGATGATGCTAGAACTTTAACCTGTATTTGGTGACTAGTTAGAATTGAAATGACCTCAGCAATGATGGGAAATATGAAATATATGTACCAATGAAGAATATACCCTTTTCAGCTTGTGGCCTTCAGATGGCAGTAGTAGACTTTGAGGCTCTCATTGCTTGTTAATGTTTTTGTCTTCTTTGAATTTGTGAGCAAGAGAAAGCTTTCATGATTCTGGCGCCATCAGGTTTCAAGCCTTTTTGTTCATATATTCTGGTGCCAAAATACCAAGAGACTACTCTCTATACTGTGGGAACATAGCTGCCTTTATACCAGGTGAGGCCTGTGCAATGGCTCTTTACAAAGACTTATTTTATTGAACAGTTTGTCCAAGTCTAAACAGATTAAATGTTTACAGCATTTTTAGGAGCTGCTTTTAGAAGTGGAAACAATATACAATGATACACAGGAAGTGAAAGAACAACACTACATGTGCCTTTACCATGGAAAAGAGCACAGTGTTGCTCCAGTTGTGCTGAATCTAGGAAGAAAGAAAATTTACCCCCAGCGTGTATTAGGAACAATGGCATTTTGCTGTTCTGTTCTGGGAGATTGATTGTACACTTCGTAACAAAACTCAGCCACGTGGATGGCACATTTACGATCAGCCCTTTTGCTCCTGCAACTGCTGCAAAACTTAGCATTTTTCTTTAAAACAGAACCTCTGAATCTGAAACAGAATTAGCAACTAGTTGCATACATTACATTAGCACAAAAAGCTGATAGAGAAAATGTAGCTTTACACTTGAGTATTTCAGCATAACAGGCAGTGGTCTCAGGATTTTTACGTATATTTTAAAACAGCCAGTCACATAGTCAAATAATGTACAAGAGGCTTGGATATTCTGCTGCTTTAAAAAAAATCCTTGAAAGGTGAGTGTTATAGCCCCCTTCTTTAATTATCTTTTGTCTTCCCTAGCAGCATCTGCCCTTCATGCTTGTTAGCTTTGTAGGGTATGTAAAGTTCAGACAAGTATAATATGACAGTAGGGGGCACTCAGGCACAGGACTTAGAGTTTTCATCTTCAGAATTTGTCCTCTTTGTTTGGAGTCAAAGGGAAAGTTTCATTTATTAAAAATATGAAGTTTTAAAGAGATGTTGATTTGGTGTCTCAGCTCTTCTGAGCATTCATTTGAAATTGAATGACAGCTTGAATTCAGGGGAATAGTACAGAGTAGTTTTGTGGAAGTAAAATGACTTGAACAGAAAACCAAATGTGCATCTGAGGGGCCCAAGAAGGAGAGGGGTTGGGAAATGAACGTGGCTGCTGAGCTATGTGAGTTCCAAAATGAAGGCACAGGCAGCTGAGCCTTGTAATGTCTGACAGTGCAATGCTTTCCTGTTCCCTGAGCCCCCTAATGCCCTCTCCTTTGGTAGCCCTGCTTGCTAATTAGCACTGGCTCCGCGGAGATATTTACCTTTTCTCTTCTGGATTCCTGTGGTTTCCAAAGAATTCAGGTACTTACAGTGAGCCAAGGAATTCACATTACCTCATAGACTGTGTTGTGGCCAGAGCCTGATACAGCAGCCCAGTCCCCCTCACAGTAACCCCTGCCTGGCAGGCCCTTGATGTTTGGGGAATGTGGCTAAATTAAGCAATGGGGGAATTGCAATTGGCCTCATGATCTACCTCTTTTTTATAGCAATCATAAAACGATTTTAAAACCATTTTTATAGCAAACAGCATTTCATACTCCTACCTGTTGCTGAGTATGTCTCATTTAGTTAGGCAAAGATGAAACTGACTGCCTCCGCTGGTCTCCTAGACCAGAGAATTGGGGTTACTGAGAGGACATAAATGAGGTCTTGATAGATGTGTTTGAAAAAAGAGAGAGAGAAGGCTGAGGCTGTAACTAGAATTGGGAAGAGGAATTTAGAGAGTAAATATCAGTGGGAGATGAGACAGATCTGACTGTGAAGGAGTATGAGGAATGGGATGGACTAAAAATTGTATATGAGGTTGAATACAAATCCTACTGATTTGGAGACTAACAGACCCCTGGGCAAGAATCTCTTAGTATTTTGTTACTTGGAGAGCAGTTTAATTGCCAAAAGTAGATTCATGTGCAAGTTCTGTTGTTCATTTTCTGTTTGTGTATACTTGTTGAATTGAAGCATTTAATGAAGTAATTTAGACTAGCTTCCTGAACTAAGATAGGATTCTGTGTAACCTAATTTCTCTAACAGATGAGTTTACTCATATCATGCAGATTATGAGACAGAAGCAGAAAGAAGAGATTAACTGAAGGTGTCTTCTGCCACTGATGTGGGCAGAACAAAGAATGGAGTCAGTAATGTCTTAGCTTCCTGGTGTGTTTGTTACCTTGATAAGACTGTAAATAGCCTATTGCAACTCAGCAGAGGACAGTAGACTGCAGAAGAAAGAAAAATACAGGTCTTCCTAGTGTGCTTTTGACTTACTTGCACCTGCACAGTGGAATCAGATGCTATCTAAAAAGAATTGTAGGACAATAATGCTTGTACAGTTTTTAAAAATCCAAGAGTGCTGAGGCCTTCTGTGTGATATCTAGGGTAAATACGATAAATGGTCCAATTATGCTTGTTTTTGAATTGTCTAATGACTGTAGTAATATTTGGATCATAACTTTGGATCAAAGAGATTGCAACAGAATTTGTGATGCTGAAAATAGGTCTGACTGAAGGAATGTTGTCCCTGGGGTCGTGATGGGTCGGACACGACTTCGCAACTTACAACAAAAAAGCTTTAATGAGAAGAAGAAAAAGTCTCATGCAATAGTCTTGAAAGAACTTACTAAATCTAACCTGGGACAGTTTGAACATTGCTTTCCCGTGCTTGCCTGTGTGCATGATGAGGCTGAGAGTAAGCCTCAGGTTCATCTTGTTCATCACTGCTTCCTTTGTATTTTCCTCTTCTTAGAAAGGATGTTTGTATTAAGGGATCCCTTGTATGTTTGAATATGGCTTTTCATGACTTTGGATAATGAACCTGCTAAACAACCATATCCACATCTCGGCAAAATACCACATCCAAACTACTGTAGCAGTTCCCTGTCTGACCATTCACTTCTCTTTTAGGGCTGGTTAGGGGGAGGAAGCATACAAATCAGTACACAGGCCCTTATCTCATTATACATATAGGTGTGACTTGGGACAAAGTAATGTATGAGCCAACCTCTGATTGCATGATAAAAAGATGATGTGAAAGAATTGTTCTGCTTTGCTCTGAATGATTGGTATAGTCTTGATTCTTGTTTTTTAGGTTTGCAACTGTGAGATATGACCAGGGATCAAAGAATATTAAAAACCAGTTCATGCATCTGACAAACTACAGTGTCAATAAGAAGAGTGGTGACTATGTCAGGTATTTGACTTTGCTTGAGAGTTTGTGAGTCTTAAGTGTTTGCAGCAAAGCAGCAAAAATCATATTTAGTTAATTGTTTTTATATTCCACAGTTTAGGGTAAAACCATCAAAAGGTAGTTGATGAAAAAGTTAGTGAATTTAGACATGCACATGGTGGGGATGTTGTGAGCAGAGCCAACTGGAGCCAGGGGTCAGACTAGATGGCCTGGGAGACCCCTTCTGACTCGCTCTGTTTCTATGAATACAATCCATGAAACATTAAAAACAAAAACTGTATGTTAACACAAAACTGAAACTGACTGACTTACACTAAGGTTCTTGAGGCCACCAGTGTGAAATCTGTTTCCTTGCTTTTAGTTGTGATGATCCTGAAGTGGAGGATTATGGAAACAAGTGGAGCATGAGTGCAATGCTGAGATATCTGAAACAGGAAGGGAGAGATACCACATGTGAGTTGAGAACAGTTATCCTTTCCTTAATTCTTTTTAGTATGTACCTTGATAGATGATATTCCCAGTTGTGAGACACTTATTACCCTCTAAGATTGTTTTCTTACAATTCTGCCTCTAATTTGACTCTCTCATTTCTTCAGGGAAAAGGACTCGCTTACCTTGCTCATATCTGAATATGTTTTTTCTAGAGTTTCTCTTTTTGGAATCTCCTCCTTGGAGTTGTGACTGCTTTTGTAACAACTCCTTTTCCTATGTGTTATTCTCTTAAGTGATTATTTTTCATCTTGGAATTCCATATACTGTAGGAGAGCTTATTTCCTCACACCTGATTTATTCACTGATAGTGTGAGGACTGAACAGTGCAAATTTCAGTTTGTCTCTGGAGTTACATGTCCTTAGTGGTCCTTCATCAGTATCACAGGAGACAGACAACTTGTCTGATGGATGGAGATGCTTGTGTGTGGCCCTTTTCTTATTTTGTGCCAAGATTTTCACACATTCATTTAAATGTGGCAATTACTGATATGGCTTCTTGAATTCATTCAGCTAGGATGAAGCCTTTAAAAATATTAGTGAACTCACAAAATGTGAAATACATGCACTGTTTGAAGCAGGAATTCTTTTGCAATAATGAGGAGTGAATAGCCTGTGAGAACTGATTGATTGATTGATTGATTGATTACATTTCATTTTACTTCCATGCTGCCCCATAACCCAGGGCTTCTGTGGATGGCTTACAAATGCAGATCAGCATGTAAAAATACAGTCAGTAAAATAAGTAAAAGCAATAAAATTAATAAAACATTAAAATGTATCCCACATAAGAAAAGTTTATACAAAACCATACATAAGACATAACCAAATACAACCAAATAAATTAAAATGACCAATTATTAAGTAATTAAATAGCAACTAAATATAATTTAAATCAACCAAGTGCTTGTTGGAATGAAAAGGAAAGTAAGGTTGGCACCAGCTGTATGTCCCTGGGTAGCAAATTCCAAAGTCTGGTCACCCCTACAGAGAATGCCCCACTCCCAGTCCTTTCCCTTTTAATCTCACAAGGGGGGGGTGTTATTCAGAGAAGGACTTCAGAGGAAGATCTGAGTGGACAGGTAGGCATATATGAAGAAAGACGTTCCCTCAGGTAGGTAGGTAGACACACACACACACACACACACACACACACACACAGACACACGGTTTGTCCAGAGCAAAGTGTGGGTATTCTAGTGTATTCTACGTGTTGTATGCAGAAATTGCCATCAGATGGATGCAATGTTGATTCAGGAATCTTGGCTGTGGTAAAGTACAGTCTAGAACAGTGATGGAGAAATTCTTTATTCTGGGTGGAGCCCCTAGTTACCAGGTGGTGATCTGGGTTTAGACGATTGTATTTCACAAGCTTTTGATGGTTGGGCTGTATAATAAAAGTGGCTACTTTGTAGAAGCGTGTGTATGTAACTTATGTCCTTGGGCATAGCAATACATGCAAATGTATACAGCTGCAGGTAATCAGAAAGGCTGTAACAGTAAAGTGTGGGATATCATTCTTGAAAACACACAAACAGCTTGAGAATGTTTTCCTTTAGTATGAAACTGTGGATAAATAGTTTATATACCTTCATTAAAACATGATAGGGCCAACAGGGACAAGAATAAGCTGCTGTGGAGGCTCTCATTTGGCTATCCTAATCTAGAAGAGGCACAACTTTGCTTGAATCGGTAACAGAAAAATCTGTGGCTTGACATTATGCTTTATCACTGAAATATTACTTTGCTTAGTTCTAATGCAAGTTTACATGCCACGCTAAGCCACTCTGAGAATAAGCTACCATGAGATGGTTCTTTGCTTAACAACCTGACATATGATCAAGTGCTCTGTAGCTTGTTCTCCTGCACCTCAGACCCCCTAAGTCCCTCTGCCTGATCCAACATGTATTCCAGGCACCTTTATAGCAGAACACTTAGCTTTTTTATTCCATACATAAGCACCAACTTTGCATCTATGTATGTATGTATGTATGTATGTGTCTGTCTTATTATTATTATTATTATTATTATTATTATTATTATTATTATTATTACATTTCTATGCCGCCCCTTGACCTCTGGGTGGTTAATAAAATTTAAAGTTAAAAGTTAAACACACATTAATTTAAAAGAACAAACCAATTGGATTTGCTATGGTTCAGCATAGAGGCATAGTTTTCTGGTGTTGCAGGCTCCCAAAGGCAACTTCCCCCACCCTACATCAGACCACCACATGGATTTAATTTTCTGAACCCTTATGAATGCAATAATGCTCTTGCAAAACAAAAATATTGGTTGGGGGATCTTGCACAAGACTACCTGTCTACTATTTAACCTTACATACTGATAGCCTTCTTTTCTCAACTTTATCTTCCACCTTGGCACTTGTCAAAATACTTTTTTAAAAGCGGCTTTTTGCACTACCAATTACACCCACCCAAAAAGCTCTTTCTGTAGTCCCCAGCTGCTTTCAGCTTCACCCACCTTCATGCTTGTTGCTCCATTTCACTAATCTCCATTTGGAGCTGTCAGATAGCTGTATGGATTGCAGAGCTGTGAGGGGATTGGTAAAGATGTATACATTTTAAGACAGTATATGTACATTTCAAATCAGAACAGTGGGTGGGATTGATATATGCTCTTTTGATAGCAGAACACCAAAATGAGGGGGAAATAATGCAAATTTCATAGCCAAGGACTTTTGAATATGCACATGTGTGTAAGACCATGAGAAAAAGTTTACAGATGCATTTATGAGGACACCCACCTTTCTTCTCTACTTTTAGGATCACATGGTAGAGAGCATTAAGAAGGAATGAAAGAGGGTGGTGACATTGCTAGCAAAATTGCAAGAAGAGACAGGCATTTTCATCAACTTGATGAAAAATGGTATATTCCTGAAAACCTAAAATTAACTTGCCCTGCCAGTTTGGATGCTACAGCTAGCCACCCTGAACAACCCAACAAAAAGCCGTGTGTTCTCAGGGTGGTTCTCAAAAATTGCACCAAGTTCAGATGTCACCATGAGTGATTTCCCATGGAGAGTGGTTGTGTTGTGCAAGTCAGGTCTTATTCTTAAGTTTCGATTTAGTATTTATAATGTACCTGTACTCATGCATGCATTTCTTCCTACAGTTGTGCTTAAAATGCTCTCTTGTTTGAATGATTGCGTGTGTTTTCTGGCTGCTGATGATGCCAAAATTGACAGACATGAACCACACAGAGAGCTTCAGCTATGGGCACTATAGAAATGAAATGAATAATAAAATAATAATAATGAACTACTGTGTTTTTTTAGGTTACATCACAGTTCTTGTTCTTTATGTGCTTTCCTTTTCTTCATCCAGCTCTGATGGCCAGTGTGGAGGATCTAATCATTAAGACAATTGTTTCTGCTGAACTGGCCATTGCAGCAGCCTGTAAAGCCTTTGTCCCACACCGTGGTGTTTGCTTTGGTAAGGAACAGAAAACTATTGTAGTTTTTCCTTGTGTGTTGCATGTTACTTTGTGCCATGCTGTGTTCCAGCCACATGTGTTGCATGTTACTTCCTGGGGAGAGATGGGGGTACTGGCACTCCATATTATGTCAGTATGTCAGCTGACGCTCCTGTTGATGCTCTGGTTGAACTGTGGAATGGGGAAAAGGCCAGAGCAATTGACACAATCGCCCCAAGCATCCTCTCCTGCCAAGCAGAGCCTGTCCATCTCCATGGTATACATCTGAATTACGGGCAATGAAGCAGGTTTGGAGACGACTAGAGCGTAGATGGAAGAAATCACAGGATGAATGTAACCGAACATGCTTACATGCTCATTATCAAGCCTATGCTGTGACGGTGAGGGCAGTGAAGAAGAAATTCTTCTCCACTTCCATTGCCTCCTCACAGTGCCGTCCAGCGGAGCTTTTTCCAGTGGTACGTGGGCTGATATACCCCAGCCCTAAGAAAGATCCTGTACCACCATTGATGGCCTTCTGTGATGACTTTGCCCATCACTTCAAGGAGAAAATCGCTCCAGATTTGTCACGAGCTGGACTCCACAATTGATTCAGATCCCTTAGGGGAGATACCAATGACTCTGTCTGGTCAGGTATTAATGGATGAATTTCAGTTAATGCGGCCCGATGATGTGGATAAGGTGCTTGGACAAGTACGTCCTACCACCTGCTTACTTGACCCTTGCCCTTCGTGGCTGCTGACCAAAGCCAAACAGGGGATTGGTTCCTGGATCCTGGAGATTATTAATGCTCCTCTGAGGGACGGCCAGGTGCCCGCTCCTTTAAAGGAGGAGATAATCAGATCTGTCCTAAAGAAGGCATCTCTGGATCCATAGATGGCCACCAATTATAGCCTGGTGGCCAACATCCTGTTTTTGGGCAAGGTGTTGGAACGGGTGGTGCCAAGACAACTCCAAGTACTCTTGGATGAAACTGATTATCTGGGCCCATTTCAGTCTGGCTTCAGACCCGGGTACGGTACTGAATCTGCCTTGGTCGCCCTGTATGATGACCTGTGCAGGGAGAGAGACAGGGAGTGCATCCCTGTTGGTTCTTCTGGACCTCTGCATGGCTTTCAATACCATCAACCATGGTATTCTCCTGGATAGGCTGGCGGGATTGGGAGTAGGAGGCACTGCTTGGCAGTGTTTCCGTTCCTACCTTGACGGCCGATTCCAGAAGGTGGTGCTGGGAGACTTTGGCTCTGCGCCATGGCAACGTTGCCATGGAGTACCGCAGGGTTCCATTTTGTCCCCCTTGCTGTTTAATATCTACAATGGAAGAGGTCATCAGGAAACCGCTGGAAGAGGTCATCAGGAGGTTTGGGCTGCGGAGTCATCAGTATGCTGATGACACCCAGCTCTACCTCTCTTTTTCAACTAACCCAGGTGAGGCAGTGGCTGTCCTGAACCGGTGCCTGGCCGAGGTAATGGGCTGGACGAGGGCCAATAAACTGAAGCTCAATCCAGATAAGATGGAGGTGTTGGTGGGTGATTCGAGCTCCTGGGTAGGTGACTTGGGCCTTGCCCTGGTCGGGGTTGCATTCCCTCTGAAGGACAGGGTCCGCAGCTTGGGAGTGCTCCTTGACCCGGAGCTGTCCTTGGAAGCTCAAGTGATAGCGGTGGCGAGGAGCGTTTTCTTTCAGCTTCGGCTAATCCATCAGCTGTGTCCCTACCTGGAGGAAGATTGCCTAGCAACAGTAGCACATGCATTGGTTACTTCCCGGTTGGATTTCTGTAACGCACTTTACGTGGGACTGCCTTTGAAGACAGTCCGGATACTTCAGATGGTTCAAAACAGAGCTGCCAGGATGCTGTCGGGGACTGGGTATTATTCTTATATAACCCCAGTCCTCCGTCAGCTCCACTGGCTTCCCATCGAAGTCTGGGCTCAATTCAAGGTGCTGGTTATTACCTATAAAGCCCTAAACGGCTTGGGACCAGGATACCTAAAGGAATGCCTTTTCCCCTATTTGCCCTCCTGCCCCCTGAGATCAGCAACAGAAGCCCTACTCCGGGAACCCTCTGTGAAAGATATTAGGAGACAGAGTACCCGGAGGAGGGCCTTCTCTGTGGTGGTGCCCCGTCTATGGAATGCACTCCCCAGAGAGGTCTGCCTGGCACCGTCATTATATGTTTTTTGGCACCAGGTTAAGACCTCTTTATTTAATCAATATTTTAATAAGTTTTAATATTGAATTGTATTACTGTATTTTATTAATTGCAGCCAGAGTGGGTCGTCAATTTATATATGCTGTTTGACATAATCCATCCACTAAAGAGACATTAGTAATTGGACGGCATACAAATTTTATGAATGAATGAATGAGAAATCATAGGCTACATACCTCCTGTAGTCCTTTTCAGACATAGGTGGCAGATTGCTTGTGCATTCATTGTTACATGGGCTATCAAGCAACAATTGTGCTAAACAACATTATTTTTCTTAGTGAAAGATTGGTATGAGACTATCAATTAATTTAAAATGCTTGTTTCAAAATGAAAATGAGACATTTGTTTAGTGCATGGATGACCTAGGGGGTTCATTCTGCCAACGAAATTGTAACAAAAAAGCATTCAACTAATTAATAGAAGAATTGGAATGGCAACTACTATTAGCTGGATTGAAGCAATTTGTATCCGGACATGGAATTTGTTACTGTGAAATGCTGCATTTTTCCTCCTTTTTAAGGTACATTTCTAACTCTACCACTCTTTGAAAATGTGCAACAGATTCTAAAATATGGAGGGCCTTTGAAGGGCCTCATGAATATAGGAAATGGAGGTTTCTTTTGCCTTATTCTTGGACCTCTCTTTCCCTTTTGCATTTGTTTCCTTATGTCTTGCTGAGGGCTTGACAATCTTGATTTCCGTAGTGACTATTTAGCCAGTCCACAGTGGGAGTGATGAGGCTGTATATCCTCTTTCTAAACCCTGCAGCTGCAGAGGTAGGTATGATCCCTTCCCTCATCCAAGTCCCATTTGCTTTGTCTCCATGCTTGCCAGGTGCAAGTACAGAACCAAAACCAATAGCTTTTTCTGCCTTCTTCTCTCACCCTGAACTGGAAGGTGAGCCTTGCCTCTGTACCTGCAAGGCAGTCTGAGATTAGAGGAGAGAGAAGCTGATATGTCTCTGACCTCATCAGCTTTTTGAAGACTCAAGGCACTCATCCTCCTCAGCTTCACACTGGTACAATGGTGTTTCTCTGTGTACTATTTTATAAATCTCTGTTTTTGCCACCTTTTTTTAAAAGCTATAACATGTTAACTTCATAGGCTGTATTCATAAGGATACCGCACCCTAATACTCTGTCCCAATGGTTTTATTTGCCCCCTTCTGTATTTTCTCCAAGTATGCAGTAATCTTTGAATAAAGGAAAACAGAACTGTTCACAGTATTTTAACTATGCTATATAATGGACTTATATTTTATCTGGAATACTGCGTCTAATTCTGGACATGAAGGTTTAAGAAAAATGGAGAAAATTAGAAAGGATCCAGAGGAAGGCAACAAAAATGAACCAGGGGTTGGAAACATTTCTCCATGAGGAGAGACTGAGAGAACTGAGTATGTTCAGCCTTGAGAAGGCTGAGGAGGGGGACATGGTTTCACTCTATAGGTACTTCAAAGGCTGTCAAAAAGAGGAATGTCAAGATCTCTTCTTGGTGATACCAGAGTGCAGGACACAGAATTGACTTTCTTTCCTGTATTGTAATAGTTATTGCAGCATGCATTACTTTGTACTAATGATGTCTCTGATCTTTCATATTCTTGCTTGGTTACCTGCTTTGGAACAAACCTTTTCTGCCTCTTCACAGTTTATGAAATATTACACAATTGGCTCAAATTCTGATTGAAGAATAACGTGCCGAATTCTTTGAGTAGCCATCCTGAAGATTTTGCCAAAACCTTAATGCAAGAGCAGAAGTAGATGGCTTTGAATGGAGTACTTGTAGCTTTCCTTGTTAAACTTCATTAAACATCTGGACCTCACAAGTTTCAGGCTGGGATAAACCACTGATGGAGCTGAAAACTATGAATGGCAATATTCCTAGAATTTGTCATTCATAAAGGCTCTGAACGACTGGCACTTAATGATGGGAAAAAGGCTACATAATTTCAGAGAACACTTACGGCTTCCAGGAGGATCTGGGATTGATGATTGTTTGTGCCCACTTCATAAATTTAGCATTCTGGGGGAAAGTGCATTGCGTTGGCTTGGAATTTTTTGCTGGGTTTGTTGTATTGTTGTACCACATGGAGGCGATAGAGCTTGTATCTGGCAGAGCTCTTGTACAGAGCTATGCACTGGCAAAGAATGGAAAGCTTACTGGCAAGGAAGTTGGGAAAGGCTCCAAACAGCAACGGCTGGTACCAGTGTGTGCCTTCTCCCACTTTCCAGTACCTGCTCCTCAGCCTTGTCTTTGGCAGCAACATACTACTTCCTGAAGCCCTATGTGCAAACAGGATATAAGCATCAAAGCTAGGAATTGCATAGCCCAGAAGCATTTTATTCCAGCGACCCTGATCTTATCAAGGATTAGTATTTATTAAAGCTGCTCAGTGCTACAGACTTATTAGAACAAGCCTGAATAATCTTAGTTCAGGATATGGATCCTGCAGCTGCAGAACTTGGTGGCATTATATCAGTTATATTAAACATACACACTTGAAGTGGGACCATGGGTGAAGACCCTGAAGCAATAGGATTGAGTATGGAAAAGACAGAATGCTGTGTTAGGGCTATTGGGTAACGTATGTACTGCTAATTGGATGACCAATTCTGTTACTATGTCTCTAGATTTGGAAACAATAACTAAGGCAATAACAGATGCAACTCTTCACTTAGCGTGTGGCCTTCTGCTTCACTGGAAAAGCAAGGTATATGGGAAAGACTGGGCCTGAAGGAAAAGATTCTGGTGGCATTAAGTGTATGGACAATGAGTGTAGAGAGGCATGTGCTAAAGATAAAATAGGTGAGTGAGCAATAGCAGCTTGTTTGGTCAGTCTTCCTGATAAGTATGGAGTAAGTATCATAGTTTGTGGAATGAAAGATAACAAAGCTTTATGGAATTGCATCAAACACCAGGGCAGAAATGATGAGTCAAGTAGGGACAGCCTGGGCCTGGAAATCGGTTGCCCCTGCAGGGCTGTAACGTGGTATTTTAGAATCTGCTTTGGGTATCAGAATGCCTCTGGTCAGTCTTGGTGATATCCAGCACTACTAGATTTTATATACTGCAAGTGTTTAGCAGTTCCCAACAGAGTTGGCTTGCTCTGTGCTGTTAGAAAGCTGTGAATGAGGACTTCTTGGTTTCAGGTTTAGTGATGCAGGTAGGCCATGCATCTGGTTCCTGAGGTGACTAACCGAAGGGTGATAAACTTGTTAAGCATAGCGTGTTGTTTCTTGTGTGGCATTGTGCATACATTTGTGCAAACTACAGTTAAAACCATGCCCTTTAAAAATAAAAAATGCCTTTGAAGTACATTAAATTCTATGCCAAGAATTAATGAAATCTGAAGCTTGTATATAGGATGTGAACTAAGCAATCTCTGTTTATTTTATTTTCTTCTTTTCTTTCTTTTCCTTGTACTAATCATGAGGAAGGGTAAAAAGTTACATGCAAGAATTGACAGCAAATATTCTGACTACTGAGAAATCTTGATCAACTTTACTTCTGGCTCCTGAAATTGTGCAAGGCTTTGCCTGCATGCTTTTAATCCTCTTTGTACACAGTTAGGAACTTTTTGAGTTTAAACATGTGAACTGAAATTCTTTCAGTGTTGGTTACTGCACTCAGTGTCAAATTCCATACCTGTGTGGTGTGAAGCTGTTATATACAGAACTATGACTATGGGATTCTAATGACTGAGCTTTTCAAACACAGAAAAGGGATTATTTTCACCTTTTCCTTTGTTTTCAAATAATACAAAGCATATGTAACTTCTGTAACTTATGTGCATAATGACTGGTGATTACAATATTGCTCTCTTAGTTTTTCTCTCCTGTCACTTCTTGTGTGTGATGCCACCTACTCTCAAGCTTCTTCCTTCTGTTTCAGTCTGACCTTGCAATGCTTCCTAAACTGTCAGAACTATAGTTTTGGATATTTTTTTGCTGGGAATTTGTATAAAGTTGCTATGGGGTTTTGTGTTCTGTTTTTCAGTACCTAGAAATAATTGCACATGGATTTGAAACCTATTAATGACAGGTTTGCGTTCCTTATTTACAAGGGAAAACAATGGGGAAACATCTTACCATCCTCCTTATTTTGTTGGTAGATTTGCTTTGCCTTCTGCATGCCATGGGATTTATGATAATTATTCTTGAATTTTAAGGTAGAGTACCCTGTCTTCACATATAGGATAAAATTGGCAAGACAAGGGAAGACTAATTCCCATCAGTATAATGCATGTTTTTAATCTTCACTAAAAGCAACTTCCCCTTCTTGTAATTGCTGATTGTTCGGCATTGGGAGATACAACTAAATTGCAGGCCTAGGTGGTCTGGCTGTATCCTCTCTGGAGGCTGCAGGTATTATGTATACATCCTGACCAGGCATTAATTTGGCAGGTAGTCTGGAAAATGCCATTGCTTAGTTCTGATGTGAAAGCTATATAACATCTGCACTGAATGGAAAAAGGTTCTGATTTTTGAGGAAAATGGGCTTAACTAGCTATTTTTTTTCCTCTGACAGACAAAGGGAGATGGGATAAACCAGTTGTACATAGGACTGAAGACCTTTAGGAGATGCAATAAGTATAGTCTGGAGAGCAAGAGGGGGATCATAATACATTTTTTTCCTGCTGGGGGAACTTAGCTAGCTTATCACTGTTTGTAAAAATTCAGGGCAAGTTACAGAGGCATTTCTGAGTTAAATGAGGGAGAGTATGAGCTTTCAGCACTCCAGGCAGACCATTACAGAGGTGATTCAGCAGCAGAAGGAGGAGGGAGGAGAAGACTGGTATATTCCGGTCAAAGCCTATTAAAGGTTTCATTGTTTTGACTTCTACAGTCTGCTTCTGGGTGGGCATAGAAAAGCCCCATTATGGCACACACCAAGCCTTTGAAGTGCTATGAAATCTTTCCCTGGGGATAAGAGGAGAGATGGTGAGAAGGCAGAAAGTTCATTTTGTGACTAATACTCCAGTGCGGCACCCATACTTTTCTTGGTTCATTGAAATATGAATGTGTAATTATATAAGAGTTCCATGTCCCTCCCACAAGATGATTGATAAAGGTAATATATTCTATGGAAAGTAATGGCCAGGGCAATTTCAAAGTTCAGATGTGACCACAAATACCAGGAATTTCCAACCATGTTGTTGATATTTGTCAGGGTAATATAGATAATAGTAATAATAATAAAATATAAGAGCACACTGAAGAATAGTTGACCAGCTATATACTATTTGACAACTGTGCTACAGCCAATTCTTAAATGCAGAATGGGTGGGAGGTAGAGAAAGCAGGGTAAGGAATTTTTGTAATGTAGGTATTTGTATACCATCCTTCAATTTTATTCCCAGGGCAGTTAATTAAGCTAAGTTACCATTATCCACACTTACAAATGAAAGAACACAGTGATTTACTTATGAAATTGTGTCATATTCATACTACTGAAATTATTCACTGAATGATGTATGTTCTTTAATCTGCAGTAGTGAATGGAATAAATGATTGCAATATGCTTCCCCTGAAAACCAAGGTTCTGAAAGCACCTTTTTGCAGTCTCAGCCCCTGGAATCTGCAGAACTCTGCGGTAATTCTGTCTCGGGCAAAGATGGTTGTGGGTGACAGTTTATGGCAGCTTTCACTAACCTGGTGTCCTGCAGAGATGTTTGCCTCCAACTCAAAGCACCCCCCTCCCCAGCCAGCATTGCTGGAGGGCACCAAGTTGGCAAAGGCTGGTTTATGATGTGGCCTTGTCTGCTGCACTAAAGTAAGAGCAGATGTTCAACTGAGCCCTAAAATGGGTTTGGTCTGGCACAAATCTGCCATGAAGGATGTCCAAGGTTTTCTTCTGGGGCACGTGAAAGCTGCTGTTGAGGATCAAACAAAAGATCTTTAATGTTCAACTAGAGCCTCTATGGGCTCAGCCAAGCAATGGTAAAGGGATAGCAGGGCAGTGGAGAAGCTTTCTAAGTTCCAGTTTCTTTCATGTGAAGGCGAGATCTCTGTGTGTGCCACAGCATTACTGGTGATGTTTCTGGTGCAGTGGAAACCAGCTGGCTGCAAGTCCCCAGAAGCAGCTCCTGACTTGGTTTCTTGCCTGCTTATCTCTAGAATGCCACCATCAACTCTATGAGACTAAGTTATTCACAGCCTGGTATATCTTGACCTCCGGCTGCTTCCTTTCCCCAAGTATTTTGACACTTCTGCTTTTGTATGGCATCTGCTGCTGATCAGGCAACATGTTTTGTGTAGCAGATCTGTAGTCCTTTTCTCCAGGTGGTTGGGTGGGTGTCATTCTCATTCTCCTTTTTTGTTATGTCTCCCTTCACTCCCTGATTATAAAAGTATGTCATTTTGTATGTTGTTTTTCAACTCCTTATTTTTTTCATAGAAAAGCTAAGGGTTAGGGTTCCTACAAAGTATCGTCCATGGATGATTGGACATCCAAGTTGCTACAAACATGTAATTTTCTCTGTGTGGTAAAAGTTAGGTGTCTTTGCTGCTTCATGTTTCTTCTTGACATATAAGTAATCCATGGCTGCTGCTGAGGTATTTCCTGGGGTATAGTGTTTCATAGGTACATAATCTTTAAAGAATTGTCCTATCTACCCACCCCTACCCCCCTCTGGTTTTCAGTTTTCACAGCTTCATGTGTGGTTTATTGAAAGATTTAAATACTTGTACTTTTGAGTATATCCTTTCCAAGTAAAGTTTCGGTGTGTTGCATGTTTCAGTAGGAAGCCATACTGTATTATCTTTGAAGTTATGTTTATGTCTTTGGTATATCTTTTTATTTGTAATTTAATTTTAAATGTGTTACGTGAACCCTAAAGAAAAATGACATTAGTATTCATGTATGACCATGCATACAATGCAAGTGCAATTAAATAAACCAAAACAAATTAATTCCACTTGAGTTAATCCTTTTTAAAAGAGTACACATGCATCTGTAAGTATGGAAACCAATGGAAACAAAACCATTAATAGTGTGAGCAGAATGACTTATGTACTTCTGAAACCAGAAAGCAGAGGCAAAGTGCTGGTACAGTGCATAGGTAAGACTAACATTTTGGCACTAGAGGCAGAACAACTACAGAATAGTTTACAATCAGCTGCAGTCCTCTGATTAGCAAGCTTTCTACATTGCACCCATGATCATCTTGATCATCTGTTTCACCAGAAGTCTTCGGCAAACATTTGTTGTGTTGTTGGTTTAGGTTAAGAGTGCAGAAGATCAGGCCTGGGAGGAAAATCTGGCTCTTCAGGGTTCCCAGATGGCCACAATACTTACCTTTCCCATAACCACTAATCATTGTCTAGTTTTCTGGCTTTTCTGAAGTTTTCTGTCTTCTCCAAGAGATTGAAATGCTTCTGCTAAGGCTTAGTTACTGGCAGTAAGAGATTGACACTAACATGCTGGGGATTTTTTTTTTTTTTTTTTGCATTTTATGACTTCCTTTTTTTACTTTGGTCCTGCCCACCACTAGAATGCAGCCTCCAAAAGCTGCTCTGAAATAGACTTCTACCTCCAGGCTACAAGTGTTTCAACAACCCTGGTTTAAGTCTTTAGAAATACCAGTATACCACCACTGTAAGTGTTGTGTGTTTTGTTTCAGAGCTTTATGGCTTTGATGTCCTCATTGATTCTACTCTCAAGCCTTGGCTCTTGGAAGTTAATCTGTCACCTTCCCTGGCCTGGTAAGGAAAATTGGGATTTGGCCATAATCTGTCAAATATCTTGGATGGGTACAACTGAATAGCCTTTTATGTTACAGTTTTAGAGGAAAGGTTGAGCAAACCTTGTTTCATCCCATGGAGACCAAAAAATTATTTATTGAGGTGGACAGGAGGTAGGGTCAGCTTGTTTATTGACTGCTCCATGGAGGAGACCCTCCTCTTCTCCCACACTGGAGGCTTTAGTGAAGAGGATTTTCTGTGCTCTCCCTCCCTCCCTCCCTCCTTTGTGTGGTATGCTGAGGAGATAAAGATAATTTTTTTAGGTTTTTGCGTTGTGAGCCCACCAAGATATGCAAGTAGGTGCTCCCTATCATCTCTTCCATTGTTTTTTCCCACTGTGCCTCATTTTCTTGGCTGGACTGGTGGGATTAAGAAGGGTCAGTTAAGTAGTGAGAAGGCAGAGGGTCTTATTCTTTCATCTTTGCCTTCTCTATGTCAGTGGTGAAGAGAATGAGCAGAGCCACTTCAGCCATAGCAACAACTAGACTGAAGTACCAGAACATGAAGCCTCACATCATCTTAGCCCCTTTCTGCCACCTCTAAGTAAACCATGTTTGGGCTAGGATTGTGGGTAAAGAACAGATCCACCTCCTAATAAGGTTATTTTCCAAATAGCTCTGGCAGAATTGGGCAGGAGGTCCCAAAGATTCTACTCCAATATCTCTGTCCAGCTACATCTGAGAGTTTCATGTCCTTTAAGCAGTGAAAGGTATAACCTTTGCCCCAGAGAAAATCAACCAAACATATCAATTCAGTTGTATGTAATATTAGGCAAAGGGAATCCCAGGCCCACCCACCCCACTTTGTGTCCAAACCTTTGTGGAAAAAAGGTGTTCTTAAAGTTGAGCTACTTTGGTTAATTACACTATTCCCAAGGACATGGAATAAATTGGTTGATTAATTGGAGATAATTGATTTGCTTTCTCTTCCTTCATGTTGCTGTGCATCCACAGTGATGCTCCTTTGGATCTGAAGATTAAAGCTAGTATGATTTCAGACATGTTCACACTTGTAGGTGAGTGACATGCCAATTCCGATCCAGTCTTCTGTTGACATAGGTGATAATGGGTTAATAGTAGGTATATCATGAAATAATTTATAGAAGGGGATGAATATTTGGAGGCAAACATATGTGTGATAAATGTATGGTGGTGTGGGTATGGATTCTGGGCAGTGTGTGTGCATGTTTGTGTTACTTGGGTGGCATCAGTGTGATGTTTTGATGGTGTGTGTGTTGTGGGATAGCTCTAGAATAGTGTTCACTTTGTTGGCATGTTTCCCCTTAATTAATTTAACACAAACCATGCCAGCAAAATGCAGCATTATTCTGGGGTTATCTCACAACCTCACTCTGTTAAAGCATCACATGTAATCAGCCCCTCAGACACACATGCATGTAGACACATACACCAGAATTCATACCTACACCCTGCTCAGCATCAGTCATGGCTCTTTCATACTCAGTGCAACTATACTTTATGCATATACAAAATAGCTCAGTACAGCTATATTTCTCACAAATTTGTGTTTGAATTTAGGAAAGAGTAAAATCCAAGCAAAGCAGCATATTTATGTTCCGTCTAGAGAGAGCACTTTTCTGTTACCCAGCAGTCCCTATAACTAAGCAGTGGCTTGAGGGGGCATTCATGGTAGGCTTAACTGGGCAGTTGATGAGGTGGGGTTGTTATACTACTGAGGCTTTTGGTCCAGAATCATGACACTGTCCATAAATGGAATGTTCTTATGCATCCTTCTTTCATCCCTCCTTTAGGCTTTGTTTGTCAGGATCCAGGTCAGCGATTAAACCGAACAAGTTATTATCCCTCTGATGGAAGGAGAAATCCCTACCAAAAGCTCCAAGTAAGGACAAAATGGGGGAGGTACCTTACAAATTAACACAATACTCAATTGCTATGCTGCATGCATATATGAACCCTAAATGCCTTGAGTGCACATTTAAGAGGTAATTATAATACTGGAGATAGCACAACAGAAAGCTGCCCTTTTATACAGATCAGAATTCTTTATTCATTTTATCCTCCTCTTCTAGCGCCCTGTCTCTGCACAGTCCCGATCAACAAATGCCAAGTTGGTGAGTATTGGATTCTATATTGCTTCACTTATTATTTATAAACTCCCAGCTATCTACTGGGACTCATAATCAACCCTAATTGTGGCAAACCAGATTCAGGCTAGATATCAGGAAAAGTTTCTTAACTGTCAGAGCAATACAACAGTGGAACCAATTGCCTAGAGAAGCTGTAGGCTCTCTCACAGTAGAGACATTCCAAAAGAAGTCAGGCAGTCATCTGAGTAGGATGGTGTAAATTGGTGTCCTACAAGAGCAGGGAGTTGGACTCAATGGCCTTCTTGGCCCCTTCCAACTCTAATATTCTACAATTCTATTTAATTTGAAAAAAATAATATCTTGCTCATATCACCCTCTAGTATAGCACCCTGGTTGTAAATTTCCCCCAAAATGGTTGTATTCAGTGGTTTTATGGGGGTGTTACTATGTTCCTAAAGACAAAAAGAGGTAGAAGCACCAGAATTTTGTAATTGCGGAAAAGTATGCACTCATATCTGCTTTAGACAGTTTGACTTTGGTGGGATGAATTCTCTTACTCCATGTGTGGTACTGCAGGTAGGATTGTGTTATTTCTTTTCCTTTTTCATCTACTACTGTGTTTCTTAGTATTCACTGCTTTGTACTTGAACCTTCTGCTCTGGGGTGGGAGAGTGTCAAGGATTTGCTCTGAGATTCTGTATTCTTTCTAAGAGCTGGGGAAGTGCATATCTGCTTGATGTCACTTTCTGATGAACACTGATGTTTATCATGATGGTTATCAAGAGGAGGTACTTCACAGAAGTGAAGGCTATCCCACTCTAGAACTTCTAAAACCTAAAAAATTGTATTTATTTTTTCCCATTTATCACAACTTCAGTGTAATAGATGCTGCACTTTAGTTTCTTTTTGAGGCAATTGCAATACATTCCTGAATTTTAAATGGTTCCAATTTAGTAAACTGAGGCTGACTGCATTCTACAGTCCTCTTTATTTGTCTGTATTTGTATACTTTCTGTTCTAAGGCTTACACTGTCTTTTGCTTTTCAATCTCTTCTTTCATTTTTGTGTTGAGGAAGGAAAGTGATATGAAATGATAAGGAAATGATACCTTTCTTGAGATGGACCAAGCTGATCTCTTGATCTCTGGTATGGCTGAACCTGGTTTTAACTTCAGCTACTTTGATCCTGAGGTTTTAAAAATGTTCTTTAGGAACTTATTGTCTCAGAGTCTTTAAATACTTTTGAATTGAGCCTTGGCAGTGCAGCTAGGTTAGCAATGCCTTGCCAGGATTCCAGATCTTTTTTCTTTTTTTTAACTTTTGTTTCCATTTTGTACTTGCCCATGACTAACTCAGACAGCCACCTTGTGACCAAAATGGAGATGAATGCACAAAATGCAATCTCCTTGCTCAGTAAAGAACTTGGCTCTGGTCATTTCAGCACTTGGAATTGGTGAAAATACTGATGAGTTAAATTTCTCTTTCTTACTGTAGCTTTAGTTCCCAAGCAGATTACTCTAAACCATGGACTATCCAGCAATTGAAAGCTGGGAACATTAACCCACAGGCACCAGAGCCAGGAGCATGTGTCATGTTTTGCCCATAGAGACAGAAGCTGTGAATGCTGGCTCCTACTGCTTTGGGGTGTGGTACTGTGGTCAAACACTGGGAATGCAAAGTTTGGCCTTGCTATCTAATGGGGTGTGGGCCTTGCTATAGTTGGAGGCAGAGAGTGTGAAACCTGGCATTTGTGCCCTTGGATCTTTCTGCCTCTGAGTGTGACTCCTGGATTTGGTGCCTGGAGAGTATCTTTTGCTTGGCAAAAGGCTTCTTTTGCTGGGTTTGGCATTTGAAATCTATTAAAAATATTTGGCATAAAATTAGAAGAAAAAGCTAAAACCTCGTTTCTCACTGTGATCCTACAGCGTTCTCGTCCGCTTTCTGCCAGTGATGCTGAGATGAAAAACCTTATGCCCTCAGCAAAGGAAAAAGGAACATCAGGAAGGCATGTTGGCTCTATGCTGGGCCTTTCCATGGAGGAGGTAAGGGGAGTCATGTACCTTATTCCTTAACTGGACAGAAAGACATGTGGAAATGAAGAGACAAATCAATCTCATGAATGAGTGTATTTGGGTACTAGATGACTCTGCTGGGGTCAGCTGACTGACACTCACTTTGTGGCAGCATAGCAAGGTAAATAAATGACAAAGAATAAAATGGCTGGCTAGGAAGTGCACCTGGCAAATTTGACCCAAAAGTAACTGGTCCTTGACTTGCAGGGATTATGTGTATACTCCAGTGTTTGGTCAAAAGAGAGCGGACTTCAGTGTTCCTAGATCTTTGTTTTTGTATTTGAGACCAGGTGCCAAATAGTGCCTTAGGGCTGCAGACACACACTATGAACTAAGAACAGACTGCTTCTAAGTGCAGGATTTTTTTTTTATCAGTGCCAAAACTGAGCTTACACTAAAATCCACTCATGGTCTTATACTGATGATGAAAATCCTCATTCTTTCTTTACTTCTCAATAGATAAAGCTCTCTAAATGGTTCAATATGATTACAAAAGCCCCACAACTCACACATACAATAAAAAAGCATAAAAATTAATATATAAGCATTAAAAATTGTATTTAAAGCAATTTAAGCAACTAAACTTTTTTTAAAAAAATACAAGACTGATATAATAGCCTCAAACATGCCATCAAGTGCCACTGAATGTCTTAGAGATGAGAGCATTCTTAACCTGGGGCAAAAGAGGTAAGAGAGTTGGAACCATGCAAGATACATGGGGAGATTAATCCAAAATGGGGGGATAACAGTGATAGGGCCCTTTCCCTTGTTGATACTTCTGAGCTTCCCAGAGAGGCCTCAAGATGTTAAGCATAGGGTTTGAGTAGACTCCCTTCTTGGCCAAAACCAGCACCTTGAATCAGGCTTGGAAGTGTACAGACAGCCAGTGCAAAGCAGTCAGAATTGGTGTTATATGCTGAGACCTTCTGCTCCCAGTTGTTAATTTGCCCACTCCATTTTGTACACACTGCAGTTTCTGAACTAGCTTCAAGGGCAGCCCCATGCAGAATGCATTGCTATGATTTAACTTGTAGATAACCAGAGCATAGATTATTAAAACCAGGCTATCCCTTTCCACATAGCTGAATAGCTGGCTCCCCAGCCAGAGCTGTGAAAGGCACTTCAGTTGAAACTAGCTGAGTCTCAAGTGGCAAAGATGGCTCCAGGAGAACCCTCAGACTATGGACCTAAGGGGAGTGTAATCACATCTAGATTATGTTAAACTTCTACCATCTAGTCAGAAGAACCATCAGCTAATACCATGTTAGTCTGGTTTGCACTGAGCTTCAATGTTTATCTCTCATTCAATGTATTGTCACAGCCAGGCACTGATTTAGCCTCGCCTGTTTGGGATGAAATGGAGAAATAGAGCTGCATGTTATCAGCATACTGATGGTAATGCTTTCTAAAACTCCAGATGTCCATTCAGTGGTTTCAGATAGATGTTGAGAAGCATGACCTCTCACCTTGGTGAATTCCATGCTGGAGAATCCAGAGTCAAGCAATATTCCTCAAGCCCCACCTTCTTGAGCTATCCATAGAAGCAGAACCACTGAAATGCAGTACCATCTCCTCCCTTTTCAGATAATCACTTTGAAAGGGAACATGATCAATGGTATTGAAACCCGCTGAGAGATTTATGAGTATCACAAGGGTTACACTCCCACTGTCTTCTTCTCAACATAGACCATTGTACAAGGTGACCAAAACCTGGCCTGAGTCTGGTCTGAAATTTTTCTAGATAATCAGTATAATCCAAGAGTGCTTAGAATTTGTTGATCACTGCTAGCACAAGAATTTTACCAGTGTGTTCTTGTTTAGAGCAGCCTAATTTATGGGATATCCCCTCAAAAACAAAAACAAAACAAAAATCTGCTCCACTGCTATTGTTGAATAGTGGCAAATTAGCTAGACTTGAAGATCTATTGGTAAACCTCCATCCATCTTCAGCTCACTTCTGAGTTAGGGTATCTCAAAACTTTATGTGAAGCTAGATCCTGCCCTGAGGGTAACACTTCTGTATTAATTAGGCTACCATAACTCATTCTAATTCCAGATAAAAGTTTTGCGTAGAGTGAAGGATGAATATGAAAGAAGAGGGGGATTCATTCGCATATTCCCTACACCACTAACCTGGGAGATATATGGGTGAGTTTTTATCTAGAGTTTTTATTCTATTATCTTGGAATCTGTAGAAGACCTTTGGGAAGTAGTTGATATAAATGCTCACTCTCCCCTCCACCTCCCCGAATTATCCTTTGCTCTAAACTTCACTTTCAGGGCTATCACTTGCAGTATATTAAAGGATGTTTTAGTACCATTATCATTTTTGTTGCTAACATATCCCAGCTTTCTACTATGCTTTCCTTACAAGTCTTGCCTTTGTTTGTCTCTTGCTTTAAATTTTTCTTCCACTCAAATATTATTTAATTTTACTAAAGAATTTTATGTGATTCACCCACTCTTGATTTCTCAGATCCTATCTGGAACACAAGACAACAATGAACTATATGTTGGCCACTCGCCTTTTCAATGAAAGGTAGGAAAGTGTTTCCAGGATACTCCAAAGAAAATAAGAATCACCTTACTGGATGAGATCAGAGTCCATCCTTTCCCCATCCCCTCAACTGAGGGCAGGCAGATACCTCTGGATACTCACCACTTTAGACTTGAGTCTGCCATTTTGTTAATTTCCCTAATTTGCAGGTGTCTCAGCTGCAAACCTTAGGAGCTTTTGTTGAAGAATGAGATCAAAGCCTTTTATTCTTTGGTTAATGCAGTTTTGTCTGTGCAAATGTGTTTCCCCATGTGGCTATTTAAGCAAGCACTGAATATAGACTTGAAGATTTGTTTACACAGTTCATAATCTGATTCCCCTCCCCCTCACTGCACATGTGCATAATTGTGCATTTAAATGGTTTCATGTCAAATTGAATGTGAAAGAATGTCAGTAACCTTTTGATCCACAAGTTGAGAGGATTGAATGTTCTATTTTCGCTTCATATAATACTATAAAGATTTCTATATGCCTTTTTGCTGGCATGCTGTTTATGGTGATAGTATCACTATAGGCTTTTGTTTGTTTGCCTTTTGCATTTTAGGAGCTGTTCTGAAGAACATAACTGTTGGACATATGATTCTGCCCTATACCCATTTTGGACTCTTGATTCAATCTGTTCAGTACTATCTATTCTCAGTAAATGGCAGCAGCTCTCCAAAGCCTCAGAGAGGGTTTTCCCAGCCCTGCTACAGAAATCATTTTAACTGGAGGTGCCAGGAATGGAACCTGGGATCTTGTACATGCAAAATATGTGCTGTTCTACTGAGCCATTGGCCCTCCCCTTGATTGCACATGACAGACTATTTTTTCTTTGAGAACACCATGTCCCAAAGGCGCTGCTTTTTGATCCTTTTTGGAATGCATTTTTAGTGTTATTACTTGCCAGCAACATTTCCACTGGTCTGAACAAGAAATTCATCCCGTTGTTGCTATGTTCAATACTATTAATTTTTAGTAATAAAATCCAAGATGCTCTCTCAAAGGGGCAGTAAATTTTTTATTGGCAAAACTCTGAATGACAAGATGGGAGAGGAAGTAAGGCACTTTCAAAATATGTGCAGTAGGCAACATTAGCATTTTGGATACCTTCAGATAGCTGTCTCACTCCAAGGTATCCTGTGCAAATAACTTATGGTGTGGAATTGCTGTGTGGTTAAGTAGGTGCCAGAAAAATTCTGCTGGATAAGGTTCAGCTCCAGGTTTTGGAGGGCTATGGCAAAATGCACTTGGTGGGCTTGCCAGTCACATTGCTGCACCTTCCAGCCTTGCCTTTGTGAGTACCCGAGGTTACCCAATGATGCTGGCAGTGTAATGGGCCAGGTGTTGAACTACTGTTTGGCTTCAGTCAATACCTGGTAGCTGCCATAGTGTTTTCCACAACACTGCTGCCGCCATTGCATAAATCCACCCACTTGAAAAGGCAGTCCTGGAATTTGCAGTAGTGGTGGGGCCTTCATCTTAGCCTCAGCATACCCTGCTTGGAAGTGTGCGGATACTTTGCTATTTCTGGTGTTCCTGTAATACTTGCACTGGCAACCCAAATTGTGAAGAATACTATATGTAGCAGTTATAACTGGCAGCAGTTACTGGTATTGAACCAATGTTCCAAGCAGTACCAGCACGCTTTCTATGAAACCTGTGTCCAGTGAGAATCCTACTTAGACTATGCCTGAGTTCACCTTTACCCCAGTTTTTGTCATACTGCAAGGAATAGTATGGGTGTAATGTTAGTTGGCCATTAATTAGTGGGGAGAAATTGGGAACACACTATAGGAGTGCATGCTTTTTCCCTTTATCCATGGTTTTACTCTGCTTCCTGTTATCTTCATTTAATATTTAGATATCTGACTGTCCATAATTTGCAGTAGCCGTAGCTTTAGTGACCAGCCAGATCATCACCTGCTTAACTGCTTTCATTTTCTGTAGGCTTGGCACTCCAGCAGGTGACTCTGGCGATGTGGCAGTAACAACCGTTTGTAAACTGAGCAGTCATATCACTGTTAGCACATACTAAATCAAAGTAATTTGTCTTATGCAGTACATACGTACTTGTGGAATTTACTATCACAATATGCAGTGGTGTCTGCTAGCTCAGATAGCTTTAAAATGATGAGGCTAATTAATGGAGAACAGGCCAATCAATGGCCTTTAACTGTGACAGATTAATAGAACTTTCAGATGCATACTTCTGACAACCAGATGCTGAAGATGAACTAGAGGACATTATGCATCATTTGTGAACCTCTCAGTGACCCATCCATCTGGCTGGCTGCTGTTGGAAGCAGAACATTGGTCTAGATAATAAGTGGGCAACTTGTAACCTAGATTTTGTAAGGTGTGCAATGCTGTAAGCCATAGCCAACATAATCAGTACTGAGAGATGATGGGAGCTGGAGTCAAATGACATTTGGAGGGCCATAGCTTGCCTGTCCTGGTCTTGATGATTATTGTTCAGTGCTTATTACTTTGAGCTTGAGCTGAAGGTGGCATTTTCATTGAAGACTCTAGGTTTTCTGACAATACAATTTAGTTTCTTTTACATATACCTGTGTATCGCTTGTGCTTTGATGTGATTCGTGATGTAATAAGAATCTTCTCTTTTTTCCCCTTCTACAGAGGAGGGTCAAGGAAAGCTCCAATTCCTAGACGAACTCGGTAAGTACTTTATGTAGTCAAGGTATTAAATAGAAGGAGCTTGTGTTGAAATTAGGATCTTACAGTTGCCCTTAGACCTGAGATGAGGGTCATGCCGTTAAGCAAGAGGCTTCATATTCTCATAAACATTCTTGTTGAATGTTGTTGGTCCAACAACATGGCTGATTCTGTAAAGTGAGCTAAATGAAATACCTGCATTCCTTCTCACTAATGGGTAAAATACCCAAGACTTAGGCTGTCTTTCTAGATGACTACCCAGAAAATTGGAGAAAATTCTATCAGTATGATAGAAGATTGTATGTGAATTTTCCTTGGGCCATAATTCCTATCTCTTATTTACACTCCCATTTAATCCATATTGCTCTTAAACTTAAGGAATTTATTTATTTATTTATTTATTTTGGGTGATTTTTACCCCACCCAATACTCAGTGGGTCTCAGGGCAGCTTTCAGTTCAAATCTCATAAATACAGATACCCAAATAATACAATATAAATGATCCACAAACTGAGCATAAAAACATTGTTAAAATTAAACATTAAAAGTATGGAAGAATAAAAAGGTCTTGACCTGGCACCATAAAGTATATAATGTTGGCTCCAGACGGACCTCTGGGGAGCACATTCCATAGCTGGGGTACCTCCACAGAGAAGGCCCTCCTCCGAGTATGTTCTCCTAACCTTTTTCATGGAGGGTTCCCGGAGTAGGGCTTCTGCTGCAGATCTTAAGGGGCGGTGGACATATAGGAAAAAAGGTGCTTCTTTAGGTATCCCGGTCCCAAGCCATTTAGGGCTTTATAGGTCAATACCAGCAACTTAAATTGAACCCGGGCTTCAATTGGAAGCCAGTGGAGCTGATGAAGGACCAGTGTTATATGAGAATAGCACTCATCCCCTGACAGCAATCTGGCAGCTCTGTTCTGAAGCAGTTGAAGTATCCAGACAGGATTTAAGGGCAGCCACACATAAAGCGCATTACAGTAATCCAAATGGGAAGTTACCTGAGCGTGTGTCACCATTGCTAAGTAGTGCTCGTCCAGGTAAGGACGCAGCTGATGGATCAGCCGAAGCTGAAGGAAAGCACTCCTCACCACAGCCACCACCTGGGCCTCCAGGGACAGCTCCGGGTTGAGGAGCACCCCCAAGCTGTGGACCCTGTCCTTTAGAGGGAGTGCAACCCCATTCAGGGCAGGGCCAAAATCAGTAGCCTGAAAACCTGAACCACCTACCAAGAGGATCTCTGTTTTACCTGGATTGAGCTTCAGTTTATTGACCCTCATCCAGCTCATTACCTTGGCCAAGCACTAGTTTGGGACAGCCACTGTCTCACCTGGATTAGTTGTAAAAGAGAGGTAGAGCTGGGTGTCATCAGCATACTGGTGACTCCTCAGCCCAAACCTCCTGATGACCTCTCCCAATGGTTTCATGTAGATGTTGAATAGCAAGGGGGACAAAATGGAACCCTGTGGTACTCCATGGCAAAGTTGCCATGGTACAGAACCATAGTCCCCCAGCATCACCTTCTGGAATTGGCCAGCCGAATAGGAGCGGAACCACTGCCAAGCAGTGCCTCCTGCTCCCAAAGAGGCCAGTCAATCCAGAAGGATACCATGGTCAATGGTATTGAAAGCTGCTGAGAGGTCCAGGAGAACCAACAGAGATGCAATCCCCCTGTCCCTCTCCCTGCACGGGACATCATACAGGGTGACCAAGGCAGATTCAGTACCATAACCGGGTCTGAAACTGGACTGAAATGCGTCCAGATAATCAGTTTCATCCAAGAGTGCCTGGAGTTGTCCTGCCACCACCCGCTCCAGCACTTTACCCAAGAACAGAATGTTTGCCACCAGTCTATAATTGGCGGCCACCTCTGGGTCCAAGGATGCCTTCTTCAGGACGGGCCTGATCACTGCTTCCTTCAGAGGGGCAGGGACCCGTTCCTCCCTCAGAGAAGTGTTAATGACTTCCTGGACCCAGGAACCAATTCCGTGTTTGGCTTTGGTAAGGTAAATATTAAAGCTATACCAGTTTAGGTTGGGAAATGGCTTTAAGTAAATCCCATGAAGTTTGTATTCATAAAGTTAATTGAAGATCTTTGAGAAAAGTTAGACCTTTCTTGGAAGCTGTAACCAGTAGGTCTTAGAGAAAAAGTCCCTCTCAGCCAATAGGCTTCTTGTACTTCTCTGAAAGCATTCTATTCAACCAAGAGTAGGGGATCTTCCTTAGCTCATTAAGCAACTCCTTTGTAGCTCCTCTACTTTGGGAACCATTGAGTCTTGAAATGATTTTGACTGCATAGTTGAACAAATTGCCTAGGGGCTTCTGTTTTAGTATTTATGCCTTTGCTTATTGCTCTCTTGGATTAAATATGTGATGCATTCTTACTTACATATATTTCACTTACCTAGCTTCAGTAATGTGACTAAGGCTAGTTCAGTATTATATTGTTACCTACCATCGAGTAGTTTCCAACTTACAGTGGTCTTTTGAATGTATGCCCTTTGAAATGTCCTGTGTTGCACAGCCTCGCACAGCTCTTGTAAACTCAAGGCTTTGACTTCCTTTAAGAGGTCATCCTTATCCATCTCATATTTAGTCTTCTTCTTCTTCTGCCTTTGACCTTCCCTAGTATTATTATCTTCTCCAGTGCATGTTGCCTTCTCATGATACATCAGCTTCAGTTTTGACATTTTTCCTTCCAGGGAAAGCTCTGGCTTGTTTGTCTTTCTGTTGGTCCAGGGTATTCAGAGGGATGAACAAACCAACCCTGGATGTGGATCAGTCCCTATCTGCTTTAGCAAGCAGGACAAGTTTTGCATTGTCCTGTCAGAAATGAAGATTTCATTCTAGGCTGTCTTTACAGGGAATTGAGATTAAGCATCCTTTAGTTGCTGAGCCATTAGGTATATTTCACATCTCCACAAAACTGAACATGCCAGGATGTCAGACTTTTCTTTTAACCATTCACAGATTTCCAACACTTGTTAATATTCAACACATTGAAAGCGGGGGTGGGGGTGGTATTTAGGAGGTATCTGCATTTAATTCATAAAGGAAATGACATAGCTCATGTCTTTAAGCAAACATGATCATACCCGTGTGGCTTCAGCTCTTTCAAAAATAAGGTGTTTCCAAGAATGCCTTTTTGCAAAGCTGCAATACATAAAGACAGCAAATGCATTCCTACCTAATTGTTAACAAAAGGAGAAAAGGATATGAAACAATATAACTGCAGCATCAAATGAAAGATTAAAATATAGAGTGATATATTTAATTATTACATTATTTTGGTATGAAATCCTCTTCTGATAATCTGCAAATACTTCCATATCTGTAATCAGGGTTAGATTTAAGAACAGTCAATGTTAGTGTCACAAGGAACATCAAAAAGCAAAATTACCACATTGTACATTTTAACATGTGGAAAGCATGCAGCTTCCAATTCTCCATATATGGATTCTTTTTGAAGTGTCTATAGAAAAGCTTCTATGGGAAAAAGCACATATGCATTTCTTAGATCAACAGGAAAGTAAACACAGAACACAATAGAAATCATCCTTAAGGTCCCAGTAGCATTCATTAGAAGGTTAGTAGCTTTCTCTTAAATCCACTGTAATGCAAATTTACTGCCAACTGATAGATTCCCCTCAAAGATGTATGACAACTTTCATATATACATGCATTTTAAAAATTGTTTTTTCTAAGATTTGTCAAATATATTTTTCCTAAAAAAAAGAGAAAGAAATAAAAAAAGTCAAGATTATGTATTCTCTATCTGTGTTGTAAACTTACAGCTTTTTGCAGAGTGAATAACTGTATTTCTATGAAGCCGCTGAGTAACACACACATAGAGGCCTGGGCACTCGCAGCACTAGTTCTGGAAACTAGTTCACTGGCTGTTTTCAGCCTACTTATGATACATTGTTTTTCAACTGATAGTAATACAAGTAGAGTAATTGCAAATTCCTTATTACATTGTGGGTGTTGCACAGCAGAAGTGTGCATGTTTAGCAGAAGTTTGTTTTAATAACATATTAATTTTATGTTTGCCATAGAAAGAGCAATCCCATTGACCTTTGTGAGATAGTGACTAGTTCCAATGAACACCTGCTGTGTAGGCTATCTGTTCTGTATCCCTTCTTTTTTGCATTAAAAGAGAGAAAACATGAAGTCTTATTTAGTAAATAAAATAGTTTCAAAGCTAAGTTTGATTTACAAGGAAGTACTCCATGCATTTTTTTGTGTTCTGCTCCATTGAAAAGAAACACAATATTCAAGGATTTTCACACAACTGAGAGAAGGATGTTTTGCTACACAATTCAGAGTTTCTTCCTAAAAATTCTTTAACTCCTCTTGTGGAGTCTTATTATTTTGCAATCAGCAGCTTGAGATACATCTTTTGTCTAAAATTAGTTATTGTTCTGGGTAGAAAATTGATGTAACTGTAGGATCTTCACAGGTAATCCTTCCTGGTTCATAAAATAACTCATCAGCAGGTACTAGAGAAGCAGAGTCAATCTCCAATCAAGGGATCACTCTCTCAAATCACTTTGTACCTGTACTTTTTCCTCTTCAGATGTTTTTACTTGCAAATTGGGCATGTTGCCACTAGATGTCTCAACACCAACTTCAGGTCACAAAGCAACCTCTCAGTTCTACTCTTTGTTGCAGTGGGTGTATGCATGCTTGCATAGAGTTCTTGGTCCTTGCTGGCCTGAAGTTCCAAGCGGTATAAATTCCTCTTCCCTCTACCCAGCCTCAAGTATGCACCCTGCATCAGAATATTCACAGACCTCAGCAAAATCCCAAAGGATATAATTATTGCATTTTCCTTTTTATCCTCTTTTGCAGCATCACACACAGAATTCTGCAAAATCTTGGAGGAATTCTTATGAAGGTACTTTCTTCTTCATCATTTCCCACCTCATTGCATTTAGGGGGAGGCCCTGAGTTCTACAGGCTGGAATCTTACTATATCCTCTCTTTCAGGACCCTGCCCTCATTGGAGACTACTTTAGGGAATTCTAGAGCCCCCATCTTATGAGACTGATTTTCCTCCATTGCTCTTTCTGGAAGAATTGACCCTCCCAATGCTGGGTGTGGCCAGCCCTTCTGTTCCTGGTATAACTAACCTTACAGACCTGCTCTTGTGAGGCTTAGAGAGAGTTCAGTCTTGAACCATAATTTTAAAATAAATGTATTTATTGAAGAAACTCTACATTTACCTTGCACTAAAGTAAAAGGCAAAAGAGTTAAAACACCAAAAGCATAAAAATAATAATGCAAGTTTCTTACACACCTGATCAGAAGGCCTTCAAGTACTTAGTTTAGAATATAGCTCTTAACTTATCCTTAATCATGAAGGTTAGTACATGCCTTCTCAGAACAGTGAGGCATAGAAAATCAGGAGGTCACCCCATTCTTTCTGAGAATTCAAAGCTCAAAGGATGTTTGCTCTGTGACTAGAGAATCACATTTTTTACTCTCTGGACTCTGCTTTTTCAAGACAAAATTCAGTCTCACTCTGAGAGGAAAAGACAGCTACACTTTGTACATGGGCCAGTCCCTGTCAGTCACAGGCAGCAGGGTGAGGCTTGCATTGGTGAATTAAATATGATGATTTCATTCTAGGCTGTGTTTTATAGGAGAGGGATGAAACATCATTTAATTGCTGAGCTGTCAGGTTTTATACTGAGTTAATCTGGCTTTCTATTCTTTTCCCTGGTCCTACAGATTTATGCTGATATTTATGTTATGTTGATCATTTATACTTTTAACTTCATGAACCATTCTGAGAGTTCCTACCCCAGGAACAGAATATGAAATAATTGCATAAATTTTACAACTCCAGAAAACTTAGTTTGCCAGGATGTCAAATATTCCTATGACTATTCACTCCCACTTGTTAATCTCACTTATTCAGTAGAATGAAGGGTGGGGTAAATTATATGGGAGTTTATTTACTTTAGTATAGGAAATATCATTTGTATGCACATGCACACCTCTGAGCAAATAGGCTGCTTCCAATGAGGTTTTAGGCATAAAATATAGAGCCTCTAATTGACCCTATAGCCACCATAATAAGTGTGTCAGACCAAGTCTTCAGAGTTCCACTTTTGGAATTCTGTGTCCTCTTCATTTTGCCTGCTAATGACAGTTGTAAGGCAGCATGGGATGGACTATACCTTTGTATTCATCAGAAGTGAGTCATTTATTTCCTTATTATATCTGGAGTGGTCTTGGCACCTGGAATTGTGGAGCACCCCCCTCCTAAATTGACTTCTCTAAGCATGCTATTTTCTGCAAATATACTGTATGGCTAGCACATCCTCTAGGAAAACACTTTATTAGCAGAAAATAACTTGGGTTTTTTTGTTTTTTAAAGAAAGGATATTACTGCAGATTCCTGTTTGAAACATTTTTCACCCATAGGGCCCCTAAATATATTAAAGCATTTCTTAGCAACAGTGAGTCCAGGAACTGATGGCTGCTCTCATGGCCTATCAATAACCTAACTGGATTTCATTGGAATTTTTTTCAGTGCAAAAAGTTCATTTTCATAGGAAAAATACAGTTTATATTAGAAAACATTCTAATGTCCTAGAAGGATCTAATTTACCATGTTTTTTATCTGTATTTGGTAAACAAAACTTTATAAACCCTACCCTATATTAATTTTTGTGCACCACGAATTTTTGACTTGAAGTATTCAAGGGGGTGACATTAAAATACACTTAATATTATATTAGGTAAAAAGAAATGCAATATATTTAAAGACAGTAGCATGTAATTCCCTTGTTTCAATTTGAAAAACAAACAAACAAGCTGGAGTCCTGCTAGCAACTGAAGTAACTGTGCAAGGATATGCTGTCAACCAGTTAGCAACTCTCTTTCACTAAGGTTGTTGAGGAACCTACAATTTTGCTGCTGTAATTTATTACTTCCATTTCATTCTGAAACGTGTGTGTGTGTATAGTTCCTAAGGATAATAACCTAAAAAGCATTAATTCCAACTTTGAAGCTTTCCTAATACAGCAAGAATCCTGTATCTGCAAGGATCCATTCCAAACCCCCCAGTGGATGCCTGAAACTGTGGATAATAGCAAACACTATACAATACATGATATAATGGCAAGTGGGTGCCCGCAGGCAGCAACAACAAGCAGCAAGCCACAAAATAACCTCAAATAAACTATATACATTTCTTTTTCCCAATTTTGTTCAATCTTACCTCAGCATTTTAAGACTTCCTTTGGCACTTTATGGCACTTTACAACTTCTCCTTCGGGCTGAGGTCAGCCATGGTTAACTGAAAATGCAGTAACTCAGCCAGTGGATGCAGGAGTCCTGCTGCATTGTATATGCAACTGGCATAAAGCCATTCATTTTTTAAACTGAACTTGGGAATTTGACACTTTTTTGTGGACAAATGAAGAACTGGAAAATTTTCTACCCTGCAACATTGACAAGGGGTAGTGATATAGGTCTGTGCTCATATTAACTCTTTGAAGTACACAGTAGTCATAAAGAGCCCAGTATCTTTCTGGTTGGGACATTGTTTCAAGTACATACTCCTGACAAATGAATTTTCACATTTTTCAGACTGAATTTATTTTCTTCACTCCTGCTCCTGTGCTATGATGGACCTAGTTTGTTTGTTTATTTATTTATTTATTCGATTTATATCCTGCCTTTTTCCTACAAAGGGCTCAAGGCAGCTTACATCATTCTCCTCCTCCATCTTATCCCCACAACTAGAACCCTGTGAGGTAGGTTGGGCTGAGAGTCTGTGACTGGCCCAAAGTCACCCAGTTGGCTCCATGGCTGAGCGGGGACTAGAACTCAGATCGTCTGAGTCCCAGTCCCACGCTGTTAACCACTACACCACACTGGTAATGGAATCCTGAAACATATGAGGGCTTGCCCTACAGGGTTATTTAGGCCCATAGTACAAATTTGTATTCAGCTTCCCACTCCTGCAGGTGGGAGGACTATATTGATTAGAGGAAGAGAATCAAAATGGGGCAAGCTGTGAAAAGGTTGATTTAAGAAAGTAACAAATGTAGATGCATGATCACACTTCTTCATGAACAAGTCAGAATTGGGACACATTTCATGCCCCTGCATCTGCTGCTCGGCTCCAGAGATTTGTTTTAAAATATCTTCTCTTCTAAGGATATGCAGATGTGTGTGCCATTTGTGCGTCTCCACTTAGTTCTCTTTGTCCTTCCACCTTCATCTCAACCCCTATATAAATGTAATTTTTAATAGAATTACCTTAACTGGTATTTTTTGAGAATGATCAATGCGGTTGATTTCCCCCATCCCCACAATCATGTCACTCTATTTATGGACTCAAACTGAGGCCAAAATAGCCTGAACTTGGTAGTGTAATATGCTCTCATAAAGGTTGGTTAAATAAATGTCTGTTAGTTTGCTTTTTGAATCCTAATAGCATTTCCCCAAAAAAGTGATAGGCTGAATTTACTCTTTTCTTCTGCTAGTGTAACTGGGTGTGGACAACTGTTAAGGAATATAAGGTACAGATATATAAGAATGGCAGACTGGATGTTGCTTAGAGGTTGTACAGAAGTTGCATAGTAGTGAAGGGAAAGTGGATAACTAGCATGTAAATCTCTGGAAATAACTGTAGAGGAAGGGCAATGAGGATTGTGTATGTTCTTGTTTGTTTCAGTTTATCCCTTTCTGGAGAACTGGATCTGGATATTATGGATGGTAATGCTCAGCTTCATGCCACTTTGTATGAGCGGAAACTCCTGTCACTAGAGGTACGGAAACGAAGGCGACATCTTGGCAAACTGAGACATGGACGGGCAAGGCTGTCAGGTACATGAGTTCTTTCATTTCCCCATATTGTAATATTGGTGCACAAGTTAAAAATGATTAGCTTCTTTTGCATGTCTAAGTCCTGTTTTAAAAAAGTTTGAATATGTATTTCCTGTCTTCTTGCCTATTCCTGTTCCATAATCTTTAATTTCTGTAAGCCATCTTGAGATGTTTAGTGAAAGACGGGATAAAAATGTTTTATTAAATGAAATTATTAAATTACACATGAAGTTAGTGGTGGTGTTGTTACACTGCATATATATCCCACCCTTTTTCCTCTTGTGAGGAACCCAACATGGCTTACATAGCTCTATTTAGTCTTCACAAAAATAACCCTGTGATTTAGGTTAGGGTGAGAGTGACTGACCCAAAGTCAGCCAGTAAAGTTCATGGCCGAATGGGGAGTAGAACCTGGAAGATCTAATGCTCTAGCCACCATGCCAGCTATCTTTTTGTGAGTATGGGATGGTAATATGAGATGATGAAATTGTCTGCCTTATTTTACTGATGCTAAAATGCTAAGAACTGGAAATATATTGGTTCTGATAGGGACTTCACAGTCAACTGATTTTGTACTCAAGTCAGAAATGGAAGATGAAGAAGAAGAGGAGACTGCAGAGGAAGATGATGAACTGGAGATACCTCAGGGTGAAACAGCTGGCTGTCTTCGAAATATGCAGGTGAAGTTTAAGCCACAGTTGTCAGAGCAGGTGGAGACAGCCCACCAAGGCAAATTGCTGAAGGAGAAACATGCAGGGCTGCCAGTTCAAGACAAAATGGAGCCAACATTGAAAGATGCTGATCCTCCCTTCAATTTGCTACAAATTCTTCAAAAAAATAAGAATCTAAGGTAAGAGCTTTCATAGCAGCTAATGAGGGGACAGATTCATAAGCTGGAGTCTTTTGTCTGCTTGTGTTTCTCTGTGCACTGGGGTTTATTTATTTATTTAGTAAACTTCTATGCCGCCCCATTTGCCGAAGCCTCGGGGTGGCTTACAACAATAAATAAATACATATAATCATATAAAAACAATATAATTGGAAATGCCCTGGCCAAAGATATAAAATCAATAAATAAGCTAACAATTAAAATGCCATTTAAATAAAAAGGTCTTGGCCTGGCGCCGAAAAACATATAACGACGGCGCCAGGCAGACCTCTCTGGGGAGCACATTCCATAGATTGGGCGCCACCGCAGAGAAAGCCCTCCTCCGGGTACTTACCCTCCTAATATCCTTCACGGAGGATTCCTGGAGAAGGGCCTCTCCCACTGATCTCAAGGAGCAGGAGGGCACGTATGGACATAAGCGCTCCTTTAGGTAACCAGGACCCAAGCCATTAAGGGCTTTATAGGTAATAACCAACACCTTGAGTTGGGCCCGGACTTCAATGGAAAGCCAGTGGTGTTGACGGAGGACTGGAGTCATGTGAACATAACACCCAGTCCCCGTCAGTAGCCTGGCAGCTCTATTTTGCACCAATTGAAGTATCCGGACCGTCTTCAAGGGCAGCTCCACGTAGAGCGCGTTGCAGAAGTCTAATCGGGAAGTTACCAACGCGTGTGTCACTGTCGTCACTGTATATGGTGGCTGGTATAGAAGATAGCTTGGTTGGTTGTTGTGTCATAGAATTTCTAAATGTGAAATCTCATTATTTTATGAAAGGCAGTGCTACAAGATGCAGTGAGAGCTTCCAATTATTTTTATTAGCTTGGAAAACAGCTTAAACATTAAGGGAGATTATTGATTGTTGTTAGCCATGATAACTGAAGGGAACCCTAAATTTACTTCTCAAAACTAGCTGTAGTGATAAACAATCTGGGGAGGGCTGTTTAGGGCTAGTTCCAGTATTGGGTGTGCACTTGACATACTGCTCCTGATGGCTTTCCTAGTGCTGACTGGGCCACCATCCCTAATCCTTTGCTGCCTTTGATGGTGGTGGTGCTCTGGTATCAGGCATAGCATAATGGGGCATAAAAATGGTAATCATTTTTCCCTGCAAGAAACTAAGTAACTGTTTGTCTCCCTATGTCCTGTTGATCATTGGAGCAACAGCCCAAAAGAGCATGTTGACAGTGGCTGAATGTGTGCTGCTGTCACTTTCTAATAAGCAAGTCAGCTTGGCCAGAAAAGAGGGAGGCTAGAACTGCAGTAATGATGGTGCGGGCACTATGGAGTTGTCATAAGAGACCAGGCCTGATGGCATCAACCTTGACATAAGGGCAGGTGCTGTTGCATTCATGCATTGGTTGTAAACTACCCAGTAGACAGAACTTTGGCCTCAGTTGACAGACCTTTTCTTATGTTATATAGGTAACTGTAATTTTCAAAATAAAATAATGGTGGTTTGGTTTGGCTTGGCTTGGCTTTTGAGACGCCCTTCTTCTAAATATTGCTGCCACGTCCTTTTATAAAAAAGACAAAAGAAAAAAGGGGGGCACCTCCAACACTATTATGACAGTGGTGACTGGAAGCTTTTGTGCTACTCCTTCATTTGCTGGTGAATTTTTGTGTTGTGCTTTTGGGGTGAACAGGGAGGTGAGACAATTAAGAATACTTCTAACTACATCTGTGCAAATATTTGTGTGTGGAGAGAGTGAAAAGCTGTATTTCATTTGTATCTTATTTAGAAGAAGCTGTTGTTTCTGCCTAATTTGAGATCAGATCCAGCGCAATGTATAAGCTTTTCAGTCTGTTGCTATGCCTTGCCAGTTTCTTACTCTAATCTGGATGGTTAGATTGATGTGATAACCTTTAACTTCTGACTCATTCTGATGGAAACATAATTCAAAGCATTCTTTCAGTTCAAGAGATGATTATAAGGAGGGGTCTGCACCAAAGCTGTTTTTGCCAGCTTGGTCTTTTCGTCAGTAGATGGATTTGTACATCATGCTAAGCCACCCTGAGAAGAATCCACAGTGGGTGGGTGTCTTGTCCATTATTCACAACAGATAATTGCCTGCTCTGAAGCTTACTCTGGCTTGTTTCTTGCTTAGTATGTCTCGGTCCTTGCATTCTGTTCACACTATGGCAAATCAGCTGTGCATAGGAAACTTACAAGCAAGACATAAGTGCAACAGCACCATCCTGCCCCATGTTCTCCAGCAACTGCTGTACATAGACATGCTGCCTCTGGTCCTGGAGGTAGCATACAGTCATCAGAACTAGTCCATGGATTTGTCTAGTTTCCTTTAAAGGAAGTCAAATTGGCGGTCATCACTGTATCCATAGTTTAACCATGTGCTGTGTGAAGGACTTCTCTTTGTCCTGAATCTCCCTGCAATCAGCTTCATGGGATGACTACAGGTTCTTGAATGTACAGGAGCAAAAGACAAACAGACTGCTTTGCCCTCTGTTTTACTGCTGTGCCCCAACATTTGTATTTTTTCCCCTCTTACTGTATTGTTCTGCCATTAGATTTGCATAGAGTTTTCCTCCACTTTGTGGCTGTGTCAGGACATTTGATTCTTCTTCTCTACCTTCAGCTAGTCTAAGTTGAAGGAAAAGACCTTGGAGGGAGATTTGCACAAATTTCCTGAAGTACAGTATAACTCTAGCAGTAACTACTCTGAAAAGGAATTGTGTTAAGGTAGGGAGGAAGAGCCATGTGTTGAATTCATCCTCATTCATCATGTTGCTATTATACCTTAAGCTAACACTTGTTAGTTTCCTCCACCCTTTTGACACTTCCCAAATCTTGTTCAGCAGTTGGGGCACCCAGACCAGCAGTAAATACACTTACCCATCCCAGTTATTTGGCCACCACTGAATGGGTCTCAGGGAGATGTTGAGAGGGTGGAGGAAATGGACAAATGTCAATTTAAGGCTTAATAGTGAGAAGATGATATTCACAAGTTGGGATTATTGCTCCCCTGCTTTGATGCTCCTTTTTGGAGCAATTACTTTGCTCACATTTTCCTCGCTTCTGAATTATGCAAATAGATTCATACCTGTTTTAGTATTATTTTAACCTGAAATTTGTGAGTGTGTGCAGGTTAATCTTGTCTTGTTTCCCTGTACATTATAGCTGTTGAGGGAAACACCAAAATGGTTAAGAGAATATCCAACCTACTGTGTAAATTGCCAAAAAGAGACTATTTATAATAAATAGGCAAATCTTACAAAAGATTGGGGGGTGGGGAAAGAAGTAATACAAACTACAAAGTCATTTGAGTACTTTCAAAATATCAGGAAAAAATTACAGTCCCATTATGGTCCTTCTAAATTACCATTTTACCATTGGGTAGCCATCACTGGTGAGAGAGGAGAGAGACTGGAGGTGGCACTAGTGAGATTTGCAAGGGGCAGCAAATCCTTGCCTCTCTTGCCAAGTTGAACTGTAGCCTCTTGGGGCAAGCCATGCTACTGGGTTTGGACATCGTGACAAGCTACTCGAAGAACAAGCCATCCTCAGTATCCTAACAACAAGCCGTGAGTTGTCAGCAAAGCAATCGTTATCAAACTATGGTTAACAAACTATACTGAATTGTCTGCACTGGGTTTGCATGTCACAGTAAGGCATGCTGGCACTAATAGTGCTCACAATTCATCATGACTTCTCATGTGTAAATCCAGTTAATTGACAAGTTATGCTAACCCACCCTAGCGATGAGCCATAGAGGATTGGTTGTATAGAAAACAACATGCTTGCTACAGCATTTTTCTTTTAACTTTTTTGGGATGGGGACATCACACTAACCAACACTGACAGTAGATCACAGTAGGTTGTTTGTTCACTGAAAAATTCATGGTACACTCAATCATTGATTGGGCTCACCTTGGGTTGTTCTCATTCTCTTTCCTGCTCACTCCTCCAGCTGATTTTGGCATGTATGCAGGTGTCATTCGTAATGACATAAAAAAAAGCCATGCTGGATCAGGGCAAAGACCCATCCAGTCCAGCTCTCCCTACACACAATGGCAAACTAGCTGCCCATAAAATTGCTCAAGTAGGATGGGTACAAGACTTCCTCCTGCCAACAGTTCCTCAGCAACTGTTGTATGCAGGCATGCCATCTCTGGTAAAGGAGGTAACACAAAGCCAGTGAGGCTAATAGCCATTGATAGCTTCCCCGCCCCCTCCCATGAATCTGTCCCCTTTTTAAAGCCATCCAGATTGGTGGCCATCACTACTTCCAATGGCAACAAATTCCATGGTTTAACTATATGCTATTTGAAAAAATACTTCCTTTTATCTGTCCTAAACCTCCCACCAATCCCTTCATGGGATGACCCCAGGTTTGAGGATTATGGGAGAGGGAGATTTTTTCTCTACTTTTTCCACATCATGCATTATTGTAAATACTTTTATCATGTCCTTCCTTACTTTCCTTTTTTTCTAAGTTGAACAATCCCAGTTGTTGTAGTCACTCCTAATAGGTAATTGCTCCAGCCTGTGGTCTTGTTGCAACCTCTTTTAATGCACTTTTTTTGTTCACCTTTCTTGCACAGGGACATGGAGAGTTTGGAGCCTCAAAAAAGCATAGCTAGTGTTTTTTCTTTCTCTACAACTGTGTTTGGATGATGTTGGTGATGCTGCTGCTGATATATACTATTTCTTGTCAGTCTCTGCAAATATTCTCTTACAGCTCTCCGATATGGGTAGTCTTGCCAGGTCTATTTCCTTGTCTGTTCATCAGTGAGGCAAAGTGCAGTTGGTAACAGATTGACAAGACTACATATAGGCAATTTGGGCACAGGTGCCATGTGGCAATTAACAAGTTGTCAATGGAACAGCAGCAGTTAAGGAGTGAACTAGCAAAAGACGTTGCTCCAAGAATGGGATGGGGCAATGTTGCCGCCTTAGTAATGTAATCCTCTGAATTGTAAGTGTTGAATGAACACTTCTCAGCACCCTCTGCTAGGGATGTGAAAATCCAGCTGGAATCTGGCTCCCTTGCACTCACCAGACATCTTTCTAGTGCTCAGCCCTGGCCTGAGATCAAATCTGTGGATGGTTGGGGATGCTAGCAGAGTCCTTCTTTTGCATGGAGTATGCAATTCTTTGTGCGCAGTATGAAAGTCCACAAGCCACATGTGGAGAAGCAGAATGTTGCCTGTACAGCAGGTGCAATGAGTGTGGGTGTGCACAAGCTGGACTAACAGTTTCACTTGGACTCACTTCTTGCTTGGATGCTCATGTGAATGCTCAGCCCAAGATGGGTTTAGGGCAGAGAGAAAGCAGACTAGAGTCTGTCAGAGGAAATCTGACAGATTCCCACCCCCAAACTGGATTCTTTCCATATGTACAGCTATTCCAGATAGGGGAGATGCCCATGTTTACTGGTGTAGTTATTGAGTTTCACTGACAGTTCTAAATAAATACCTGCAAAAACATCTGCAAATATAATGGCTGGAAAATAAGTGGAGGGGAAATTTGCATGACCGCTGTAATGAAGGTACTATGGTATGATGTATAATATGGGTTATGGAGAATCACACAAAAAAGAAAGAGGTGAAGAGTTAGGTTCTTGGGTGACATTTCTTTGGTGCTGTGGGGCAGGGTGCTGCAAATGGCATAAAGCCAGAGTTTGTCCTGAATGTTCACATTTAGCCTGGGATTCAGAATGAATTATATGGAGGAAAACCCATTCTTGACCTGCATCTTGCTTTGTGAAATAGATACAACGAGTAACACTGAACGATTGAGCAAGTTGAAATGTTTAAATTTGTTCTGAAGAGGCTTACCTTTGAGAGAGGCCTGAGTTAAACTTCCTTGTACATTGTGAGAAATATGGACAGTCCCCTTTGCACAGGGAGCACATTGGCAGATTTCTCTGCTTTTAGTGGCCCGTTCAAAATTGCTTATGATAAGGCAGAATCATAACTTCAGAAGATGCATGAACCTTGGTGTTGATTATTTCCCTCAAGCTTATGCTGATACAGGTAATGTGAAAAATATTGTGAGAACAGGGTGTCACAGCTGCTCTACAGGATAGACCAGGCTGCAGTGCTGCTTCACGTTAGGGCCTCCAGTTAGTTACCCAGAGTCTAAAATATTCTTCTGTCCTGTCCATAGCAGCTCATAATGTATGAGGGCATCTTTGAGTCAAAAAGAAAGGAAGCTTAATTTTACTTCTGATTGCTGCCTATGATCTCTGCTTCTGCAGCAAAGTTCAGGCTCGCAGGGCTTTCTCAGCATACCTGCAGCGTGTCCAGCTGCGCCTGATGAAAGAGGCTGGGGATCAGGTCCATAATCCTGCCTGGGCTGCCAAGGAGGATGAGCAGATGGTAAGATATTGTGTGCTTGTTCAGCTCCTTTCTAAGAGGAACCAGCTGATCCTACTCAGCATTCTTGAATCACATTCAGTGTGAAACTGATTCCCATCAGCTAGGACTGTGCAGGAATGCTAAATGTTGTTAACCCTTGTGAGACTAACTTATCCTCCCTCTCTTGCGAAAATGATTTCTATGCCTCTCTTTGAAACAGTGTAGAATGTTGGCACAAGAGGTGTGTTTGGACACTTCAGGATGCAAATCCAGCTAAATAAAGCATGCATGAAGGGACAGCCATCTCAGATTGCCATTAAGTTTAATGCAGGGGTTGCCTTCTGTATGTTCTGGCCTGCAAGTCCCATCAGTCCATGAGGCTTCATTGGAGTTGTCAATAAAACATCTGAAAGACCAGAGGTTGCCCACCTCCAGTTTTAACTTGTGGGCACACAGAAACCTGTCTGTATGAATCTTGGCTTCCAGGCATATCTTTATGTTGTACACTGACTTCCCAGATGGTAGCTGAATCATTGTACTATATATGAAGCAACTGCCTTATAGTAATTAATGAAATAACTTCAGATTTCTAGACCTTGTGTTTAGCCGGCTGTTCTCTTAGCCCAAATGGAGACACTGTGAAAACAGGCTCTGAGGAAAGAGCCAATCTAGCTCATAGATTAAAAGCCTTATGTCAGGAATTGGGAATAATCAGTTTGCCTCAGTGGAAAATGTTACCCCTGCTCTTTCCAAGTGGAAAATTGAAACTGGCTCTCTAAGAGCTGCTTTGTCTGCAATACTGTGAAAAATAATGTTTAAAATAACAGATCAAACCAACCTAATATAATGCTAGTGAGAGGCAAACTGTGAAATTCAACGCTTTGGCTATGAAATAGTTCATTTGCATGTTTAGTAGGGCACCTAACCAAAAGTAAATCCAGACTGGAGACAGAATGTGTTTGAAACTAAACACCCACAGCAGGCGTCTTGCTTCAGTGCTCATTTTGCAGGGAGGGCAGTTCTCCTTACCATTGGCTGGTAACATAGTGGGAGGGCATGGTATGCTTTTCTAGTTTTAGTTGATTTAAGGCATGAAACATGGAGAGGGTGACTACAGGTTGGGCCAGTGATGCAGAATTGTATACCTGGTCAGAACTTGATGTAATCCATTTCATGCTATCCATTTACCTGCAGCAGTTTCCAACAACTATCAGCTGATAGAATTCCTAAATTTCAGGCCCGTTGACTGTTCTTATAACACAGTTCCTCTTATTTCCAACCCAGATACCCTTCCAGCATAATTTCCGAGAGTGAAATATAGTAAAGCAGCACTCTTTAACATTGTTTCTTGGTGGCAGGAGCTGGTGGTTCGCTTTTTGAAGCGAGCAGCCAATAATCTTCAGCAGTCTTTGAGGATGCTGCTCCCAAGTCGGCGCCTGGCCCTGTATGACCGTAGGCGCATCTTGGCTCACCAGCTGGGTGAATTCATCATCTGTTACAACAGGGTGAGTATGGGTTGTGCCAGCTGAATTCTAGCGCAGCAGAGCTTTCTTGTACATTGTCTAAAAATTAATGCTACCTGTTTTGGTGTTACTGCTTCCATTTTCCAAAAGATGCAAAGAATTAGGGGGAGCAGAAGCATGAATCATCCATATATTTGCTTTCTGTTGCTGAGAAACACAACCTTTTGAGCCTTGAGGCTTGTATATGGTGTCACCTTGTATGTGTGTGTGCACACATGTATATGAGTGTATGTGTGGGGGGGCTGCTTTAATCTTGTCTGCATCCCAGTGATCCTGTGCAAGATTGCTGGGGTGGTGGTGAAGCTTCTTTGGAGTCCCTGAGAAAGCCACATCCACTATAGGAATTAATATTTTCATGTTGGCATTAACTGCACAGAAGTAGCCATTTTGGCTGCTTTGGAGGTCCCTAATGGGAGGAGCAGGGCTTTTTTTGTGATAGAACGCACCTTTTTTTCAATGGATTTTAGGAAGTGATTTTGCTTAGCAGATCAGCAGCAAACATCATTAACATAGTGCCTGCAGGCTGCTATTGTATCTGCTATCTGCTCTCAGATAGTGAGAGATAGCTAGCGCCTGGAGGGGGGGGGGACTGCTTGGGGTTGGTGTTTGTGGTGGGTTCCTGCCCCTTTTTTTTTTTTTTTACAAAAAAAGCACTGGGGAGGAGGCAGCAACTTTGGCCTTTATTTCCCCAGTGACCCTAATAGGCATTGTTGCTTTCATGTTGCTGACTCCAGTCCTCCATCAGCTTCACTGGCTTCCCATTGAAGCCCGGGCCCAATTCAAGGTGTTGATTATGACCTACAAAGCCCTAAACGGCTTGGGTCCTGGCTACCTGAACGAGCGCTTACGTCCGTATATGCCCGACCGCCCTTTGAGATCTGCGGGAGAGTCCCTTCTCCGGGAACCCTCCATGAAAGAAATTAGGAGAGTAAGTACCCGGAGGAGGGCTTTCTCTGCGGTGGCGCCCAACCTATGGAATTCACTCCCCAAAGAGGTCCGCCTGGCACCGTCGTTACTGGTTTTTCGGCGCCAGGTAAAGACCTTTTTATTTAAACATCATTTCAATTGTTAAAACATATGATCTGGCCTGGGCAACTTCTTCTTCCTTCTCTTTCTCCTCCTATATTTTTATTTTATACTGATAATTTTAATTTTGTATTTGTAAATCAATGTATTTTTTGTATTGTTATATTTAATGGTAATTTATTATGTACTATTGTATTTCAATGTATTTTATCATGTTGTAAGCCGCCCCGAGGTTTCGGCAAGGGGCGGCATAGAAATGTTATAATAATAATAATAATAATCATCATCATCATCATCATCATCATCAATGCAGAAATGGAGACCTCAACACGAGGTTGGGAGTAATTCAATAGAGTCATACAACCAGTCCCTGTATGCAGGCCACTGGTAGAGTACCCCTGTTCTACTGTAATGATTGGAAGTTATTTGATAGCAGTTGACTTCTGGAGCTCACATATAATAGTGTGAGATTCTCAAATACTTGAAAAGTATTTCAAGTATTACAGGTTAAGCAGAATCTTTTACTTTGCAGGCTTCTTTCTAATGCAGTGTAGGATCCTATGTTTTTATCAGACCATGAGCATAGTGCTTTCATTTGCTGATGTCACTGAGCACTAAATAGATAATCCAGAAATCTGTGAACAAATGTCTGTTACATTTTGGCAGAGTGTGGATGGGGAGGTAGTATATTGGCAACAGAGTACTAAAGTGATTACATGGTTAGATATATTGCTAGAACTGCTGCTTTCCTTCATATGGTTATGATTATCGCAGAAGACCTTAATAATAAAACTTTGACAGCAATTTTAGTGTAGCTAGCTTTTTCAAAGTGAGCAAATTAATTCACTAAAACATAAAGTCTATATTAGATTCACTGTCTAAGAGAAACCATATAATGGCAGCCTTTAAACAGGTGATTAGAATGTTTGATACCTTTTGGTAGCTGCATTGCTAGTCTTTTGTCACCTGTGTGTATGCACATGCATGTGTGTGATATCCCAGTAGAAGCTAATGGTAGGTGGGTGGGGGATGACTAAACAAAGGTAAAATGCAATTTACCAGGGTTTTTTAAAATGAATATTAAAGAGGTAAGTGACAGACCTGATGTATAATAGGAATTACAAATAATTCCGCAGTGCATGAAGCCCCTGTTTAAGTATGCCTGATTAATTTAGCACTGTAGGTGTAGTGAATATTAGAGTATGCCCTGACCCAAGATATGACTCAGGCCCTGATTAACACTTTGGAAAATGGCCATATATTTGATATTTCAAGTACCAAATCCAACTAATATTTGCAAATATGAAGCATCATGCCTCCCATCAAATATCATGATAATACCATGCTGGTCGTGGCTGCTGACCAAAGCCAAACATGGGATTGGTGCCTGGATCCTAGAGGTCATCAACACCTCTCTGAGGGACGGCTGGGTGCCTGCTCCTTTAAAAGAGGCGGTAGTCAGGCCGGTCCTAAAGAAGGCGTTCCTGGATCCAGAGATGGCCACCAATTACAGACCAGTGACCAACATCCCATTTTTGGGCAAGGTGTTGGAATGGGTGGTGGCAGGACAACTCCAAGCACTCTTGGATGAAACTGACTGTCTGGACTCATTTCAGTCTGGCTTCAGACCTGATATGGTACTGAATCTGCCTTGGTTGCCCTGTATGATGACATGTGCAAGGAGAGAGACAGGGGAAGTGCGTGCCTGTTGGTCCTCCTGGACCTCTCAGTGGCTTTCGATACCATCGACCATGGTATCCTTCTGGATAGGCTAGCGGGACTGGGAATAGTTCTGCTCCTACCTCGACAGCTGATTCCAGAAGGTGGTGCTGGGGGAGTTTGGCTCTGTGCTATGGCAGCTATGCCATGGAGTACCGCAGAGGTCCATTTTGTCCCCCTTGCTATTCAATATCTACATGAAACCGCTGGGAGAGGTCATCAGGAGGTTTGGGCTGCGGAATCATCAGTATGCTGATGACACCCAACTCTACCTCTCTATTTCAACCGATCCAGGTGAGGCAGTGGCTGTCCTGAACCGGTGCCTGGCCGAGGTAATGGGCTGGATGAGGGCCAATAAACTGAAACTCAGTCCAGACAAGACGGAGGTCCTGTTGGTGGGTGGTTCGAACTCCTGAGTAGGTGACTTGGACTGTGCCCTGAATGGGAGGGACAGGGTCCGCAGCTTGGGAGTGCTCCTCGACCCAGAGCTGTCCCTGGAAGCTCAAGTGACTGCGGTGACGAGGAGCGCTTTCCTTCAGCTTCAATTAATCCATCAGCTGCAACCCTTCCTGGAGGACAATTGCCTAGTGACAGTGACACATGCATTGGTTACTTCCCGGTTGGATTTCTGTAACGCGCTCTACATGGGGCTGCCCTTGAAGACAGTCCGGATACTTCAGATGGTGCAAAATAGAGCAGCCAGGTTGCTGACGGGGACTGGGCGTTATTCTCATATAACTCCTGTCCTCTATCAGCTCCACTGGCTTCCCCTCGAAGTCTGGGCTCAATTCAAGGTGCTGGTTATTACCTATAAAGCCCTTAATGGCTTGGGACCTGGATACCTAAAGGAACGCCTTCTTCCGTATTTACCTTCCCACCCCCTGAGATCGGCAGCAGAGGCCCTTCTTCGGGAACCCTCCGTGAAAGATATTAGGAGGCAAAGTACCCAGAGGAGGGCTTTCTCTGCAGTGACGCCCTGCCTATGGAACGTACTCCCCAGAGAGGTCCGCCTGGCGCTGTCGTTATTTGTTTTTCGGCACCAGGCTAAGACCTTTTTATTCCAACAATATTTTAATAACTTTTAATATTGGCTATATATGTTTTAATCTGCAGCCAGGGTGGATCTGGAATTTATTTGTATTATGTTTTATATTATTATTCTTATTTATTTATGTAAGCCGTCCTGAGGCTTTTGCACAAGGACAGCATATAAATATTCTAAATAAATAAATAACAAAATAAACTAGCTATAACTTTTTATTTTGGTAAGAATTGGATAAGATTTCCAAGTATAAACATTCTTTAGGAGGGGATTATATATATTTTCTGTGGAAACATAGATGAAGCAACAGTTGCTCCTGCTGAGGGACTTACGCATGCTAAATGTCAGATTGATAGTTTAAGCATCAGAAGTGGACTAAATTGATCCAATTCTGTTAGGGTTTATTTGAATCCAGTGTTCAGCTCCAGAAGATATCTGTTTAAAGCACTTGTTTATTCTTCAGCACTTCCTTGCTCTGTTTTTTAACATAACACTGTAATCTCCTGATTACAAGCAATACAACAACCCATCATAGGCAAGAACAACCTTATAATAAATCTTTGGTTTTCTGTGTAGCTAATATCTGGAAAGTAAGCTACCTTGCAGAAACACTCTAGGTTTGGATAACATTACAACCAACTATGTCTAGTTAAGTTGTGTGAACCCAGACAGTAACTGGATTCCTACAACCTGGCAAGCCATAATGGTTTTTAATTGTTGTTTGTCATATTGTCTGAATCCAGTGGTATATTTGGTCCTTAGAAACCAGGATTAAAACTTTGGTTGCGTCTATTTATTTATTTGGAATTCTTGTATGCCGCCCCATTTGCATAAGCCTCGGGGCGGCTTCCAACACATAAATAAATATCAATACAAATACATAAAAAACTGGAAACATCCTGGTATAATAATTTAAAACCAATAAATAAAATCAGCAATTATTAAAATAACGTTTAAATAAAAAGGTCTTGGCCTGGCACCAAAAAACAAATAATGATGGTGCCAGGTGGACCTCTCTGGGGAGCGCATTCCATAAGTGGGACACCACCACAGAGAAGGCCCTCCTCTGGGTACTCACCCTCCTAATATCTTTCACGGAGGGTTCCCAGAGAAGGGCCTCTGCCGCCGATCTCAAGGGGCAGGAGGGCAAATATGGTTTCTGCTTACCCTATTCATTTCTGATGATGTCTGAAATCTGGCATCATGGTTTTTATAGTCCTGGCTTTCAATTACTACAGAGTAGCCACTCTAGGATCCTCTCCTGCAATCCATCCTCCACTATCCAGCTCTACCTACTAATGGAAGTGTGGCTGCTTGCCTCACTCCTATAGGCCACTCTTTGGTTGTATCCCTTCCCTTCTTCTCTTTGAAGTCTAGATGTCCACCTTTTGTTTTCTAGCTGCAGAGAACTAGAAAACAAAGAGCAGCCTTGGAGCTGGCTATGCCTTGTACTGCTGTTGCCTGCTGCAGTTTTCACAGATGCTAGTCTGAGTTGTCATACTTGTTATTTTTGTTCCAAAGTCTTTGGATACTTAGATATCTTCTAGCATGAACAAGAATGTACAGAGGGGCAATTGGATTATGGGCATAGCTTTTGGGCAGCACAACTTGCACACAAGCAGGAATTTTCAATAGGGATTCTTGAGATAATAGTCTGTAGTTTTTACAGGAAGAAATATAGAACAATATGTGTAGATTCATCCATGTTAGAATAAGGGCTGCAGTGCTTCTAAGTGAGGATTGTGGGGACATAACAGTGAAGAAGATGACTGAGCATGGGCTCAAGCATGTGGGGCGAGAAGCCATTATGCATTTTCTGGCAAAGGAGGGGAGAAATATCCAATTCTATGAACTACATGGGGGGAACCTAATTGATGTGTCTGTGGTTCCTGCCCAAGTCAAGCCTTGATAGATCTTCAGCAAGAGAAAGGTAGGAGGGATAGGAGGGAGTATGGGTAAAGATTAGCTGCAGGAGAAGAGATTTTCTATGGGAAGAGTCACTTTGCTTTGGCTAAGGGACATAGAAAAGTGAGGGAGTGACAGAGAATGTACCCAGGAACTGTGTGGACCAGTCAGGAAGAGGCAGTCAGTATAGGCAGGGAGTTATGCACCTTTGGGATGCAGGCACCATGGTTGCTGGGATGCTTGCCAACACTGGGAGAACTGAATATGGAGGATGGAAACCACACTAAATGTAGAAAACACTGGATATCAAGGTAAAATGCCATGAAGTGTGGCAACCACAGAGAGTTGCTTAACATGACATGTAAACCCATCCAGTGTATGTGTAGGCACGCTGGTTTGAGAAGTTACTTTAATGTTGTTTATTTTCAGGAAACCGATCAAATGGCTCAGAAAAAGTTGACAAAGAAACAGGAAGAGGAAGAGGAAGAAGAAGGGGTAGATGCTGAAGGCTTTCATGAATTTGTTACTAAGGCAAGGTACAGACTGACTCTATAATGCTTTGGAGGAAAAATAATCTCTCTTGCTTCTAGTCCTTATCACATGAGTTATAAGTATATTGATCACACTGGGGGGCTGAGAGGAGATTTCCATTTGCTGTTCCCGATTGCTTTGTATTCAGTGACATCATTGCTATACACTGAGCTAGGAAGTCAAGTCACCTTTGCTGAGCTGGAAAGGTGCAGACCTACAGCCAGAGGGTGACCACATGTGGAAGTGAAGCATGGGGCTGGATGCAATGTCCTTATAGGCCCCTTCTAACTCTACTACTGTTCTATTCTGCTCAAATGTGAACATCCATATTGATTGTGCAGGGCTTCTGGTGATGGAAGAGTCTCTGTGAGTGTAACATGGTTGTACATGCATAGAAGCTCCACTCATACCTTTATTTGAACACAAGGTTGGGATCATCATGTGTTATCCCGCTCCAGCACTGCATTGCACCTGAACCCCTCTTCCATGTGTTTAGCACAAAGGCAGCTGAAGATGTAAAATAGCTCTTGCTTTTTCCCTATCCTAATTCATACTTCAACAGACATTTTACTATTAGGCCCAGCAATTCCTCAAGCAGTAAGCTGGCTTGCATTGCTTCACTCACCGCATGTTTTGCCAAACGAAGTTCTCTTCAGCTGTATGGAGTACAGTATTGATAATCCCAAAGCACAAGCACAACAACTGCACAGCCTTCTTGCTCTAACTGCATTGACATTGTCCATACTGCAGTTGGAAAGATCAAAATGTGTTTTGTGATAAATTCTTTGCATTACAGGTAAACAGCTTTTATTTATTAAGACATTTATATGCCGCCCCATTCGCCGAAGCCTTGGCGAATCAGCATTGGAAAGGTAGCCAAGTTCTTAACCAATTTAGCAGTCACATAAGTGCTAAATTATAGTTGAACATGTTACACATATTCAATTATATCTATTTTTCAGAAGTTTTTGCCTTTAGTTGCGTGTTAGCTGTTGCCAAAGTGGGACAAAACTTGAAATATGCATGTGGAAATTACATTGATAAAACAGTGGGTTTGGTTTGGTTTTATTTTCCAATCCTCTGTTTTTCAAAACATTTCTTTCTATCCACAAGAGAGAGCTACTTCCAGAGGGAAAGCTGAAATCCTACCATGTCCGCGCAAAAATGTGTTTGCAGATCTGTTATATGGTCCAACTCTACCATCTTAAGTATTTTTGTGTTTGGGACTGGTGAAGTTTTTAATATTCTAAACTAGCTGGCAGTTTGGGCTCCAAAAAAGACCTTGGATGAATATTGCTTAGAATTCCTCTTTATGAACAGCTCAATACTTTGAGGGGTATTGGGGTTTTTTTTTTAAATTCTCCTTGTCTTAGACCTTAGATGCAGCAAGGTGGTTACAGTGGACATCTGTGCATGTGCCTGCACATGTTTCTTTTTGTATGTTGGGCAAGACTTTCATTGGTTGTTTGTCTTAAGTAGTAATATCAAAATGTTACAGCTATAATTTTGTTGAGGCAGATAGAATCATGTATATTGCATTGTGGGCATGAAGATTAATTTCTTGCTGAATCTTACCTTCTTCCTTCACGCTTTCCCACACAATGGTAAATTTTCAGCAAAGGAGGGAACAAAAGACATATGCTGAAATAAAACACTGATGTGGCAGTAGCTGAATGACGGGGAAGAGCTCAGAAGTGACAGGGTTCTTGGACACTGGGGCCAAATTGTTCATAGAAATTCTGTCAACGGCCTTGCTGTTGTAGTTGAATACATTTATATGTTGCTTACAGTGTTCAAAAATATCCCATATACTATAATTCTGTGATTCATAAAATAACTCTTATAAAGATTTTGACCTAATAATCAACATTTCCATCACTAGTTCAATCCCTGTTTTGAAGAGCAAGGGTTTTTTTTATTATTATGCTCATCTCCTTTGGTTAAGGCCTTTGATGACAAAAGGTCAACCTGAACTGGTTATAATCTGAGCGGTTCTTGAAGAGGGGTGATCGAACAAATCCTCCTTGAAAGCTTGTGGTTATCATCTAGCCAAGCCCTTTTGATTGGTTAGGAAAGTATTTGAAGGTAAAGAAAAGCTAAGTTGCCCTGATAATAGGTGCTTTGCTTTGTTTTTAAGTTATTTTCTTAAACTCAGTGTAGAGTTTCACTGTGCAAATTTACTAATAATTTTTTCAAAAATATTTTTAAAAATCAGTTCAATGTGGGTTATTTTCTCTCCATACTTTCACTTGATGTTTTCCTACTAGTGTGTCTTTGTATCTATTGTAGGTCTGTCACCACATCATAAACACTTGCCATTTGCTCCTTTTTTATTCCCTTCTCATCTTAGTGAAAGTGATCTGGAGGAGGTGTTGACATTTTACACACACAAGAATAAATCAGCAAGTGTCTTCCTGGGAACATGCTGTGGAGGTTCAAAGCACAGTAATAGCCAAATGGAAAGCAGGGCAAAAGAGAGTGAGTATGCTTTTTCCTGTTGACCTATCTCTGATAGCAGTTGATAAAGTTGTGAACAAAACCAAAATGCAATAGTTAACTTGATACTGTCAACATACCTGTTTATATTGCTGCCAAAAATGCACGAGTAGATACTGTCAACAACTATTCACTATATTATAGCTTTCTTGACCTGGTGCCTTTCCACATGTTTTGGATGACAATTCCCACTGGCATTAGGGTCAGTAGTTAGGGATCATGGGAACTGTGGTCCAAACTATCTAAAATATATCTGGTTAGTGAAGGCTTCCATGTTAGAGAGCAGTAATAGATACCACAATAAACATTGGAAGACAATATTGCTTATTGTTTCCCAGCATAGTAATAATTAGGACATTCCTCTCTCCACCCACTTTCCCATTCCAAATTTCATTTTAGATCACCTGGAAATTATGGAAGGAATGGAAAAACAGCAGCCCCAAATTCCAGTGGATAAAGAGAATGTGACAGAGGAGCTGAGCGCTGACCAACCCAAAAGGACTAGACTAACCAGTGAGTAAGAAAATTGGAAGAGAACTTAACTTGCAGCAAGAAAACACCAGGGAAAGGTGCTGAATATTAGAGTCTGACAGAATGTTGTAGCATCTGTTTTATAACTGGAATCAGTGGCCACTTCTTAGCAAACCTTCCACACATGCTAAATAATACTTGTAGAAGAAAAATCAGACACTTCCCTTATGAGGAACATTTTCAGACTCTAAACTTTGTTATACTGCTCAAAGATAGTATAATGGAAATAGAATAAATAATCCTAACTATGATTAAATCTAGATTTGTTGTTGTTGTTAGTCGCGAAGTCATGTCCGACCCATTGCGACTCCTTGGACGACATTCCTCCAGGCCTTCCTGACCTCCATCATCCCCTGGAGTCCACTTAAGCTCACGCCAGCTGCTTCAGTGTCTCCATCTAGCCACCTCATTCTCTGCCGCCCCTTTTTTCTTTTGCCGTCAATTGTTCCCAGCACTGGGCTGTTCTCCAATAAGTCCGTCCTTCTCATTAGGTGGCCAAAGTATTTGAGTTTCATCTTCAGTATCTGGCCTTCTAAAGAGCAGTCAGGGTTGATCTCCTCTAGGACTGACCAGTTTGATCACTTTGCGGTCCAAGGGACTCAGCAGGAGTCTTCTCCAGCACCACAATTCAAAGGCCTCAATTCTTCGGCGCTCAGCATTCCTTATGGTCCAACTTTCACAGCCATTGCAACTGGGAAAACCATGGCCTTGACTATACGCACTTTTGTTGGCAGGGTGATGTCTCTGCTTTTTAGTATGCTGTCTAGATTTGCCATAGCTTTCCTCCCCAGTAGTAAGCGTCTTTTGATTTCTTGGCTGCAGTCCCCGTCTGCAGTGATCTTGGAGCCCAGGAAAATAAAATCTGTTACTACCTCCATTTCTTCCCCATCTATTTGCCAGGAAGTGATAGGACCAGATGCCCTGATCTTAGTTTTCTTAAGGTTGAGTTTCAAGCCAACTTTTGAGCTCTCCTCTTTCACCTGCATCAAGAGGCTCTTTAGTTCCTCTTCACTTTCTGCCAATAGAGTGGTATCATCTGCATATCTTGTGATTCATCTAGCCACGCCTTTCTCATGATGTGCTCTGCATATAATTTAAATAAGCTGGGCAACAGTATACAGCCTTGCCGAACTCCTTTCTCAATGTTGAACCAATCAGTGGTTCCGTGCCCAGTTCTCACTGTTGCTTCTTGACCCGCATATAGGTTTCTCAAGAGACAAATAAGATGGTCTGGTACACCTATTTCTTTAAGAACTTGCCACAATTTGTTGTAATCCACACAATCAAAGGCTTTGGCATAGTCAATGAAGCAGATGTTTTTCTGGAACTCCCTAGTTTTCTCCATGATCCAGCATATGTTGGCAATTTGATCTCTAAAATCTAGATTAAAAGAGCTATATTGTTATATTTCTGTTATGGTATCTTTGAGAAGTATAACAAATGCACTTCTAACACATTCGAGGTTGAAAATCTTTATAAACTTGAAAAAAAATTATCCGACATAGGTAGAGTTCTTGATACTCTAATCATTATACCAAACTGATAGTGTGTAGAAACAGATATTTTGTCTACCAACTACGTGCTAAGAGTTTATCTGGAATGTACAAGTAATTGCTATACATAGCAATACTATGAATACTCCCAAAATTAAATTGCCTTGTAGAGGAATAACTAAACGAATATGTAACTGGATGTATAGTGCCTATAAAAATCTAAAATCTGATGTAATTTTTGTTGAAAAATTAAGTATTATCAGTAAAAATAATTTGTCAGCAATTAGAAATATGTTTTAATAGCAACTTTCGTAATTTCTGTCAAAAGGTAATCTAAGAACAGAATGGTGTAATGAAATTGTGGACACAACTAGATTAGGGGTATTAATAGTATAGGTATGGATAAGATAGAGTCCATCTAGAAAACCTTGAAAATGGGTCCTTTTATAAAATAGTCAGTTGGGAAATTCAAATGTGAAAAACACATCTATTGTAGAAAATGCCTGCTATGCATAATATCTTAGGCCCTTTCTTCATAGTATTCATTTTTCTATAAATGTTTGTAAAAGGCTGCTGCAATAATATTGTGAACGTTATGCTTGTGTTCAGATAAAAAAATGGAATGTCCTGATGACCTTGAATATATATCTTTATTTTTACCAGGAGTTTCTTCAACTGAAGATGAAGCAAGTACACCACAACTCAACATGCACAATGTTTCTTCCTCTGTTCCTAGTGCCATCTTTCCACAAAGCATCAGTTGTCAGCTGTCCTCTCAGGCAACTGTTGCTGATAATCCACCGGTGCTTGAACATCACTCAGTCCTTTCTCTTCCTTCTGGTTCTAGACTGGCTCCTTCCCCTTCTTTCCAAAGCACAACACCAGACAACTGTTCCAGTACAGCAAAAAATGCACCCCGCCTGTTCTCAAACAGTGCAGGCTTACACCGTTGTCGGTCTGGCAGTTATACTGTTAGCCCCTTCTCTTCCTTTCAGAGTGCTATGCAAATCTACAGCCAGAGAATGACCCGGCCATCTTCTGCAAAAGCAGGTAAGCTATTAGTCTATGGGGCTGCATACTTGGTACAGTTTGTAAAGCTGTTACGCTCCACCAATAATACTCAGGCTAATAAAAGTTACAATGTGATTATGCAAATATCTACTCAAATGTATATTTATTCATTTATTCTGTGAGAGGCTAGTTTCAAAAAGAAATAGCAGATAATTAGATCCAGAAATTGGCTTCCAGTTGACCTCTATATTAATAATACATGTGTGAGACCCTGGTGAATTTGCTGATGAAAATTAGGCAGTTTTCAAAATGATAAAACAGGATCATTCTGCCTCTCCATCTTAGTTGCTGTTGACTCATAACACAGCAGCTTAGGATAAAGGATAAGGCAGCCATAGAAGTGACCTGCATTGAAGAATGAACAGATGACTCAGATCAGTAGCTCTTTTCATGGAATACGTATGTATTTGTTCTGTGAGTGACTCTTTTGGTAAAATTATTAGGCAGCTCTCCGAAGCATGCAACTCTCAGAAGCTCCAGAACCTTAATCACTAGCAATACACATTACAGAGGAGTCTGAACACCTGGAGTAGTGTCTTCTGAAACAGGGCCTATTTTCACATTTCCAGTGCTTTTCAGCTGTCAGTTGCACCACTATTCTTAGAGCTTCATAAAATGTAGGAAGATTCCCTATATTGACTAAGTTCACACAGCATGGCAACTCACGATCAAGGTTGAGTATGGGTTGTCATTGGACTGTCAGTTATTGTTGAAACTTGGGTTGTTGAGTTGCGTAAAACTAGCTGCACTATCAAACCATGGTTTGTTTGCCACACCTCACAGTTTTCAACCAAACAACTAATCATGGTTTCTCTTTGTAGTTGTTCATAGTTAACAATTTCTGTTGGTTTACACAACTGAAAAATCCACAGTTCAACAACAACCTACTCAACCTTGAATGTAAGTTGCTGTGTCAGACAACTGGTCCATCTAGCATGGTTTGGTTTACATTTCTGTCTGACAGCAGCACTCCAGGTTTTCTGGTAGTAGTCCTCAGGTATAACTGGAGATGCCAAGGACTAAAACTATTTTTTTACACGTGCTTTGGCACAGAACTATGATCCTTCCCCTTTGGTAGAACACTGCTTCTTCCTTACAGTTTGCAACTTTCTTGCTTAAAATAATATTGGGGCAATTTAAAAATACAGTAATTTAAAGCATTACTCTGTACTTTCTTATAAGAAATGTTAACTTAGCCCAGGCATGGTGAACCTGTGGCACTCTGGAAATTGTTGGAGAACTCTTCCCATCATCCTTGACCATGCTGACTGGGGCTGATAGGCACTGGAGTCTCATATCTGGCAGGCCACCATTTTCCCATGCCTGATTTGACTTTTCCTCTATTGGACAAAGGATGAGATGGCAATAGAAATGTTTAGTGATTTCTTAATATTGGAGGGAATGTCAGGCTTTTATTAACATGATTTAGCTCAGTAGGCTTTGCCCTACTGTGGTAGATGCTCAGGCTGAAGAATGAGGTCTGGTCAGATACTACTGCTTATTTTCACAGAAAGTAACACTGCTGGCCTGAGGAATTGCTCAGCTGTGTAGCATGTCAAACCCCTATCTTTTCCCTTATTCAGAAATGTTGACAGAGATTTTATTTCAAATGCCATATAATTCCAAAGTTAACAAAGTTATTTTGTGTTTTTATTTCATTGCTATTAGCCACTCTGACTACTGTTTGGAGTCTAGTAGAATGCACATTTAATGAACAAACAAAGAAACCATTTTAACCATGATTTCCTTTTTTAAAAAAAATCTTTTCAGCTTCATTCTTTAGCTTATATCTTTTTAAGTCTTTTCACCATGATTACTTTCCCACAGTAAATTTTTGTATCTTTTCCTTTATAAATAAAATGTAGTGTTTTTTATGAAACATGCTTTGGATAGTAAACAACAGTTTCATATATTCTGTTGTGTGCAGAATGCAAAGAGTGCAAAGTTGTAAGCAGTTGTGAATTTAATAATTTTGTAATTCTCCCTAAGAAAGATATGAACAAATTATGTCGAAAACACTTTGATTTCACTTTGCTACATGTATGCTTGTCTCTTGTCTGTTGCAGGTACAAATGTCACATTCTCTGTAGGCTGGAATGAATTCTTGCAAAGTAATCTCTTTCACTACCTTTAGCAGGTTCAAGGAGTCACAGCCCAAGCAGACAGCGTGGTGCATCTGCCAAAGTGAATAAGGATGGGGAAGATGGCAGGCATTACAGTCATGGTATTGTTGCAGCAGAACTGCAGAGACTGGCGGAGAAACAGGCAGCCAGACAGTACTCTCCACCCAGTCACATCAGTCTCCTTACCCAGCAGGTACATAATCAAAAACATTCTCCATTTTGAGTATTTGGGAGTAGCAGAATTGCACAGGAGAACAAAAACAAGGCATGAAGCCTGTGAATGAGTGAAGGCCACTCATAGAGGATGTTTCAGCTAGCATTAATCCTTTTTAAATGGATATTGGGCAGTGCTTCATCACCTGAGCCAGTTTAAATGTGCATCATAGACTCATATGACCTATGAGGGATCTCTCTTTTTGAGGATGGGAGAATAAAATGTTGCAGGAAAATGTGTTTGAATTAGACATGCACCAAAGACTAGTTACCTGAAATTGATTTTTTCCATATAATGAGATGCAGTGACTTCCAGAGACAAAGATGAAAACAAAAGAAGAGAACAAACTGTAATGGAATACCCAAATGTATGATCTTGAATCCAGATATCACAAAAGCAAATAGCATTACTGAGTCTTGGTTTGCATGGATGGGACTTGTAGAAGAGAATAACGTGAAGAATTCTGTTGATATGTGAAATTTTGAGAACAGGTTCTGGAATTCTCTTCCATCATGGTTTAGGACAGTTAGTCAGGGAAGAAGAGGCTTCAAGGGAGCTGGTTTAATCCTGTGTCATCCCACATCCATGGTTTGGAAGGGGAAGCAGTAAAGGGTAGTTGAGCTACCTTGAACCAATGTACTCATTTATATTTTTTTAAGCAGCAGGGCATTTACTCCAGCAGCTTGGAATCTTCCCTGTCCAATGAAAAGAATCTTGTGGGAACAGTCTCCCAACTGCTTTTAGAATATAGATGCTGCTAAAGAGAAAAGGATAGTGTGGGTCAGCAGTAGTAGTGATGTCTCATGTTGCTCCTTTCACGGTTATCTCAGAAGAGAAACAGTAAGCTTTTGCCCTAAAACCATGATAATGTCATGGCAGAACAGTGCCCCTCTCTTTCTGGGTGTCTGATCAAGCAGTGTGATAGTTACAGCTACAGCAGTATGTGGTTAAAGTGTTTCCGTTACTAACATTTTAACACACATGGTGTGACAGTGAGGCAAAGCATTGCTACCTCTATTATTCTATCCTTTTTAAAATTCCTGTGACTGTCAAGTCTAGTAGAGGCATTTACATTACAAACAGGGATAAATGCCACAAATGTGATTCTCTTAGCACTGGTAATTGGCAGTGGTTTTGGAGAATAAAGTGCCCACAAAAATGTGCAGCTGTATATGGAAATGAGTTACTATTCCTGAAAGCTAGTCAGAAAAATAAATATCAGAGAAGAGGCCTTGTCTTTTGCTTATAATTTCCTTGGAATTGTGCTGTATCTGTGAGGGTGCTCTTGATCCTACTTTTCTGTGCTCACAGGTCTGCTCTTCCTTCTGCCTTTTATTCCTTCTCCTTCCTGTCCCCTTCCTGGTTTTAGACAAGATAGGGGGTTGTATGAAAACAGTTATTGAAGTAGTTTTGAGCAAGTAGTTAATGTCATTCGAGAAGTGATGTTTGATCATTTTCAGCTGCAGACTTAGTCCTGACACTGAAATTATGGCAGCCTTTTAGTCTCCAGTGTGTTGAAATTGTTCAAGTTTGGCTGAGAATGGTGGGCATAACAGTACAGTCGGCAGTCACATACCAGAAACACAGTCGTTCATCTCTACACCTTCATTTTCTGTACCCTAATGTTACAGTGTTGCCATTTTGGATGAAAGAACTGTTTGAACCTTTTTGTGGTTAAAATGCAGGTAGTAATTTGGCATTCAGTTTAAGGAAAATATGATGATAGGTATCATCCTCCCCTATATATTTTCCTGGCTTCTTGGCAGTTGACTAAGTATTGCAGATAGTTTTATTTCCATGGAACCTTATAAAAGCAGCAGCCAGAAGAATATTGGTATAGGGCTATAATGCACTAAACAGATATTTTATTAATACAGTATTACTTTAAGGCAAAGGAACCATATATTAGCTCTTATTGTGGTCCAACACTAATTTCCTGGCATCTCTCCTTTAAGCAACCCAGACCTGAGGAAACCTAGAGGTTCCATGGGTCGAACTTGATATAAGACACTTCTTGTAGCTACAGTCCGCATAATCACTCAACTTGACGTACAGACCCAGTGATCCTTTAGATTAGTGTTTCAGTCCTCTCCTTTGCCCAGTGGAATTTCCCAAGCAGTTTGCTTTTGCAATTGTGGCCTGTGTGTGTGTGTGCGCACACACCCATGCACGTGCATGCACATATTTGTGTATGGAAGAGAACTCTGCTGTTCAAAGTAAACAATCAAAAACCTCACTAGGCATGTGCAGGTCTTTAGGCACTCCTGAGTTTTATGTGAATAAGTGAATGCAAATTCATATGTATATGAATGGATTCTGAAAGTGCTCAGAAAGTTCACATTTTTACAAATTCTGAGCAAAATAGTTTCCAGCTTGTTTAGTGAGTCCTTCTGTATTGAATGGGTGAGCATGAGACATATGGATGTATAGGTGATATACACATGGGAACATGGGTGATGGTCTTTCTTGATTTAAAATAATGTCTGTACTTTCTGAGCAGTATACTGTGAAGGTGGTATTGGTTCTGTGTGAGGTCTTTATCAGTAGCTGCTCTGTATATGTTGTTGGGGCAGCAAGCAGTACTTTATTGCTATCGTCTCCTAGGTTGCAGTGTTTTGTGGTTATTGGTGGTGAATAGAAGAATGTGTTGCATTGGCCCAGCTTGATAAAGAAGAAAAGAAATCTAGTAGGAGCTCTAGCCTTCTCCATGAGCAACTGCATGAGAATTCAGGGGCTGGCTATCACTAGGATCAGCTCCAGCTCTTCCATCCAGGGAATCTGATCACAGGGATAGCATCAGACCACCCAGGCGAAGGCTGGAATGAGATGTATCTGTCTTCTCAGCTGAGCCAGCCAGTGCTGAAATCTTGCAGCCAGGTTTCATACAAATGTACTGATAAATTTTGGGCGGCAGGAGTGTGGGGGGGGGGGGCACACATATTCCTTTCATGTTTTTCATCTGAGCAGGGAGGTGGTAATTAGCAGAATCTGGGCACCCCTGGTAGAACTGTAGAGAATACAGACTGCAAATATCTTCTGAAGGATTTTCATAGCAATGTCTTTCTGCTGGGTTGCAGTCTTCACAAAATCCAGCCTGTATGTGCTTGTAATGGAGGAAAAGCTGTCAATGGCTGCTACTCATGATAGCAATATATCATCTACAGTGGCAGAGGCAGATGCTTCTGCATGCTGTTTACTGGAGAAAACAAACAGGATGGTGGTAGTGTTGTCATGTCCTGCTTTTGGGTTTTACATGACCATCTAGATGGCCACTGTGGGAACAGAATATTGAATTAGATAGGCTTTTTTTTCTTATCCAGCATAGCTGTTATTATGGTAACATGCAGTTTTTATCTGACCAGCATGAGCTGCAGTAAGCTAGACCAATCCTCTTAAAATGAAGGAGGTAGATGAATAACTTGGTTTACAGTATTTCATTTCTTTGAATTGACAAGTCACTCTAAGGGCATCTCAGATTACTCTCTTTCTTCCTACATTCTTTTAACTCTACAGTTTTGTTACTTTCCTTTCCAATGTGGCATTAAAACTCAAATGGGGGCAGGGGGTGAACTTCCGAAGAGGAACCTGAATGACTTCAGGTTCTGCCTTCTTTCATGGCAGATTCTTCAGGGAATACACTGAATCATGTGCTTCTAGTAATAACTTGTAACATACTCAGTAAGATGTCTTACTTATTTTAGAAAAAAGAAATTCAGCTTTTTCAGATAGGTGTCCTATCTTGACCTGCAGCCTGCAACATGAGATGTGTGCTTGATTTGTTTTAACCATTTATCCTCATCTTTCTCCTTTTCTAGACTGTTTCTTCCTCAGCGTTCTCTTTCTCTTTAATTAATCACTTTTTCCCCTTGGTTGGCAAAATTTATCTTAAGTGAGGATGTTGCATATTTGTAGTCATAACCGAGTGGTGGAAGACATTTTAGAAAAAGAAAGGTGCCTCTGGAACCAGGCCCACTGCTGCTGCTCTTCAGACTAAAGAGACTTTTGTGCAGTTGGAATGGATCTTGTGATTTGAAGGAGGTCGCTAGTTGAACCAAGTTGAGTTTCAGGGAACTTTTGTTGTGGAAAGCATTATTCCTTCATCATCACACATTTGGCACATCCATGCCCTATAGCTCCCACTGAGAGATTTGCAGCTAAGGGTACTTAATTCAGAGCCGGATTCTTTCAGTAATGGCAAGAGGCAAGTAACCACCCACTACAGTACAAACTACTTTTTATTGTTAAAATGGATGCATACGCTGGAGATACTACAAACGAATCTGCAAGTTTGTCAGGTTTCCCAGGAATGTCTCTGGCAGGTCTTTGTCTGGAACGTTTTCTGGAGACTAGAACACTTACGCTTTTATGCATGTGCATCCTGTAAGCTAGTAAGCTCAGCAAACAGGGAAGGAATGTCACGGGCCTTTAGCCAGATCAGCTTTGGTACACACACAGATTTCACACCTCTCAAGTCCTTTAGTCATTGCTTTCATTTTCCTCTGATGCATAGTTATAAATGCAAATATATACATGAAATGAACATCCCTGAGGGTAGACTTGTACTGTATGGGTGTGGCCGGAAATGGGCCTCAGTCAAGAGCAGACTGGCCTTGGAACATCTCTCTGGTACAGCTTGATTCTTCAAGTGGTAAGGCAAGGAAATAGCAGCAGTCCGGTTATATTCTTTTCTCTCTTCCATTCCTGCTTGCCCCTCGATTGCTTGTATATACAATTCCAGAGAACAGAAATGTGTTATGTTAAGCTGTCTGACTTTTGCAATAGGAGTTCAGAAACTCTGGTCATAGACACATAGAAGAGGAAGCATAAAGAAACTGATAACTGGGTGACTTTGGGCCAGTCACTGACTCTGGATCCTAACCCTACAGCGCTGTTGTGAGGTGAGGAAAATCATGTAAGCTGTCTTGGGTTCCTTGGAAAAAGGGACAGGGCATAGTAATTATAACTGTCAGTCTGCTACT